TTATTGTGAAGGGTTGCAATACAAAGAGAGGGTAGGATGTCTTATTCTTCTTCACATGGCACAACAACTTGAAGCTTCCAGATTGTCAATTTTCTCTGTAGATTGTACGGCCTCTCTGTCCCTTCTCCATCCATCACCCCTGTATATTTCGTTCAACTGGTAAATACAATACAAGGCCCTGGATCTTTGGGATTGATTGAACCAAATTTATGAGGGTTTTCAAGCCATTCTTTTCTAATCATAGAGATTGGCCTGTCCTTCTCTTTTTTTCTTAAGTGTTTGGTAAAGGGACATATCTCTCTTTGCTTTTTATCCAACTTTATCTGTTAGTGTTTCATTGCATGCATGCCTATCACAATATATATATATATAATAAGGTTTATCAGAATGCAGGGATTTGAATAATTGTGCAGCATACACATTCTGGGGAAGGCTTCTTCCAGGATCAAACTAATTGGTTTTGCATTGAGATAAAGAGAAAGAGACAAATCAGCACAGTGCAGTAATAGATTCTAGTCAATGGTGCAGGCCTAATATGCATAGATAACATTATTTTGTTATTCTCAATTAATAACGCTATGATACGCTTGATAACACTTTCATGTGGCATAACATTATTAGTCGGGGATAACAAAACAGTGTTATCCCTGTTGCAACGAAGTTTTTCTCCCAAAAATGGGAAATCTGGATTTTTTTTCTAATAGAAAAAGGGAAATATGAACCTCAACAGATCACAGGGTTATATGCATCCATTCATGTCATATTCTAAGTAAAAACCATACTGCTACATCTCTCATATTTTGGTTTGAAATGGAAATCTGGATCTCAAACCAAAACACTGAATATGGCAATATGGTTTTCTAGAATGAGTGTATGATAAGAAATCATCTACAAGACTGTAAAATTTGATGGGTTGTTAACTACTGGGTTTTTAACCTAATCTGCAGTGTAAAAAAAATATTTACTGAGCTAAATAATGCTATTGGATTCTTTCTGTCATCTTATTTCTGTTCCTGTCTGCAGAAGGCAGCAGAGGCCTATACAGGAGGGAAACTGAGAAAGTCTTTTGTGTCTTTAGCACAGGCAGGAGATCATGTGTCTTTTTCAGCCATTCTTTTTTACTACTGTGAAAACCCATTGATTGCCATTTTACCCTGCCTCTCTAGTCATGAAAACTTGCTATTGACCATGAAACAGCAATGTGGTGAAATTTTAACCAGAAGCCGAGTTTGACTAATTATGACCATATGAACCAAATTCAGATCATACGAAATTTCAGATAGACATTTAAAAGGTGCCCCCACAATGAATAAATGTGCCACATCTATAGTCTTTAGTGCAAAACTCCTGTGGATATAGTTTATTTATTCATATGCCAAACTTGTCAAACAGTTGCTAATTATGATGGTGGAAGAAATAGTTTGATGAAAGTTAGGTCTTGTGGCAAATCGTTTTTGAGTAGCCTATGCAGGCTGCTGCATGAAGCTAGTACCTAATTTGTATCCTCTTTTAACAAGTAATGGTTGGTCCTCCTTAAAAACGTGTAGATTAATATATAAAGGCAGGCAGTTTTGTGGGGGAAAAAAAAGCATATTGGGAAGAAGCATATCTTATATGGTAAAAAGGAACAATATCTTGTCAATTAGTGGAAAAGTGAGCAGTTCAAACCACTTAAAGCGGCCAATTGATTAGCTGGTTGTTAAGTTCAGATTAAAGGTATTTAGGTTCTTAGCTAGCTACTTAAAGTGGCATATTTACCTTATGCGAAATGAGAACTGCTAATGGCGTAATCGCTCGACCCATCAACGACTGAGAGTTACCGAACGACACACCATGAGCAACACATTTCCTAATCTTATTTACCCACCAGGACAAAACAAAGGCACAAATGAAATTATGGTGCCAGGACACAATGAAGATGTACAGATGGACCAACATTGAGTAGAGTGTGACAGGTCATGTGGATGTCCATGGATAGAAAAAAACAAGTTCTAAAAGGAAAATAAAGGGCACTGTTTTTCTGGTTACTGTAACTTTCTGCTATGGAGAGCCAAAATGACCTCTGCAAAATGGACCCAGTAGTTCTGGAAACCAAACATTATTTAGTTGGTGGATCATGCCATCTTATCCAATTACCTGAAAATGACAAACCCTTATTTTATCGCCTAGTGCTATGTGCGTACGTTAGCAAGCACTCAGTTTTCCTTTTCCCTTTTCCCTTTTCCTTTCTCAAAAACCTTTTCCTTCACCGTAATAAAACTGTAGCAATCCTTTGTATATTAACGTTGTTATATCAAACAAAGGCTAATGTTATCTTGCCAAATTTACGTTGCTAGATAGACTGATTATGTAGTCGCAATGTGAATTTGAACTATACAATCAAGTAACAATTTAGGTATTTTTGTTACGAGACAATTTGATAAGAAAACATTTCTCATGAAACAAAAGAATAAAAATAAATATTTTCAAAACAAGAGCTTCATTAAGAACAAAAGGAGATCAAAAGGAAAAGCAAGAGGATTTAAAAGTCCAATTGGGGAAGAGTATTTGTACACGTGTTGTGAAGAGAGGAGAGGGGTTGTGCATGCTAGAATTCCTACCCTGAAGAAATAGTTTCTATGTGAAGTATGTGGTAGGCTCGAGCAAGGTAGGGTCCAAAAATAGATGGCTATGAACACCAAAGGATGAAGTGGATTTCACCTCAGCAGAAAATCCAATATGTGTAGGACACTGTGCAGGACAATGTCCTAAGAATTAGGCTTTGCAATAACTACATCCACACAAATGTTACATAGAGCCTAATCTTGATATCATGATTCATGACTGCAAAAAATTCACAAATAACTCTGCACATGCACTTGCCTCCTTAAAAATGTGTGATTGATTATCAATCGTTGATGTTATAAAGTAATTTTCATAATGTTATTTCCATAAAAATGTACGATAGACTGTCAACCGAAGTAGCTTCATAATATTTTTACAACTGACAAATCTGTCACGCACACAAAGCTCGACCTCCCAACCACCTAACTTGAAAAACGAATGGTGTTTAAACCAAAATACACATGAATTTAAAGGATAATTACAAGTATGACGGTAAGATGGACAAAAATAATGGGCAGAGGTTGTTTTGTGCAATTTGCATTATTAGTGGGAAGCTCCAAAATTGTTCTGAAAGCATGATCACCCAAAAGTTGCATGGTAAAACACCTCTGACTGACATTTGGAATTCTTGGCACTCTATTGGTCCTCTTCCCCTCAACTCTTCAAGTCACGCATGTAGGGGATAAAAACTTATCGTGGGTTGGACTTCAAAACTCTGAAGGCGTGAACAACCAGAAATAGCGGGCTCCGTCACTCCGCCTAGCAGTAACCTGGAAGCAGAGTCACCTTAAGCGGTACAACAATTCTGTGCTACAATTTAATTGTTTTCTAAAAAGAAAAAGGGTGGGGAGTATGGTTTTTTTTGAACAAATACAAATCTTATGAATTCGGCTTCCTCCAACAAAGTAGAGATTGATGATTAAAAGATCAAACGATCAATTTGCACATTTTTTTCGAAAAGTTCATAAACTAATGATTTAAACTTCACCTATTTTAGACTGTCTTTTTTATATAGATTTTTAATAGAAAGGGCTTAGTTTATGGGATGGGAGCAGTAAAGTCAGGGAAGGCCAAGAGCAATGTTATTTTGTTAAATAGTTTTACAGTAACTCTAAATTCATAAGTAGTGTCACACAAAAATATTTTCTATAAACTTAAATTCCTTTTTGGCAAATTTCTCCAATGAAATCAAGTTTTACCACCACCAATTATTCCATGTCACATAAAAGGGTTGTCAAGTTTTACCTTTTCCACGTGTTGCCACATGGGCTGCAGTTCATGGAATGCCCATAATATTTTCCTACACATTATCATTGTCCAAAATATTAACTTTCATTGACTCTCTTCCTTTCTCTTTCTCTCTCTGTAGCATATAGTGGTGTGGAGCCCATAGCTGGACCTTTGCTTTGCTGGCTTCAAGCTCTCCATTGTTGGTCTTTTATGGGGCTTGTCTGCTGAGAAAAAGAGAGAGAAAGAGAGAGAGTTTTAATTTTAATTGTTTTCAGTTGGCCCAATCTTCTCTTTCACAAAGACTCTTCCTTTTGAATACTCCCATTCACTTGTGTCTGCTTTTTCAACAATCTCGTCATCTTCCACACAGCACTAGTTGATATATATAAAACCAAAGCTTGCTCCTTGTTTTGATTTCATGGATCCACAGATCTAATGATTCCATACCCACATAAGCTTCTCTTCTTTCCAAGATCTTCAACTTCAACTGCAGCACACAGGCGGTTTCAACCAGCAGAGGCAGTCAAATTTGGAATTGGGTAAGTTCCCTTTTCTTCTTGGTGCCGGTATTTGAGAAAGAAAAATGCTTTTTTTTGTGATTATTGGGGCTTTGGAATCTGTGGAACAGAAAGTTCATTTTTAGCAATGTGAATAGGTAGACCTTCTGGATTTCCAAATGGCTGACCAAACTCTTTTGTTGAACAATAAAAAAAAAAGTGACTTTGACCACTCTTTTTTTTCAAACCTCCCATTTAAGTTTCTGTTGAATTTTTCTTATTTACCAGCGGCTTTTGTGGTCATGGGTATTTTGTTTTAAATGGATACAAAGATGGATTTTGGGACTATTGGGTCCTAATTACTTCTGTTTTTGTGCAATTCCCAAATGAAATTAACTGTAAAGGCAGCTTGTTTATGTAATTCCTTTGATCTGTTAGGTTCTGATTGTGCAGCTTCTATAAAATGAAAGACAGAGATTTTTAGTTGTGCAGTTATTAATCTTGTTGTATTTCTGCTGTTGATGTCTGTTGTAGTGTATAATAGTTGAGCTGAGAAATAGAGGACAATACTATACTAGACTCGATTGAGATTTCGGGGTGAGGGAGTTGTTTTAAAGTCGTTCTTACATGTGGAGATTTTGGATGAGATGAGGGATGTTATCAGAGTTGATGAACTTCTTGAGGTCCTGTTTTCGGCCGAGGTCGAATCGATATGTTCATACCGGTGCAGATTCGGGGGGTCGTCAAGACGGGCTGCTGTGGTACAAAGACACAGGCCAGCACATAAATGGTGATTTTTCAATGGCTGTAGTTCAGGCCAATAATTTACTTGAGGATCAGAGTCAGCTTGAGTCGGGCAGTTTGAGCACGCAGGAATCTGGCCCCTATGGTACTTTTATTGGTGTTTATGACGGGCATGGTGGACCAGAGACGTCACGCTATATCAATGAACACCTCTTTCAGCATCTCAAGCGTAAGTGGATTTAGACTTTTTGATGGAAATCTGGACATTTTAAATTCCTTCAGCAAGCTTTGTTGGCTATATGGCTTTTGGTTTGAAATTATGTTTGGCGTTTATATTGGTCAGGGATTTGAAGGGCAAAAATTTACAATAGAGGGCATGGTTTAGCTATGTGGTGCATCAGTTAGGATGTGGAACCTTGCAGAGTTGATTATTTTTTTTAGTTTTAAAAAATGATTTCTCGGTCAAATTAAGTTGAGTATGTGCCATAAAGGCAGGTTCAAGTCCAAGGATTTTGCATTGAATCAACAGCTAAAGGTGTAGCATATGGAATGTAAATTTTACAATTCAGTTGGTGCATATGGGCTTAGATTTATAGACAAACTCCCTGTTGTAAAATTTTAATTCCTTGATGTGCAGGATTTAGTTCGGAGCAGCAGTCCATGTCTGTGGATGTAATACGAAAAGCATTTCAAGCAACAGAAGAGGGTTTTCTTTCCGTAGTTACCAGGCAGTGGCCTATGAAACCGCAGATTGCAGCAGTAGGGTCGTGCTGCCTTATTGGTGTTATTTGTGGTGGAACTCTTTATATCGCTAACCTTGGTGATTCCCGTGCTGTTTTGGGAAGAGTTGTGAAGGCAACAGGGGAAGTGCTCTCTATTCAGTTGTCACAAGAGCACAATGCATGTATAGAATCTGTGAGACAGGAGCTGCAGTCTTTGCACCCTGATGATCCACATATTGTAGTTTTGAAGCATAATGTATGGCGTGTAAAGGGCCTAATACAGGTAACTCTTTTACTGTATCAGGATGGGTTATTGATATTAGTACTTTGCAGCTATACCACTCAAATAACTCCTCTACTTTCTTTGCACCAAGACCAAGTATTTGTAAATACTTGTGTTCGGAGGTAATCTAATAGTACTATAGTGCATGCTGAAAAGTTCCTAATTCTAGTGCTTTAGTTTAACTATACTTCCCCACCCCCCCTTCTTCCAAGAGTATGTTGGCCTCATTTACGTTTTCAGGACGACTTTTCAGGACAACATTTGTGCTGCATTTGTTGGCTATTTTATGATTTTATAGGGGATTAAAAGTGGGATCAAGTTTTCTTCTGATGCTCTTTCCAAATTTGTCTTCCTTGCTTTCTTTGCTGAGCAAGAATGCGAAAATTCTCAAACTAGATCTTGTACTTCCTAAAGCTATATAAACCTACCATACTTTGAATAATCTGAAGATTCTACTGATCTAGATTGTTTCTGGCTGTGCGAGAAAGAATAATGAAGTTCAAACATTCATGTATGGCAAAAATATTGTATAGTTGTTATGGTTTCACATCTTTATTACCAGTGATAGCTCTGGTAGATCATTACTCAAATCTCGATGAATATCAATCCATGGAAGATATAATACAAGGTGTGCGATCACTCATAGGCGACACCTTATCATTAATGAATATAAACTCATTGATGGTACATCTTACGATGCTACACAAATGTTTCGGTTACTTTTAGTCTTGCAATTTTACGCATTATATGGTTTGACTTGATACATTTTATCATTTTTATGCTGACTCTGATTTTGGGAATCTTACATCTTGCAGATTTCTAGGTCCATTGGCGATGTGTATTTAAAAAAGGCTGAATTTAACAGGGAGCCTTTGTATTCCAAGTTTCGTCTTCGGGACCCTATCAAAAGACCGATACTGAGCGCTGATCCTGCAATTTCAGCGATTCAATTGCAGCCGCATGATCAGTTTATCATCTTTGCATCCGATGGGCTCTGGGAACACCTCAGCAATCAGGAAGCAGTGGACATAGTTCAAAATCATCCACGAAGTGTAAGATTTATTTCTCAATATTATACTTGTACTCTAACAATAAAGGGATTATATTCATTAAAATAGATTAACTATTTGTATATCTGAAAGTAGGATCAGGAAGCAATTGATGAGTTAAAACTATGGCTAGTGTATGTATGACTCATATCTCCATATTTTATTTTGCTAATGAGAGAAAATATTGGGGACGAAAATAAATTTTTGACTGCACAAACTTACCTGGTATCTCTAAGTTGGTCTCCCATGCTAGAACTTTGATTCACAGAAAGTTATGTACATTATTTTAAGATCAAAGGATTGCCTTATCATCGTGATTTGTGCGTATATCACCACCAGGAGGAGCCTTTGTATGACATGATATTTTTACGATCTGTATCAGCATGAACTGAGGATTTTCTGCAAGTTATAAAAAAATTATGATCTTTTGGTACATTGAATTGAATGAATGCTTGTATGGATTAGAAAATTTGCCTCACATGTCTTGTGGGTAGAATCCATCTATTAGAGTGGAGCCAGTTCTGTAAATAATGCCTCCTCAGCTGATTGTATGGAGAAATTATGTCATCTTGTGAGATACTTGAAATGATCCTCCTATGAAGTCGTCGTTTTAATTTTAGATCCCGTTGTAAGCCCATGTTTTTGTAGGATTAGGTTCAAATTCCTTTTAGATATCATGCAGCAGGCAGTGCATTTTGATACAGGGGATCATTCAACCTTGTCCCAACTGGGTTCTAAAAACCCAAAATTTCTTACTTTTCTAATTAGGCCAAGTAAATTTAGCTGGATTGGCTCTTGTGCTGCTAGACTAGCTATCATTCTATCACGTGCACAGTCCATCTAAAACCAATCATTTTCCTTTGTGTCTCCTGTGTTTGATGAATCACCAGCCTAAAATTATTTGCTGTTTCATAACTTCGGGTTTGGGGAAAGAAATACGAATCCGCCTCTATTCTATACTAACAATCTGTTTTATGGATGTTTTATTGAACAATGCCTTTTTATGATAAGTTGCACCCAAGGCATTCGTCTATGGAAGAGAATTTAACTTTTGTTTGCTAACCTCATGCAGGGAAGTGCAAAGAGGCTGGTGAAAACTGCCCTGCAAGAAGCAGCAAAAAAGAGAGAAATGAGGTATTCAGACCTGAAGAAGATTGACCGTGGGGTTCGCCGCCATTTCCACGATGACATAACTGTGATTGTTGTGTTTCTTGACTCAAACCTTGTGAGCAAGGCTACTTCGGGGAAGTGCCCAAATATATCAGTGAGAGGGGGTGGAATCAACCTGCCTCCTAATTCTCTGGCTCCTTATGCTACAGCGACGGAAGCTGGCAATACCTGATCAAACGGTATCTCATGTGTGTTTTTCTGTTGTACCATTATCTTGTGTTAATACTAGGGGTAGCTTCCAAGACAGATTACGAGGAGCGGGCCTTCAATTCTTTAATGTACACTGTAACTTTAACTGGAATCTAATACTTGCATTTTAGCTTCTGTGCCAACAACAAAAAGAACTGGAGAAGAGAACTTCAAGGTGACAGTAATCATAGCTATATTTCCTTGACCCTGTTCTTATCCTTTTCTTGTTTTGCTTTTTATTTCTTTTGGAATTTCAGATCTGTAAATTGTATGACATGGCAAATTAAGTTTTTGCTTCCATTTTCTTTGCATGTTTGTTCTCTTCTTTATTTATTTCATATTTGCCCTTCACTATAATGCAGCAGATATTGCAAATGATACATGACAGAAAATTGCCCACTATCATGCATTGCCGTGTATTTTAACTGTCTTTCGTGATGGTGCGTGGTTGGATGGGATATCGCCGTAGTGTGTGGTTAGCTGGGATATAGTGCATGGTTGGCTGAGATATCGCCGTCGTGTGTGGTTAGCTGGGATGTAGTGCGTGGTTGGCTGAGATATCGCCACAGTAACGTTCTCGTTGCATGAAAGTCCTCATGTTTGAGATTAAGATGAAAAAAGTGTCAAAGTATGACGACATATTATTGCATGTTTTCCACAATTAATAATCAGCTATTCCAGAAAGCACTTTTGCTTCTCGTGCTTCCTAATTGGAAATATAACGCGTTATGTTATATGAGGATATGAATGAATGCTTTTGAAACATCTGTGGCTGCCATGTACCTGAGCTTTGATGCATTGCCCTTGTACATAAAACTCTGATAAAATCTGCAATCACTGAGTTTCTGCTTTTAATTATAGGCCTTTTATAGCTCTAGCTGCTATACAATTTATACATCTATTGTGCAATATATCTAAGGTCCTACAAGAATTTCAAAATGAATATGTAAAAAAGGGAAGTAGGGAGTTATGAGGTGAGAGAAAGGCTCTTTTACTCTCACTTGTCAGACTTCTACCAGGGCATATTCTCCCACCAACTCACATACATAAAAAAACACCCTTATTTTGTGTCACCTAATTGCCATTTTTTATTATCTAACCCTAGACAACCAAGGCACACCCCTCAATGCCACTACAATATACCCTTCAGGATTTGAGCTAGATAACAACCGCAAAACACTATCCATCTCAGAAATTGTGCAAGGCCCATGGTCACAATCCCTCCATTAATAAGTCAAAACATTTCTTACCCAAACAAACTCAAAATAGTTTGATCTGTTTTCTACTTTGATCTTTGTTATTATTTTGGTCATTTTCCCTGTGTAGTTTTGTTTATAAATGAATCAAGCCCTACAAATGTAACAAATTTGAAGACAGAAATACCGTGACGTGTAGTATTTGTATATTGTCACATCGAATTTCTACGTGTAGTTTAAATTAAGGGCACAAAAAGAAGTAGATAAGAAGCTTCCTCATGCTAACCTCACTTCCTCCACTTGCAAAATGTCAAAGGCAAATATTGTTACTTAAATAATAGTAGCAGAAAATTCCTGATGCTTGGTACATATAATCTGATTAGGTTTTGGGCCAGATTTGACTAATGGGAAGACACTGTGTGTGATTCTGTGAATAGCATCTGGCAAGTCTCTGATTATTTGGTTGGAAATAAAATAGTTAAAAGGTTTTACATGCTCAAAATCCAGGGCAAACTTTGATGCACTCCCTAGATCCTCGGCTGTCATTCTCATATGCCTCTCCAAATCTTTTTATAATACTACGCAGTCAAATGTTATGATGAAACTATTTTCCTTCGTTTGGAAGAGAAAAAATAATTCGAAATTTAGCTAAAAGTAGGGAATTTAAGTGGAGAAATTGACAATTCCCTTGTTTGTCAACTTAAGCTTAGAATTTATTAAATGACGCGTAGGAAAAATTGTGGAAATTGGAACATTAAATTTCCGAGTTTAATTTACTTTACACCAAAATAAGCTTCATTTAACAATTTCCATAATGTCATTTACAAAATTCATCCTACATAAATCCAAACACTGAAATATTCAATTGCCATAAATTGAAATTATGAAAATATAAATTCCGTCATTTTAAAATTTTATGTAATTTTCAATTCCTTCATCCAAGCAAAGGGTTAATGACAAATTGACAATGTAGTATAAATTATAAACATAATTAAGTGGTAATTCATGTTTGTAAGTATTATTGCTATTTTGATATCTATGCAGTACTAATAATCGAATCCCTATTTAACTTCTTTTTAAATAATCTTTTATATTGAGAGGGATAATAATATACTAAACTTACACACACTATACATATATTAGGACTTGAATCCAGAACCTTGCCTGAGAGAGCAATTATTCAAAACCACTATATTAGTGAGTCCTTTGCTATTTAACTTTGTTTTAGATGTTCATATATGTACATGTAGCTGATAATTATGACGCGTATGAAATTAATTTCGAAACTAACACGTTGAAAACTAATAATTGTTTACCTCATTTGCTTAAGTTGTACTTAGAACAATCATCTGCAGATGAGTAATTGTAAGTCCTTATCATGTTTTGCCCTAGTGCACCCCAAGTAGTAATCCTTAACACATTTATTTATAAATTTTGAAGAAAGCATATGAAGTTAATGACCTGCAAAGTTCATATGGAACTCAAATCAGATCTAACTGAGGTACTCATTGCACAATGGTACCACGCACCTGGTTCCCAAATGGACCAAACAGAAAACTTCTTTTTGCTTTATGTCACTCTCACACCAGAGAACTTCAAATTCTTGCAAAATCCGAGTGCCATTTCCATGGATTTCACTTGTTGGGTAGACAATTTCGAAGGGATAGATTTTTCTTTATGGGAAAGACAATGACAGTTGAGACTTTTCGCTACAGTAAAACCCCATGCTTGACTGTTAATTTAGGGAGGTTCTGTTCGTACCAATGGAAATGTCTATTTCAACGACCAATTAATGAGCTTCTTTCATTGTTTTTAGGTTATTTTCATATTAACTGTTTTAAACAATATTTAATTATTTCAAATTTGTATGAAGAATGGGAATAGAATACTGTCATGTTGATTGGTTAGTATATTTGTATTCGTAAGTTATTGTATTTGTATTGGCCTTGTGATTAATCCGACGGCCTGAATTATAAATGCAAGTTTTCAACTTCGAAAAAAAAACCTGTTATTATTGTTTTGCAAGGCTAGACCAGCATGAATATCAACTTTTGTTTAGCTTTAATGAAAACTTCAGACACTATCATTTTAGGTAAACTTGATAATAAGAAGAAAAGAAACTCTCAAGTTCCCATTCACTCTTCCAAACTCTCTCTAACTTTCTGAACAAATTAGAATTTATGATGACATGTCCCTTTTTATATTATAAAATCAGATAGAAAACAACAAGGACACCCAAGACAAGACAAAGAGACCTCTGGTTTCTGCAGTGGTGACCACCCCTTCACCATTTATTTACTGAGTTTGACTCCTCTTTTTACTCACCAGCCTGCCACTCTAGCTCTAGGGGTGTGTGTGTTTGTCATCCTTCTAAAACCTCAATGTTTAATTGTTGTAAACTTTTTTATTTTTCTTTGATTTAATTATTTGTTTAGTTAAGGTCTTGTGGGAGAAAAAGAAAGAGTGGCTGGCTGAATGGGTTTATTATCAGAAAAATTTGTGTGAAACATGTATAATATTGTTTTGCTATTCTCAGTTAATTACAGATTGTTACGTAGAATAATTATCACTTATAATATATTATTATTGATCAAAAATAGGAAAACATCGATATCCTATTTTATATAAGTGTTTAATTGTTCCAAACTTTTTATTTTTCTTTAATTTAGTTATTTATTAAGGTCTTGTGAAGTTGCCCCAAGTCTTGTGAAGAAATAGAAAAAATGGCTGCATGGGTTTACTGTTGATATATGCAATGCCAAGTTGCCAACTAATTGAGCTCGAATTACCAAATAAAAGACAGGAACACACTCTAGCTCTCTCTCTCTCTCTCTCTCTCTCTTTCTCGAGCCCCTACCTTCTTTCCCTCCTAGGGTTCTGCCTGGCATTTACTCTGTCATCTACTTGCTCTCTCTCTGTGCATACATGTGGTTAACTAATCGTGAGTGGGTTAAGGTTAACTGGTTAAGCGGACTGGATGAGATAAAAATCTCTCCTAGAAAGGAGAAACCTGTCTGTTGAACGGTGCTTTTAAGCAGAAAAGTATTTTCTTCCCAAAGCACAAAATAAAATAAAATAAGGCACTCTGCTGCAGTATACATCTGTGCACTCTCTCTCTCTCTGTGTTTGTGTGAGAGGCTGCGATCAAGGCACTGTGCTAAGAGATGAACTGGGTTATGGCTTTTAGAGAGCTGCATTTCTAGCTTAAAGAGATAGGTTGCTCTGAAACTTCTACAAAAGCTATATTTTTAACTTTATTTCTATAAAACCCCAGTTCAGGCAAGCACATTCTCCATTTGGGCAAAACCCCACCTCCTTTTTATCACAAGAAAATACACAGATTCCTCCAAAAAACCACCTTTCTCACTTTAACCCATTTTTATCTCCTAAAAGCAGCCTCAAGCCCCTCAAGACCTATTGTAGTGAGAAAAGCTTCCAACTTTAACAAGATAAGTGATGGGGGGATGTGTTGCCTCTAAGCTAGAGGAAGAAGAAGGAGTAGTAACCATCTGTCGAGAGAGGAAACGCCAGCTGAAGTTAGCAGTGGAGAAAAGATGTGCTCTTGCAGAGGCACATTGTAAGTATTGTCATGCTTTATATGCAGTAGCTGCAGCCGTAGACCTCTTTGTTGCAGGCTACTCTTCTCCTCCTTCACCTTTCCTCATCACATTTTCACCACACTCACCTCCTCCAATCACTGAAAATGTGATAACCAACCCAATGTTCCTTCAGCAAAGGCCATCTGAGTCAACCCATGAAGCCATTACCTGTGCTTCATGTGCTTCTTCAACATCCTCAGAGTACTCTGAGGAAGAGAGAGAGGAGGAAGAAGAAGAAGTAAAAGAAGAAAAAGCAGAGGAGAGAGAAGAACAGGCTTGTGGGTACTTTTATATGCAAATGCCACCATCAATGCCATCTCCTCAGAGAGATTTTGGGTGGGATTTCTTTAACCCTTTTGACGCCGTGAGGCCGGAGATTATAAGCAGTTACAGGCGGAGCTCTGAAGATGATTTGAGGGTGGTGAGGGAAGAGGAAGGGATACCTGAGCTAGAAGAGGAAGGGGTTCCTGAGCTAGAAAAGGAAGGGGTTCCTGAGCTAGAAAAGGAAGGGGATAGAGAAAAAGAGCAAGAAAAGAAGGTAATGGTGGTAGAAGAAAATGTTGATGCAGAGCAAGAAAGTGCAGGTGAGGTGGTGAAGGTAGTTGATGAAGCTAATGTGAGCCATGGAGAGCATAAAGGACTTGCTGTTGTTGAGACACCAGCTGAAGGAAGGGAGCTATTGGAAGCATTGAGGGACATTGTTGACCTTTTTACTAGGGCTTGTGATTCTGCAAAAGATGTGTCTAGGATGTTGGAGGCTAACAAAGTGCAATTGCAGTCTGGTTTGGAGGAAATAAAAGGTAGGTCTTTGTTTTCTTTTCAAAACTTGAAATTTAACCGCATTTTCTTAATGCCATTTTTATGGGATGAATTCCCTTTCTGTATGAACTATGCATGAGTTCTGTTGTCCGTTACAGCACAATTTTAAGCTGATCTGCGGAGTGTTTGGTGATAAATATGGGTGGCACAATTAATTTGTTGTTTTGGATCTTGACCCTTCTGTGTATTTCTTTTGTCTTCTCGTATTACTTTGCATGTGCCCTGTTTGTGGGCTGAAATTTTGGTTTCAGAAGATGAAGATATTTGTTCTTATTCTGGTCCTACATGAGTCTTGGTTTCATTTGTTTGTGCACTTTTTCTTCAAATTCTTAGTTTTTCCTTTCGGGCATTATTTTCTTTTACATTTGATAGAAGCAAATATGTAGGGGCTTTCTTTTCTTCATGAAGTTTACATTTTTCTCCAAATTTTTGTCTGAATGATCTGCATTATGCATTCACTTTGTTGATCTGTTTGTAGCTGCCTAGATTTCTTTCAACTTTATTGAACTAATAGAGAGAATGCCTAAACAATTCCCATTTGCTTCCAACTGCCCTTTTAGTTATTCCACTATCTTCTGAAAAGATCAATGGTGGGGCTCATTTAGTTTTTATGTTTGTTTAACAGAGAATGTATTGTTCTGTTTAAACTTTTTCCGTGACTTGGTTTTTACATATATACCCGAGTCCTATTTCCAAATTGTTCCAGACTAAACAAGGATATGGTTTGGTGGACCTCAGTTTCATTTTCTTTTCTCAAAAGGTTGGAATATTCTTGCAAATGTAGATCATCTTCTTTTTCAAATGAGAGGTCTAATAATCACTTTTAATGCTCTCTATCTGTTTTGATGTTATTGGTCTCTTACTCTATTTCCATCTCCATATAACATTTATAGTTCTTCACTGATCCTATTTTAATTCAGAGAACTCAACAAAGCTAATTCAAGCTATAGCATGGCATCAATCGTCGTCATCATCCAAGCTTTCATCATGTAAGAGTCTCGTATCGTCTAGCTCCAAGAGTTCTTCAACATGGACAGAATTTAAGAATGATCTTTTTGATGATTATGGAGGAATGGATTCAGGAAGTCATGCGCTTACTCTAGGAAGGTTATATGCTTGGGAAAAGAAGCTCTATGAAGAAGTTAAGGTAAGCTATTTTTGCTGAAAACAGTCTCCCTGAGTCTGACTAACCCAGCACATGTTTCCTTTTCAGCAAGCTATAAACTTGAGTTGCAAGCAAAGAACGGACAACACAAACACTTAAACTAATTTGTTATTTTTACTAATGTGGTCTGAGTATTTGACATTTACATTGCCTTTAGGCTGGAGATATCACACGGAAACTATATGAGAGAAAATGCTCGCGACTTAAGCACCAGGATATAGGAGACGATGACGCCATGGACAAAACTCGAGCTGCAGTAAAAGATTTATATGCTAGGATCCTGGTTGCAATTCGGAGTGCTGAGTCAATCTCCAAGAGAATCCAGATACTGAGAGATGAAGAGCTGCAGCCCCAAATTGTTGAGTTGTTGAAAGGGTATGGAAGTTAACAGATAGAACTTAAGCAGTCCTCCAAATTACTTTCACTGTGGGTTTCATCAGTTTTCATTTTCCTTGTATCTTGTGCAGCTTAATGCGCACCTGGAAAATTATGTTGGAATGTCATGAAACCCAAAACAAGATTCTTTTTGATGTGAAATCTTTTGCCGGCTCCACGTATGGAAAGTTCAGCAACAACTCTCACAGGCGAGCAACACTTCAGCTTCAGGTCGAGCTTCAGAATTGGCATGAATGCTTTAAGGAGTATGTTGCAGCACAAAAAGCATACGTCGAAACTCTCCATGGTTGGCTGACCAAGTTCGTGGTCCCTAAAGAGGAATTCTACTCTAGGAGCAGTTCAGCTGTGCCATATGGGGTCAATGGTCCACCATTGCTTGTGATTTGTCGTGATTGGTTGGTTTCTGTGGATAAATTACCGGATAGGGCGGTCACCATTGCCTTGAAAAGCTTCGCAAAGGACGTGAGGGCTCTGTCTCTTCAGCAAGGGGAAGAACAGCAACAAAAAAGGAAAGTTGACAGCCTAGCAAAAGAGCTCGACCGGAGAATTCTATCATTCCAGAAGACAGAGAGCAGGCTTCTTGAGCCAAATCTTATGGAACACAAATGCGAGTCAGATATGGAACGACAGAGTGAGTCCTTGACAGAGAAGAAGGAGCAGCTAGACGTGTTCAGAAGAAAGCTGGATGTGGAGAGGGAAAAACACCAAAATTACATGAAAGAAACTCAAAGGATCACATTGAAAGGATTTCAAACTGGGTTTTGTGCAGTTTTTGAGTCCTTGTCCGAGTTCTCCAAGGCTTCTCAAAAAATGTACAATGAACTAGTTACTTGCAGTGAAAATGCAGAAAAAGTTGGGAACCCAGCGTATATAGAAGGCACAAAGCATGAAGAAAATAGCAGCAGGTGACATATGGGCTTTTGAGAATTTGGAACTGTGGATTGTATTTGTATATATATTGTGTCAAAGCCGCTCGCTGAGACACAATTATTTTAAGTTTTTAGGGGTGGTCTTGTATTGTAGCAACGAATTGTTAAATGTTGCTATAATTAGTTGTTATGATTGGTATCTGCAACTCTCGTGGTAGACTTCTTTGTTTCCAAATGAACAGAACTTTCTCCATGGTTTCATACAGTTCTGACTCCTGAGCACATTAAAATTGCATCACCTCGGATGGTTGTGGCGTGCGACTGATTTAGGGCCGATGCATGTGAGTCTCACAATATACAGTTTTGACTTCTAGAACATCAAAATTGCATCATGGTTGTGGAGGTTTAAACAGAAGGAACGTGATTCCCCTTGTTAAACCCACATGTATCTACTTGTCAGAAACCATCCACCCGCATCCGAACAACGTATCTCAGCACTCTTGTAAGAATTTCAGAAAGGCACTGACTTGTCGTCATATGTGAATTTAAGGGCTGTGGCCATCATTCCCACTGGAAAAGCAAAAGCATATCGTGCAAAATTGGACAAGAAGATGGAGGTGCCTACGCCTACGCATCTTTTCATGCTCCTCAAGATTGGTTATTACAACTCAAATATCTTTCCCGTCCTATTCATGGCTCCAAGTTTGACAATAATTATGCAAAAATTATTCATTTTGTAGAATTACGGCTGCCTGACTCGACAAACAACCTACTAAAAGCCGATGAACCAAACTTGTCCCACGATTCTACTCCACCAAGGGCCCATGGGCTTCAATTCCTTGGCTTTCAATTCAGCCACGAGTTCCCTTGGTGGCCACAGACGTCAAGCTCAGAGATCTACCAAGCAATCAACACACTACCTTCTATCACCATCCTTTTTATTCCAACTCTCAGTATAAGCAAATGACTTTTTACAAGAGTAGATTTTAGGGAACTCAGGTTTATCAGTGTCTATGGAGTGCCATTAGCATTCTGGTTATATGGAATCGACAAAGGCTCATACAGGTACATAACAAGCGCTTGGCAGGAGAATTGGAAGCTAAATCTGATCTTATGAGTTGGTGAATGGGAGTTCGGAAACCACATTTAGAGCTTTCAACTCCTAAACTCCAAAAAGTAGGGACCTAAGGATACAAAATAACATAGAAATAGAGTTGTTAAACCCCGAAGGGTTGGAAATAGCAACTCCTGGATCCGAATAGAATAGAGGAAAAGGATGAAGGAGAAACAGGTAAGGGAAAGAGAGAGAGAAAGAGAGTGTGAGCGAGTAAGTGAACGATAAGTTCCACTACTTTCTATTGTTAGTTTTGTACATGTGATACACATCCTTGAAAAAAAAGCATGGGTATGATCATGCCAACGAATAATTACAGATTTCACATATAAGTCGTGGGTACAATGCTCCTTTACCTTAAATATAGGGAGACCACTAATTGCAAAAAAATTATAAATTCGCTTACTACAGCAGCCGGAGAGTGGATGCCAAGAAATGGAACAATGTCTACCTGCAGAAAATTCTCTACTGCTGAGCCCACCACGGCACCAGCAACAAGCCCCCCTATGGTTATGATAGTCGCCTTCCCTGCAAACATGAACAGAAAATCACTCCAAAGTACTAAATGTCTAAGATCAGATTAGAAAAAAAACACACACAAACTAAGGAGCATGAAGTATAGGAATTTCCCTTTTTTTCATTTTCAATAACCCAATGCAATAATCTTCTTTAGATTCACTGTACCATATTTAAAGAATGCAGATATCCAGCTCAAATGCCGAAATGGCAGGTGAGAAATACTCTTTTGTTAACAAGACCACTACTTTCCAACCACTTTCTTATGCAATAGTTAGGGACACATTGGATCCATCATTATCAAAGTTGAAGGTAGATAACCCTACCTAAATAAACAAATCCTAGATTTCCATTCATGATTATGAGACTATCACATAGAAACTAGTATTCTCCAATGCCTTACAATCTAATAAGCAGTAATAAAGAGAAGTCTGTACCAAAGAAAACTACATACCTAACTTAATATTCTTTTTGGTCATGAAGTACAAGGAAGCTCCAAAGCTACCGGCCAGGATCAGTCCAGGAACATCAGCCCCTCCATATGGCCCCACAGAGGAACTGGAAGCTCCATTGACATAAGTTAAGGCCATCAAAGCTCCGTATACACCAGCTTGTACGCCCAGATCACTAGTTGAGGGTGTTTCAACTGCAATGGGTGGATTCTTCACATTAGCTTGCAACCACTGAGGCACTGATCCAATTCCAGGAGCACTCACCGGCTTAACATCAGCATAACGAACGCTACTATTCACAACTTTCCCCGCTCGTCGCTGAGTCAAGCTTCTCATAAGTAACATGTCGTATGCAGCCTCAACCTAAACTAATTAATATTAGTGATAAGGAAATCATAATTAGGGTACAAAATGCCAAACCAAAACTAGCGACCACCAGAATATATGCTTGTGATATTTACCAAAAAAATACCATCATTTGCAATGGTCCTAAAATCAAATATTATATCAAATAAACGAGTAAAACAAATGAAACTATTCACTCTACAAATTCTAAGCATTTAAAATAACATATTAATACGAAACTTACTAATTAATATGCTCAAATTTACGTGAACTAGAGCTAGAGTGAATTGACCAAAAAAAGAAAGAAAGAAAGAGCTAGAGTGGCTAAACTTAAACATTATTCAATAAGTTCCACATTAAAAACTCAAATCTCTCCAATTTTGCTGGAATTGATTAGTTCAACTTCAACCCACTTTGATTTGTAGAAAACCCAGACAAATCATACAAAAGTGATTGACATAAATTTCAGAAAGTCGAAAACTTTTTTGAAGTTGAATGGAAAATGAGGAGATATAGCAACCTGCGCAATCGCCTCCTGGTCATCTTTACAAGCATCGACAATCGAGTTCTTGGCGCGAAGAATTTCATCGAACGACGCGCCGTCTGATACGCCGAGGAGCTTCAGGGCGTTCTCCACCGACATCTCGAACGGCGCCGAGTCATCGGCTCTGGAGCCGGCTTGGACAAGAGTGGCGGCCCAGGCTAATGTGCGGTTGGAGGGGACGATAGAGCCTCTCCAGGGCTCGAATTGCACGTCGGGTTTTCGGAGGCGGGCCGGAACTGGCCGTCGAACCGGTGGCCGAGGGAAGGATGAACCGGCGGAGAGGCGGTTGGGCCGGACCGAGAGAGTGGCTGCCATGTGTTCGGAGAAATGTGAGGCTGGATTTGGTGCGAAACGTGCGTGGCGATATGGGGCTTTGGTCATAAAACCAAACAGTTTGGTTTAGAATGTTGCGTTTGGCTGCGCCTTTGCGGTCATCTAAAATTGTGGACCGTTGATCGACATGTTATCGGATTTAAAGGATGACCAATCAATAATTTGTATTATTATTGCCTTTGATCTATATTTCTTTTAATCAACATGGAAATTGGAACTTGGTAATTATTTTAACGTTGAAAAGAAAGTTACCCTTCTTTTAAGAGTGTGTATGATCTACAAAGAGACGTGTGTTAATTATCAAAGGAAGAGAAGAGAGCCATAATAAAAGATGGAAGTTTACATTTTCTATCCTTTATATAATTTTAGTGATAAGTTCATCTCACACATCTTATGTCACTTAAGTTAAAACTCATAAACATTTTAATCTTTAATCATAGGTTTAAAAAAACTCATGATATACAGTACTACTTGTATTATACTTTTGGTTAATGCACTCTCATTTTCTCATTTCAAGTCACTTCTATGTATGCATGATATGTGTGCAATGTAATCATTGTCACTGATTGTTTTTTTATTTTATTTTTATACAACTAGATGAGTTGAGTTAGTGTTCAATCATTCTACATAATTCATTAAACAAATCAGGTCAGTTACAGTATTTGAAAGAAAAAACTTGAAATAACATGATACGAACACGATTCATTGACACAAATTGTGACCCCTACTCCCAATTTTTTTAATCGTATTTGCATTATCCCTAGCTTACTTTTCATCGTTGTTCTTGATAGCTTTATAGTTTCAGCTTCAAACTTATAAACTTGGTTGGTTTAGTGATTTACCCACAGACGGAAAGAAAAAAACAAAAAAACAAAAAAAAACACTTGGTTTAGTTTAATCTTTGTTCTTCTTTGTCGTGTGGGTCCCGTCCAAGTTAGCGGGTTTTGGCGCCACACATCGTTTCCTGGATATCGGTTGCAGAACTCCGCACAACCCACGAGCCATAAACGTGTTACTTGGCACGCTTATGGCCAGAGCCGAAAAAAGAAAGCAGAAAGACATGCTAATCCTTAATCGTTGTCGTTAGTTACCCAAAAGGTGGGAACTCAATTTGGAAACGATGTCGTTGGCTTGTTGTTGGAGGCTCACTCTGACGTTCCCACCAACCACGCCGGGTTTCTCTAGCAGAAGCCGAAGTGGGTTTCGTTGCAGAGCTTATGCTGAACAAGACCATGCAGCCGCCAATGGAAGCTCAAACAAGAAGGAAAAGAAGAAGGTTGTCGTTGTTGGCTCTGGCTGGGCTGGCCTTGGCGCTGCTCACCACCTCTGTAACCAGGTCCAATCTCTCTCTCTCTCTCTCTCTCTGCTTCATGTTTAAGTGGGTGAAATTTGAGTGCCTAATTTGGTATTTATTTGCAGGGTTTTGATGTCACTGTTCTTGAAAGTGGTAATGACTTGGGTGGACTTGAAGAAGTTGGTATCCGGGGTAACCAATCAATATTTTGCCTTGGATTTTCGATTTTGGAAAATGTGTTTTGCTGATTGAGTTCTTTTTATTTCATATTTGATTTATAAGTACACACCCTTTTTGATTTTTTGAGAAGCCCAAAGTAAGCATTTTTATGGCAAGTAGAAAAGTTCACATAGTTGAATTCTGCTATGTTTTGTAGGTTATTGGTATCCCTACCAGAACATTTTCAACCTTGTTGATGAGCTGGGTATCAAACCATTCACTAACTGGACAAAATTTGCACAATATTCAGCAGAGGGATTGGAGGTAATCAATTGACATCTTGCTTTTGGTTTCTGTGTTCAAACACGGCTTCCTGGTTAGTTTCTTGTTCCTGTTGAAATTGCGTTAGAGGATTTGGAATGTGTTAATGGGAGGCAGGAACATTCTGCAGGTTGAATTTCCAGTATTTCAAGACCTTCCTCAATTGCCAACTCCACTGGGAACCTTATTCTATACACAGGTCTAATTTGCTTGCCCCCTTATGTCTCATTTCTTATTCCAGTGGAAAAATTTAGCAGATTTGTGTTGATCAATATAGGTTATATCCTGTGCAGTTTGTTCAGCTTCCATTGGTTGATAGATTAACTACGCTTCCCTTAACGGCAGCAGGTATAGTCTTTTACCAAAATGTGGAATTTAATTTTAAATGCTTAATTAGTGAACATTTATTTGCCAAAGGAGCTTGTAGGAAGTTGTAGTGAGTTCTGTTAATCAGTTATTCCATTGTTTCTTTGTTCGAAAAGGCAAAAATAGATCACAAATTATGATTGTGTGAGCGAATGTTGGAGGAAATTGTTGAATTGTAGTACATCACATCTTACAAATCCTGCACATATCAACACATCTGTGTCTTTTCTTTACAGTGATTGATTTTGACAACACGGATACAGCCTGGAGAAAATATGATTCAAGTAAGGCTCTATATGTCAGGAGCTCTATGGAGTTCCATCGTTTGGATAATGATTTGTTACATGTGATGGATAAACTCAAACTTAAGTCTTATTAAGAGTTTTAACTGGTAGTTACCGCAAGGGAGCTTTTTAAGCAGTTTGGCTGCTCAGAAAGGCTTTATCAGAATGTCTTATCGCCATTGCTTCAAGTGGGTCTCTTTGCTCCAGCAGAACAATGTAGTGCTGCCGCAACTCTGGGCTTGCTGTCTTACATCCTTGCTCACCAGGTGTGATTAAATGAATTACTTTCTGGAGTCAGAAGGATCTTTGCTCATGATTCTTACAGACCATCTGCGAAATATCTGTTCACTCGAACTCTTCCTTTTGCCAAATACTAGAGCAGATATATTTTACCAGTGCAAAGTTTCCCATAACGCGAATCTTAAAGTACATTCAACCTGAAGTACATTTATTTGTCACTTTTGAGAAATATCTTATGTTTTCATCCTTTCTCCTTATTATCAACTAAAATCCTAATTTTGTTGATGTGTATAGAAAGATTTCGATCTTGTATGGTGTCGTGGAACAAGTAGAGAAAGGATTTTCAAGCCCTGGGTTGAGTCTTTGACGGCTAAAGGCTGCAAATTCGAGAAGCGTATAAGAGTAACAGACTTCTTAATTAATGAGGAAACAGGTTGTGTTTCAGAAGTAATTTGCGGTAAAGAAATTTATAATGCTGATGCTGTTGTCTTAGCTGTTGGAATCTCCACTCTTCAAAAACTTATTGAAAATAGGTATTGTTTTATCAAATTTCAGAATGTAAAATTCATTCTGTCTTATGTCCAATGTCATTGAGCGATAATGTTAAAAAGTACAGTGAGAACTAGATTCATTCTAACTATCATCCACATGAAAGCCTAAACAATAATTTTATCCGAATAAATATTTGTGCATCTTAGAGTTTCAATTGACCCTATTGCTGCTATTCTACCTTAATTGGCAGTACTTGAGTTCTGTATAGTGCAGTGTTGTGTACAAGGGAGGAGTTTCTTAAGGTTTTGAACTTGGCTAGCATTGATGTACTCTCTGTTAAGCTCTGGCTCGATAGGAAGGTGAGTTCAGTGGAAGTCCAATTTCAACATCACTTCCTTCTCTATATATTATGTGGGAAGGGTAATTTTATGAAATTTTTATGAGCCGCACCAAACCTAGCCTGCTGCTTATTTCTGAGCTTTCTCCTTTGCTTTAGTTTTTCAAATATAGAATATCTACCTTACTAGTTAGCCACTTTGATTTGGATAGTATTTATATAGATTAAATATGCTAGTAAAAGGGTATTTTTCCAGTTATGTTTTGACAGAGCTGATTCTGTGTTGTAAACTCCACACATAACCAGGTTAACATTTCAAATGCAAGTAATGCTTGCTCTGGATTTGATGATTCATTTGGGTGGACTTTCTTTGATTTGAATGCAATCCATGACGAATATAAAGATAGTTCGGTAACAGTGTTACAAGCTGATTTTGTGAGTATCTTCATGTGTTTCTTTCTTCTCTGATCTTGTCATTATTCACACAATTTACTTTAGAAATTAAATCTTATCTTTAGTTTGTCCCAAATGTCTGATGAGCAGTATCGTGCCAATGAGTTGTTGCCGCTGAAGGATGAACAAATTGTTTCCAAGGTGACATCTTACCTGTCAAACTGCATCAAGGACTTCAAGAATGCTACTGTGACAGATAAGGAGATTGGCAGATTTCCAAACTCCTTGACTCACTTCTTTCCTGGTAAGAGTTTTTATGGCATGACCTATATCCTGTCTTATTATATGAATCAGATTGTTTAGCTACGGCATTAAAGTAAACTAACTGTATTATAAGGGGCACATTTCTGTGGTAAGAATGAACTAAGGAAAGAATGACTTTATCAGATGGTAAATCATACTTCTGTTCACAACACCAGTTTCTTTTTCTCTGTTGTGTCCTCTCTTAACAGGCTCATATAAGGACATGATGCGTGGCTCTACATCTTTCCCGAACTTGTTCATGGCTGGAGACTGGATTATAACCCGACACGGTTCATGGTCACAGGTTAAGGATTCATACTAACCATTATTCTTATCTTCATGGATCAAGATAAATGCAGAAAAGTTGAAAATATGGTTTGCTGCATTTCCTTCACAGGAGAAATCTTATGTCACGGGACTTGAAGCTGCCAACCGCACCGTAGACTATCTTGAAGAAGGAAGCTTTGCTAAAATCATACCTATAGAGGAAGATGAACCTCATATTCAAGCACTTCGCAGCCTTAACAGAAGCTTCAATGAGATCACAGCACAATTTCCATTGTCTAGTTATTTCCTCCAATGAACTTGTCTGTTTGATTTTCTCTTTTTGCTGCATTTTTATGCCTATGTATCTATTCTTACTATTGAATAAAGAAATCTTATAAAATCCACAGTTATGAACCTTATCATTTCATGAATTGAGTGTTTGAATTGATTGGCCTATGGGGTATGCATGAAGTCATGGTAGTTGCTAAGTTATTAGTCTAAAGAGTTATTGACTGAAATGGTCCTCCAACTTTTGCTCCAGTCTCATTTTGGCCCTCCAACTAAAATTTTCATTTCAATAGTCCTCCAACTTTCCAGTTAGTATAAAAATGGTCCTATCGTTAGAGCCTGTCAATTTCGCCATTAAATACAGGGGTAACCATAAAATCATCCACATGTTGAAAACTCCTCCAAATTAGAACCCTAGCTCCATATGCGGAGAGGTGGGCTTCATGAGTTTCTCAAAAACTTTGTTCTTCTTTTACCACTTTGATTCGGGTGGGCGTGTTTCAATATGTTTCAATAGGTAGAACATTATTACTAATGAAAGTAATTAAATCAGGCTAAGATATTATTCAATTACTGAAAATATTTTTAAAAAATAAAAATTATTGACCTAAAGATACTAGGTTTATATTTATTTTTTCAAGGAAACCTTTCCCGATGAAATTTCGTCGCAAAGGTCTATACCGACAAAATTTGCCGGATTAGGTTTTCCCCGACGAAATTTTGTCGGGAGAGGTTGTTTTGCTTTTTATATTTAAAATTTTAAAATTTTAAAATATAAAATTAGTTTATTTACTTTTGTTTTTTGGCCAACTTCTTTAATTTAATACATGTAATTAGGTAATACCTTAGCCTTTTTTTAATTATTTTAATTAGTAATTATTATTTATTTAGTGAATATTTAAATATTTTACTGATTTTGTAAATTACTTGGTAAATAGTAATTAATTGTTTTGAATTATTTTGTGGACTTTATTTTTTGTTCTTTGATATTGAATAGTCATTAAAATATGTGCGTACTTGTACAATACGTGTATTATACGTTTGCTTTCATTATAACGAGTCTTTAAGACGTATACGGAAAACAGAAGTATTATTAAAAAATACGTACGCACGTGTATAATATGAGTATTAAATGGGGAAGTGCTAAATTCTTTATACGGGTAATAACTTTGAAAAAGTAAAAAAATCAAAAGGGGACAATAGCTATACCTTGGCAATGGCCTAAACGTAATGGATACTGCTCAAGATTGGTCTTATCGACAAAGGAAAATCATGGAGAAATAATTTAAAAAACAAAAAGGCACCCATTAGATATTTAAAGAGTATATCATAATTCGAATTTCTCTTTTTTAATTACTTATGTTTTAATTGTTATTTACTTAGTGAATAATTAGTATTTAATACTAATTATTCACTAGAGAAATAATAGGTAGAACATAATGCTAAGATATTATTCAATTACTAAAAATATATTTTTAAAATAAAAAATTATTGACCTAAATATACTAGGTTTGTATTTATTTTTTTAAGGAAAGAAACCTCTTCCAACGAAATTTCATCGGCAAAGGTCTATATCGACAAAATTTGCCAGATTAGGTTTCCCTCGACGAAATTTCGTCGATAGAGGTATTTTCGTTGGGAGAGGTCTGCGCACCTGTGCCGACGAAATTTCGTGAAATTTCGTCCTGAAATTTCGTCGGGGAGATTATTTTGCTTTTTATATTTAAAATTTTAAAATTTTAAAATATAAAATTAGTTTCTTTACTTTTGTTTTTTGGCCAACTTCTTTAATTTGATACATGTAATTAGGTAATACCTTAGCCTTTTTTTAATTACTTTAATTAGTAATTATTATTTATTTAGTGAATATTTAAATATTTTAATGATTTCATAAATTACTTGGTAAATAGTAATTAATTGTTTTGAATTATTTTGTGGACATTGTTTTTTGTTCTTTGATATTGAATAGTCATTAAAATACTTGCGTACTTGTACAATATGTGTATTATATTTTTGCTTTCATTATAACGAGCCTTTAAGACATATACGGAAAACGGAAGTATTATTAAAGAAAACATATGCACGTGTATAATACGAGTATTAAATGGGGAAATGCTAAATTCTTTATACGAGTAATAACTTTGGGAAAGTAAAAAAATCGAAAGGGGACAATAGCTATACCTTGGTAATGGTCTAAACGTAATGGATACTACTCCAGACTGGTCTTATCGACAAAGGAAAATCAAGGAGAAATAATTTAAAAAACAAAAAGGCACCCATTAGATATTTAAAGCGTATAGCCGCGCGGCTATACTCCATAAATATAATATTTTAAAGGTACAGCCGACCGGCTATACTATATAAATACCATAATCCGAATTTCTCTTTTTTAATTACTTATGTTTTAATTGTTGTTTACTTAGTGAATAATTAGTATTTAATACTAATTATTCACTAGAGAAATAATAGCTAGAACATAATGCTAAGATATTATTCAATGTGGGAGATATGCTTTCAAACTTGCAACACTATTTTCTGCAATTTACTTACTGTTCCATTTGTTACCTTTCACGTACGTTTGAATTGTAGATGGCAAAACAAACAATGGCCTTCTCTTTACAAGCACTTCGCTATCGTGTGGATCAAAAGTTGTATCATCTTCAGGTTGGTTCTGTTTTTATCTTCTTGTCTTTTAGTCTTATTTGTATATTTTGATTGTGAGCTACCTCCCTGCACTAACTCATAATTGTTTCCTTTTCATCATGGTTTTAATGCTTTTCTTACTCACACTAATTCATTGTCAAATTGAAAACTGGGGCATTGCCGGACCCCTCAATCTCCCATACGCACAAGTGCATATAAGAAGTACCGCATGGATGAATATCCAACCGGCACAAATGCAATCATTGCTGTATTGTCATATACTGGGTGAGAAACTTTGAGACGAAAAAAACTTATATATGTAGTTGTTTCTTTTGATTTGTAGCATCATATGAAATCTAGGTATGATATGGAGGATGCCATGATTCTAAACAAGTCATCTGTGGAGCGTAGAATGTTTCACGGACAAATATATCAGGTTTCTTCTTGCAATGTTGCACTGCACTACTATAAATTTTTTTCAAACTTTTTTTAAAATATCTTTTAGGTCTATTTTAGATGGCACTATGAACATTCATGTTCCCAAAAGTATCGTTCATTTGCTCTGCTTTTTATTAATTTTTCACTGGTGCTTCTTTAGCTCACCAAACGATGGTTTTGCAGACAGAAACAGTTGACTTGTCTGATCAAAAGAGCAGGTCAGATGGTTCTGGGAAATATTTCAGGGAAAGTAACATTGAGAGGCATCGTTCAATTGGTTCAGATGGGCTTCCTTGTGTTGGTCAGGTTAGCATTCATGTTCTGGAATTTTATTTTCTGGTCTATATTATCTTGTTCCGTTTTGTGTTGAGCCCATATAGTTGGGATCACGGTAACTGGAAATGATGATCTGAGTAAATTCACAAAGAAATATATAAATGTACATGTACAGAGAGAAAATTTAATTGATGGAATCACGCAAATGTGGGATGTGAGAGGCTGGTTACATGGCCATGTTTTTCCGATTGCCTTGCCTCTCACATCCTGCACTTCTGGCCCTATGTATGCATGTACTGACTATTCTGTGCTAAATCTCAGACAATAAAACCAGATGAAGAATATTATAGCATCTATAATGAGGTAAACAATGAGCGACATGCCGTCAAACGAAAAGGTTCAGAGGCTGTCATCGTTGACTATGTTGCTATAGATGGGAAGAAGCATCTTCAGAATCATCCGCAGAAGGTAAGTGGACAACCCGATTGCAATGTTAAGCTACTTGATGTGTCATTGTCGAGTGTTTACATCTATATTCAAGAATTCTTTATCCCATAATTTATATTTTACATAATAGCATATGTTTTTACCGTCTGGTTTTCCTTTGTTATGCCCTTTTTGTGTTGCAGGGTTTCATTTCCTATGTTAAATTCTTTTCTTTTGAGCAGGTGAACATACGCTTTTGACACCCTAGAAACCCTGTCATTGGTGATAATAAGTTTAGCAGCCGACATGGACAAAAAGGTGATTTCTCCCAGTTGTGGCCTGATATTGATATGCCATTTTCTGATGTTACGGGAATGCGTCCAGATCTTATCATCAATCCACATGCATTTCCTTCAAGGATGGCAATAGGAATGCTCTTGGAATCGATTGCTGCACAGGTACTAGCGCCTAAAGAATTTTCCTTTTATGATTTGTTAACAGTCTATTGACAACAAGAAATGCATTGCTGGTGCTCCCCCTGTAGACAAAGTACAGATGTTTATGTTCTGTGGTGGCCTGAACTGTTGTATTGCAGCAGTAATAAAGTGATGGAAGGCTAATTTGTGCAATGGTTGGGGAAAATGTGAGAGTTTATTAGGATTTGGAAATGTTCAAATAGGACTTTAGGCGAATAAATCTCGATTGCCATCGAGTTGCTGGAAAGGGAAATTCAGATAACAGGATTTTTGGGAAGTTTCTGGAAAATAAAAATTAACTATTAGTTGCTACTCTTGGGTTATAGAGTTAAGTTTTAATTACTGGATGAGCATAAATACTAGGACATAAATTTGCATTTTGATAAAGTACTGCACAGCAGAGTCCATTGAACTTCTTGAAATAATAGTTTGTGCATCATATTTAACAATGAAAAGAAAACAATCAAAGATGCTTCCTTGTTTTTTGGTCACAAGGAGGTAGCTTGCATGGAGAATATGTTGACGCAACACCGTTTGCGAATTCAAAGAAGGCTAATGAAAAGACTCAACCAAAATCCGAAACCCTTGTTGATGAACTTGGTGAAATGTTAAAGGTTAAAGGGTTTAACTACTATGGTTTAGAGGTGTTATACAGTGGGGTTTATGGAACCAAACTGACATGTGAGATCTTTATTGGTCCTGTTTATTATCAACGACTACAGCATATGGTTTCAGACAAGTTTCAGGTAAAAAACTTGAACATTCCCTCCCACCCACCCCTACAGATAAAAAGTCACATGAAATTTTAAGATTTTCTCAGTATACGGGTCATTAGATTGTGCAAAAAAGAAGGGAATTATTACATGAAGTGTATTTCTTGCAGTATGTTACAATATGTAGTCCAACAAAATCACCAGCACAAGTGCAATATCTTGCAAGGCATGTGATCACTTTTAATTGAGATTTTAGTTTGAGTATGGATATGTCCTTACCATAAAACACACCACTTGTACAAGGACCAAAACAATTGCTACTAAGAAAGCTAATGGACCCAAATGTAACAATGGTCAAAGTTCATGGACCATGGCATAAATTTTCTCGAAAAAATTAAAAGACTATTTTTCTGAAGGAAGCTAAAGATTGGGCCATTTGTTATTTACCCAAAAAAAAATGACAAGAGGGCTGAAGCATAAGCTCAAGCTGTCCCTTGAAGTATTTAAATGGGAGTTTGAATGTGACAAGAGGGCATGTGTTCTGTAACTTAGGATGAATGTGTCAGCATGGGATCTGTTTTCATCTCCAAGGAACCAGGTCATTTGGATTTGTCTGCTCCAGTTGATATTTCCAATGTTTATTGTTTGATTCGAGCAAACCGAAAGATTGAATGAGCAGAAATTTGGGTTTTTTACCTTTTTTTTTCTTTCTAGATTGATTCAGAACATTTCTTTCTTGTTTATAAAGTCAAGTTTGGGGAACATGTTTGTCTCATTGCGCTATAACACGCTCTATCCATCTATGCCTTGCTTCTCATTCCCAAACCCTAAAATGGCTTCATCCATTCTTGTTTGTGGCCTTTTGCACTTGCGTCCATGTTGTTAGTTGCTATGTGCAGTTTCTCACGCATGAACATGAGCCATCATCATATTGATAGTCATATGTTGCTTCTTGTTTCAGGTTTTGGGAGTGAATGTTTGTTGCTAAATTGGATGCTGCTTTCTTTGCTTTGCAGATTGTTATTAAGAAAAGTGACACATGTCTGGAAGAAAAGGGAGAAAGTCGAAAAGAGAACGTTAAAGAGAAGGTTGCTAACATTCAATGTTGTCAGAAAAAACTCTTGATATTTCCCAACTCTAACCATATAAAGAATAACCATTATAAATCAGTTAATCAAAACTTAGTACTTAATAAATACTTGCCCAATCTCGAGATAATTTAAGCCTCACTACAGGCATACAAATTCAACAGTTGAAGGCAATTTTTTTTTAACGAGTTGCACAGCGTGCTCTCTTGCTTTCGCTTCCTCAGCAAAATCTTCACAACCCGCCTCCCAACGTCGGAGAGGATCAATAACAATTTTCTCTAAAGCAACAACACTCTTTATTAAGAACATGATGTGCTCAACAGCAGATGCACGAGCGCGATACCCGACTATTTATACTACCTTGAGGGAATGATGGGGGCATTTCACAGCTTTATTTATTTCTCCCAAGTCCTCCCACAATATAATGAAATCCAACTGCACCAAATAAAAAATTTGTGTAAGACGCAACAAGAACCAGAAGGAATATGAAGTCTATTACCATGTTTCATCACACAGCCAAATTTAACCTCCTTGTTTTGTTATACTTTTCATTCTTCAAATTGTCAGTCGAACGAAAAGAAGATGAACAAAATCACCAAAAGTGCACATACAAAGACCTACATATAGTTTTACCATGTAATCTGTCGAGTACATACATATACCTTCAACACAAGTCTTTGCAAGAAAGGAGATGCTTTCAGAAAATAAGTTAAATGAAAAAGAGCCAGACGGTAATCTGCAAGAACTATTAATTCCAAATGCTTGAGATTTGCCAGGATAGGAAACACTTGTTTCGGATTGTGTTCCTGAAAACCAAACAAGGAACAATGAGCTACATAATCCATAAAAGAAGAAAAGAAAACCAACGCATCATAATACATATACTAACCGCTCCAGTGATATCCAGTATGAGAATCTCCAGCTGAGAAAGACAGCATGAAAGTTGGCGAGAGAAAAGCTCTATGAATGCACGGGGATTGGAAAGATTGGACATGGACACCTCCACAAGCAACGGTACATTACTGAGAAGTACGTTCTCACTATTCTTACAAACAAATGAAACAAGGTTTGCGTCACAAATCTCAATGCTTTGCAGGCCAACACAAATTCCTATCACTAAATGCTTCAATGCAACCGATGGACGGACAACTCTTAAGTTAACCAAACTTTTCGTTTCAAGCACGGTTAATCGTTCAAGAACTGGACAGTTGGACAAGAAGTATTCAAAAACTTTATCAGTCACGTCAACACATTGGAAATGAAGAACTTTAAGGAACTGAAATCCAAATTTGCATCCACAAGGGCGTAGACTTGGAATGTAAGAATCCACGTGCTTCTTCTCGAGACCTAATAGTTTGTGGGGAAACACATAGAAATTTTTTGAAGCAACGCCACATTGTGTACTAAACTTCAACACGAGTGTTTTAACTCCCTTTTCCATTGCAAACTGAATCCATTTGTCAATGGAACTTGCAAACCGATTAGTTAAAAGCAAGCCCTGAATTCTTCGATGTTTGGGCCTCTATGTTGTTCCACAACACGATTCACCCAATTCAAGTATCTACCACTTTCCAGATATCTTAATTTTCTTTTGAGGGCTATGAAGCGGCAAAGATTTCTATGAATATCAAAGTTAGCATTAAAGTTGAGAACCATAGTGGACATCCACACATACTGCCAACGTCTAGAAAGGATACTAGTAGCAGCTGCTTCCTTTAGCGACAAGAGAGACAATATACTGACAAGAATTTCATCTGTCATCTCACTAATTCTGTCTACCAAGTTGTACGCACCTTTTTCTTCCTCATTCTTTCCTGAGTTGTTTCCTTCACAACGTCTGCGTCGCTTTCCCAAGTTGCACTCATACTTCTATAAAAGAATCGGCCAAAATTAAACATCTCTCTTTAAGTTCATGATTCCATCACATTGTTATATTTAATTTACATAAAGAATATTAAATAAGAACAATAAAACCAACCAAAACGCACCTACATACAAGAGATCGGATGAAAATTTTCTACAAGTTAGATATGGAGACATAAAACAGGATGCAACTTTGAAACCATTTGGATATTTGGGTAACTAAAACAAAAAAACAAAAGGTGCCAATATTGTACCAGTTTAATATCTGGGAAATGAAAAGGATGCAACTTTCAAACCAATTAGATATCCCAGATAAAGAGAATGTGCAAAGACACAGCTCAACCAATTACATTACAACGATCAGTTTTGGTTCGGTTTTGACTAAAACCACAAGGGAAACCAAACCAAACAAAACCATTGTTTGTCAGTTTGGGCCTAACCCAAATCCATTTTTTCCACCTCCTGTTACATTTACAGACCTGCTACTGACTTTCAAAACATAAAAAATCAAATCAAACCGAACCTGCTTACAAGTTCTAAGCATTCTATCAAGACATAATCATTGACAACAAAGATCAGCAATTATATGAGACTAAATGGTAACAGATACAAAAGTTATCAGAAACTCACGACCAGTGGCACCGAGTCAGATTGATCCATAATCACCACCAAGCAGCAAGCAGACCAGTTAGCAATCCGAGTCCTGGACCAGTTAAATCCACGTATAAGTTTTGAAACAAATTAACTTGGGGTTTAAAAAAACTGTTGAAACAAATCCTAATTTTGTTTTTAATAGTAAGGGTCTTTTTAAGTTTGTTTTGAGATTGAGTTTGTAAAAATAGGCCTACCAAACGAGTTTTTGGGCCTTTAAATTTAAAATCTGTTTTTGAGTTTATAAAATTGGACTCATATCAAATACCAAACAGGCTCTTATGTACTTTTACTTTGTTTTGGATTTACATATAAACATCATGCCTTATCATTTATAAATTCGGTGAAAATATCAACTATCTTGCCAGATTTTATTGAGCTAATATTGACTTCTACATTCAATAGTTTGGTGACTCGACTTGAACTTGATTGGAGTGAAATCCAATCAATTCTTATGAGTTTCATTCCTCTAGACAAAATTTGTGAGACAGGTTATATTCACCAAACTGAGATCAGAACAAATGTCACAAACAATACCATTCTGCTAAGCTAACCTTGTCCTTTATGTAACAAAGTTTATAGTCTTTTCACTTCTTTTTAAGGGCAACCATAGTCTTTTTACAGTTTTTACTTTTGAGAAGAGAACAAACCACTGTACCTTTCAATTGTAAATCCAAATTATGAAGGTGCAGTGGGCCCCAAGTCCCAACCAAGCACATCCCCACGTGGCCCAATGTAGAGGGTCGGCGCGCCATCTAGTTGGACACTCCAGTACAGTACATACTTTTGTTGTCTTTCACATTATTTCCATTATTACCACTTATTTCCAAACATAACAAAAAGCCAGAAAATTAAAAAACATTACAGTTTAAATAGTTTTAATTTCATTTATTATTATTTATCTGTCAACCAATTTCCAATTTATTTATTTTTCTAGTCCATCAGATCTCGCTCTCTTTTTTATTCATCTTCCTCCTCTTCCTCTTTGCTCGTCTCTCTCTTCCGCTTGGCTTGGCTTGGCTTCAGATCGAAAACAAGGTAGGTTTTCAGATCCGTACGTAATTCTCAGCCATCTTTGATCGTAATTTCCTTGATTCAATTCCAATTGCAACCGTCTGATCATCTCCAATGGGCTCGAACTACACGTGATTAGAGTTCGTGTTCGTTCAAGCTTTGTTTTTTTATCCAAAGTTGGTTAATTTTAGCAAATTGTTGAAATCAGCAATTGGATGTGATTAAATTGTTGTTGTTTCCTCAAATTTTGTTTCTTTTGAACAAATTTTGGGGCACTTTGTTGGTTGCTGAGAAAAGGAAGGGAAAGAAGAAGGTCGCATTGTCAAGGATTGGAGTTTTTGTTATTTGGGTTCGGGGACACTATAATCTACACAACCCAAACTGTTTTCAGTATTTAGACAGTTAAAATTACTGTAATTCAATAATCTATTGTATGTTTTTAATTTTTAATTTATTTATGTTACTCTCTGTTTCTGATATTCATACAAACTTAGTGTTAATGAGGAAAATTTTTATTGCTATGATCTAATTCTTCACTCATTTGATTGGACTGATTTGCAATGTTGCTTTAGGAAGTGATCCTAGTTGACATCTTATAAAATTGGTTTCACAATTCGCAGTTGCTTTGGATGGCATCTAGTGGTTTTTATTCATAATTGCTGATTTTTTTTTCGTGAAGCTTGCAAATGGCTGTTTCACAAAACAATCACGACATGGACGAGGGACAACTAGAGGTCGGCATGGGTAAGTCTTGGACTGGTTTACTTTTTTAGACATGGGTAATAGTGGCCATGCGGTTTCGGTCTTCAGTCATAATGGATACTTTGTGAGTTAATGTTGAACTCTTCAAATTTGTTCAGCTAGACAGAGTTAGCATTACTATGAGTTCATTATGGATTAGTACATTAATGGTGTCAAATTTGACCTTATGTCCTCTGCCTTGACATTTCAGAGTACAGAACTGTTTCTGGTGTGGCCGGACCTCTGGTTATCCTTGAAAAAGTTAAGGTAGGTGATCCTATCTCTCTCTTTCTATCTCTGTGCCTGTCTGTCTGTCTGTCTGTCTAATCTAGATTGTTGTTAAGCTTTTCTGTGTGGAACTTTCCCCTTTTCTGAAACCAATAACTAATTTATTCTCTTTAACTATGTCAGGGACCTAAGTTTCAGGAGATTGTTAACATTCGTTTGGGAGATGGAACAACTCGACGTGGTCAAGTCCTGGAGGTTGATGGAGAGAAAGCTATTGTTCAGGTGACTGCTGTTTAGCATTGTTTATTAGTTTCTCCTGATTATGCCCTTTAATACACAACCACGGATAGGCTTATGATTTTGATAACCTTTAGTCCTATTGTTGGCTTTTGTGCATCATCTGGACAGCAATTGTTATGATTGACTTAACCTGTACTAGATGATAGCATCATTACTTAATCTTGAGGTGCTTAATTTTTGTATGGTTTAGTTAAACGGTTTCTTTGCTGCCCAGGTTTTTGAAGGAACATCTGGAATTGACAACAAGTACACCACCGTGCAATTTACAGGAGAGGTATTAGAACTTTAATCATATTCTTCCTTTATTGTATTGTGGAAGCTAGAATAATAAATCTTTTCTGACATCTAGTTATGCTATTTTCAACCTATTTTGACCCTCCCCCTTGAATGTTTGTCAGGTTTTGAAAACTCCAGTCTCACTGGACATGCTTGGGCGCATCTTTAATGGTTCTGGGAAACCCATTGATAATGGCCCCCCTATTTTGCCTGAGGCTTACCTAGACATATCTGGTGAGTTATTTGTTTTAATGATTATAAGTTCGGCTCCAATTTTTTTGTGCATTAACATGTCTGTCAATCTATTGTATGTCTTCCCCAGGGAGTTCTATCAATCCTAGTGAGAGAACATATCCTGAAGAGATGATACAGACTGGAATTTCTACAATTGATGTCATGAATTCCATTGCCAGAGGACAAAAAATCCCACTTTTCTCTGCTGCTGGTCTTCCTCATAATGAAATAGCTGCTCAGATATGTCGCCAGGCTGGTTTGGTCAAGCGGTTGGAGAAATCTGACAGTCTTCTTGACGCTGTGGTATACTTTGTAACCAAATCTTTGTTGGCCAGTAGAGATTGCACATATCTACTATTTTCATGTTAGACATGCTAAGTGCTCAACATTATTTTGATATACTTATAGCATTCATGTGATTGTCTGACCTACAGTATGAAATTACAGGATGTGGAAGACGACAACTTTGCCATTGTGTTTGCAGCTATGGGTGTAAATATGGAGACAGCACAGTTTTTCAAACGTGATTTTGAAGAAAATGGTTCAATGGAGAGAGTGACCCTTTTTCTGAATCTGGTATATTTTGAAATGAACATATGAAGCCTTTGATGATATATTTAAGGGGTTTTTTTCCTTATTAAATTCTGTGAATTGGGAGTGTTCTTCCTACATATCTCATACTTTGTCTGAATGGTACTGGGCCTAAAATGTGTTTTCTGCCATCTCCTACAGGCAAATGACCCTACAATTGAACGTATTATTACTCCTCGTATTGCTCTTACTACTGCAGAATATTTGGCATATGAATGTGGGAAGCATGTTCTTGTCATTCTCACAGATATGAGTTCTTATGCTGATGCTCTTCGTGAGGTAATGTGAAAAAATTGTGAATGCCATTGTACATTAGTTTTTGAAAACAATAAAATACGTGAATTCTCAAATTTCATACATCATGTTCATCTTCTTTCTGATTCTTTATATGAACTTGAAAAGCATTTTTGCTCTTTTATATTTTAAAATACCTCTTCCAACTAATATTGTATTCTTATTATTGTGTAGGATAACTTCCGTAACCCAAACTATTGATTGCTACTGCAGGTATCTGCTGCTCGAGAAGAAGTGCCTGGAAGGCGTGGATATCCAGGGTATATGTATACTGATCTGGCACAAATCTACGAGCGTGCTGGACGAATTGAAGGCAGAAAAGGCTCCATTACACAAATTCCGATTTTAACTATGCCAAACGATGGTAATGTATTTTTATTACACATTGACTGTCTCACATATCATGCATTCATGCTTAAGTGATATGGCTTAACACAAGCTTTGATTTCTTTATCTTGCCAGATATTACACACCCCACCCCAGATCTTACAGGATATATTACTGAGGGACAGATATACATTGACAGGCAGCTCTACAACAGACAGGTAACTGAAATTTTAGCATGTTTTCATTACATCATTCAGTGTTGTGGTCTGAGAATGGGTATATAATTACCTTAAGAATTAAGATGGTCATGGCATACTTTACCATGTTCATGCGTTCAGAATGCGGTACACAATACATGTTGCATGATTTTGTGAAAGGGAAGTTACCATGGTTTTGTTGCTTATATGCCACCAGAACAAATGGTACCTTCTTTATCTTTCTCAAGTGCCTGGGATTTGGACTTCTCTCGTTGAGGCTTGACTTGATGAAATTGTTGGTCACTGTATCAGTCCATAATAAATAAAAATTAGCTCCCATTTAGCTTGATACCAAATAACAGTAATTCATGATGCATTTAGAAAGTTGGTTTTCTATGTTTGGACAACCTGCATCGAGGTGGTAACAATCAGTTATGCAGAGATTATAAATGAATTGAAACTAACCATCAAGTTCTTTCAACTGTGCAGGTATACCCGCCAATCAATGTTCTCCCATCACTGTCTCGTCTAATGAAGGTAATGACACTTTGATTTCTTTATACTCTAGGGTTCACATCACTGTAATTATGGGGTTTATGTTAAATAAAGTAGTTGGTTATGATTGCAGAGTGCTATTGGTGAAGGGATGACTCGCAAGGATCATTCCGATGTATCCAACCAGGTTAGTTTGGGATTGTATGGCAGTATATTTTCGAATCTGTCGTCACTTAACACCATCTAATCTCCCCTCTCTTGCATTGTTTAACTTTCAGTTGTATGCAAATTATGCTATTGGGAAGGATGTCCAGGCAATGAAAGCTGTGGTTGGAGAAGAAGCACTTTCTTCGGAGGACCTGGTCTCTTACCTTTTTGGTTTTCTTATTAAGATGGTTTTGTTTATTAACAATCAGCCTTTGGGAGTAATTGATGTGATATTTTCTTTTGATTGCAACAGCTATACCTGGAGTTCTTGGACAAATTTGAGAAGAAGTTTGTGAGCCAAGGGGCATATGACACCCGTAATATCTTCCAGTCACTTGATTTGGCATGGACGTTGCTGCGGATCTTCCCTCGTGAGCTTCTCCACCGTATACCTGCAAAGACTCTTGATCTGTTCTACAGCCGAGATGCAGCTAATTGATGGGGTTGATATATCCCGTTCTTCAAAGTTCTTCAACCTAATTAGCTATCGATGAGCTCTGCAATTTGTTTATTGATTCTCTCCCTAGGTTGAATCTCTACTATCCCGGCATATATAATAAAGGTTGTGCTCTGTTTGAGTCCCTAGAAGGTCTTGGCTAGCCCAAATATTCTTTCAATGAGGACATTTAGAGATCTTGTAGCTTTTGTATTTTCGTTTATGAGTTGTTAGTTTGTCACCCAGTTGTGGTTTGGTTTCAAAGAGGACATTCAGGAACAGTCAGGCCATCTAGGATCTAAAGAGCCCTTGCAGTATATATTTGCTTGTTTCAAGACCTTATTTATTTTGTAATCTGTCATTTTTGGCTTTTTATTGATCTTATTTTCAGAATGTTCTGTCTTGTGTATTTTGACATCTGAACATGCCCAAGTTTATTTTGAGAGTTTATTGTTGAGTTATATGTGAAATGAAATGAGTATTTTGGCATTCATTGCACCATTGTTACCATCTCACCAAATTAGGTTCCCAACAAAGCAGGTCTTGCCAAGTTATTTAGTATGCAGATTTTTATTTAGTTTTTCCATATATTCTTTTATATTTATTTGTATACAACTGATATTGCATAAAAGGGAAATTAAACTCAGGGTCCCCATCAGTAGATTGTTTTTTGTATTGCGGAAAAATAAATAAATAATACCCAGGGTAAAGTAGTGCAAGTCCTTCACTTTGATTTATTTGAAAAATAAATGAAAAATACCCAGGGTGAAGTGTGTCCGCTGCAACTTGCACCGAAGTTTTAATTTTCCCTTCCAGTAAATTAGAATAGTTTAGAACATTGTTTTTTTCATTTATTCATAAAAAAACTCAAGCTACAAACCTTTTTCACATTACAGAATTATTAGAATGGTTATTTATTTTTCTTTCTTAAATAACAAAAAATAGAAAAATATATTTTTTAAGGTAGAAAAACAAGAAAGCCTTGCCAGGACAAGGGCAAAAATTCGTAGATACTCAGAAACTTCGCTTTGAATAAACCTAGGTTTGCAGTACAGGGTCTTGACTCATGAGTCACATCCTTCAACTCAGAAACTTTGCTCTCAAAATCGATCTTATTTTCTTAAGTACTAAACTGAACAAAACAAACAAACTCACTTAAGTTGCACAACAATGAATTCGATCTCGCATTTTTCATTTCTCACGAGTCACACTTGTTAAAAAGTACATATGTTCCTCCAATCTGTTTTTCAATCCCTTTTTCTTTGTCCCGTAGAAACTGAAACAGATGCTAAAAGAATTTATCTAAGTCAGTACACATTTTGTTCCCAGTTTCAATCTTCGTGAAATTGAAAACGTTGCTGCCAATTTCCTTGTTAATCATCTCTTAATGTCTTGGACATATAAAAGACCAACACCTCCATTCTTCTCCATCTTCTTCTTCTTCCTCTTTTGTTATATACCATACGAGCCCTTTCTGGGATGAGATAAAAATATGCAACCAGCAAGAAATCCTCCAAAAAAGTTAATAAGAATGACCAAAATGGTTTCAACTGACCTCAGCCAGCTTTTGATGTTCTGTCTACATGGGGTAGGACAACTGAATCAAGATTCGCAGGATAAGGGGTCCACAAGCCTAAGCCCCCCCGACTCTCTATCAAATTGCCATTGTTCGCATTAGCTTGGTCCCAATCTTTACCCTTATTCGAAATGGTTCCGTTTCCTTTAAGCTGATTCCAATTTGTTACCCACTCTATTCGAGAAGAATGCTCCCTTATGTGCGGATGCAACACAAACAGTGAATTGTACTCGCAATTTGGAAACATAAAGAACCTAAACAAAGCCCCTAACCTGTACACAACGTAACCAAAACTCAGTTGGTCTCTTGGTGTGAAGAGGTTGACCTCATTGAACCACAAGCAGCTAAACAAATTACTCATCGCAGTATGTTCCCGTATGATAATGGCTCCTTCTGGCACATCTGCATGTAACAGCTTGCATCAATGATATGAATAAAAAGAGGGTTATCATATATATGTAGATAATATTAGGAATTAACTTAGTTTTCAAGTGCCTGTAACTTGCGGCGAGGGGAGGAAACAAATAAACAAAACCAACAAATTACATAACTCAAGATCTCCGATCTTCCTTCTTACCACTAACAGTTTTCTTCGTTGAATTCCATGGCTCCAAGCCCTCATAACGATAAATTTTCATGTGTAGATCAATAAGAGGTCGAGCATATCGCTTCCTCCGCTTGTTTGAATCAGCCTCCTCATAAATGTTGCGATGATGCTTGTGCTGAGAAATTGCAAATGTATGCTTCCCACGCCATAAATATCTGCAAATCAAATTTTAGTTCACTTAGCTGTAGTTATATATGTATGTGTGCACACATGTCAAATGCAAACGATAAGGTCAATTTATTACCTTTCTAAAATTAGCAATGGATCAACTATTAGCTCCATTTTACCATCAATCCAAATGCTGTACTGTGCCTTAGGGAACAAACGGTGGGTTAATATCTTGGGGACCTTCCCATTCCTTCTTGGCTCATCATAAGGTGGATGTTTCAACAAAACAAGACGCCAGACACCAACCCATTTCCCCCCATCACTATCTTCTGTTACTGTGACATTTTCCTTAATAAATTTAAGAGATGTCTCATCCACCGCCATGAGAAAACAGAAGAGCTTCTTAGAACGAGGACTTAAATTTGAAGGTTGATGGGGTACATCATATCCATCAAAAATGCCCGAGGCAACCACAAACCTACATTTCTTGGCATATTTGATGTCTGCAGGAGCCATTTCAGCACCACCATTTCGAATAAAACCACAGTGCACCTGCAGGATAATAACATTACCCAACTAATGATGGAGAACAGCAGAAGTAACACCCCCAATACAAAAGGAAAAAGAAAGTTTTTCAAATTTCAATAAACAGGAAAGGTTTCTACATTAAGTTGACGATTCTCTCAAAGTCTCCCATCACTATTTTCAATTTTAAAAATACTCTAACATACTGTAAACTACAGTTTAATAACAAGAGGATGCTATGGAAGTTGAGACCTATTATTCTTTTACTGCTAACAAAACAAACAAGTGAAGCACATGCTTTGACTGACAATATGTAAATATGTAAAGCTAACACAGTACTCTGAAGTTCTATTTTTACCTTCATGTTTGATGTTAGTCTAAAGCTCTCCTCTCTCTGTGACCAATTTTGATGTCCTCCGAATAGTGGGGATGACTCTGTTCTGTCAGGCAAAATTTCATCCTCCATAACATAGGTTAAGTTTTTGACAATTTCATCACGAGTTCTTCCTTTTGGAATAACTATCTTATCAGGGTCATCAGCAAGGGGAATTGGACAGCCTATTTGATATGAACACAAACAATATCATTTAAGAAAACTAATCAGTGACCAATAATACAAAGAAAAAATATTCAAATATCTTACGATGTTGTGATTGTTGTTTTGGTACAAACCCCATAGAGCCTAACATGGAGAATACCTTGCTATCTTTGTTACACATAGCTGCAGCTCAAGTAGAAGACTGATATTATTTAAAATCACTGAGAAAACATATATTCATGTACAGGAAATTAAATAGCAGAACCTCTTTCATCAAGCACACACTGACAATAGTAATTGCACTGGCACCAACATTTAGCAAAACAGGGGCACCTATTGCAAAGCGATACTTATTGACAAGATTCCCTTCCTTACTATCATTGGGAAATTATTTGATAATGACAAGACAACTATGATCCCCCATACCACAAGAAAGCTGAAACCAATAATATTTGCAGCATTTGCTCATGTATCTCTAGTCAAATTTTTAGCTCTCACAGGCTTACTTGAATTATGTCACCCTGACTCTAATAAGTTTTAATTGAAAAAAAATAAAAAAAATCATACTGAATACACTGGATATCACTAGCTTTATTATCCATGCTATTCAAAGAAAACCTAAAAATGCACTGTTTTGTTTCTATAAGATGTGTATGAATACAAAAGACAATCACTTTGAAATAAAGACTTTTCAATGCTCTTCCATTTTTGGACAAAGGTGCGCCAATCAGCTAAGACTAATTCAAGTATTGGGCTTTGGGATTGAGCCAACAACACAAAACAAAATATGAAGTTCTAAATGCATGAAGCATGAACTCAAACAAGGAGCCAAAGAACTTAAGGCATAGTTCCATGAGAAAATTTAAGAAAAATACCTGAGAAGAATGAGATAGAAGACTGGCAGGACCAAACATGAAGCAACGATGCAAGAAGAATTAGTAGCATCCACAAGATGCCACCTACAAGAACCAATCGAATAAAGCCCTTCTTCCAAACAATCTTCATGGGATAATCTTGCGACACCCTTCCCTGAGGAAGTCCTGCTTCCACATCTGTACCACCAGCACCACCAAATTACTCACATTTCTTGTGCTAAACAAAATATCTACTTCATTAATATGAAAATCAATGACACGTTTCACAATTCATTATTAAGACTCATTTGAGAAATAGTGAAAGGATAGGCTTTATTTACCTTTAGTATGTAAGGTCAGATTACTCCGTTCGCCTCTACGGTGTGTGCGAAAAGAGACGGACCGTGGACTCTCTTTATCCATAATCAACCAGTACACCTTCTCATTACTGCAGCACAATCCATACATACATCATACAGAATCAACAATAATAGGAACAGCAATAAAAACTCCTTTCCCATATTGATTAGCATTGCACTATACTTCCCGCAAAAACTCAAAACATTTACACGCACTGAGATTCAAAAAAAAAAATTGAGACTAAATTGAGGAGAAAATGTGGAAACAAAGCGAGTCCTAAGGAATTCCAGATCTGGGTTACTCATCAAATAGAGCCAACGTATCGGCTGTATCTGAAGTTTCGTTTTTTAATGCAGAAAAAGGAAATATTCAGTTGTGGAAAGTGACTTACAGATTGAAGATGGTGTGGTTGGAGCCAGAGCTTGTAAATTCAATGCGCAGATCAAATCTCAGCCCCAGGTATCACCAGAACCATGAAAGCTCTATTCTTGGTTAACCTCAAAGCTGAAATACATTTTTTGTAAACCTCAAATTCGAAATTTCAAACATTCAACCAAATAAATTACACCAGCATGCATACCTGTACTTTCAGATCTCAAAGATGGAGGCTTTTGAGTTACAAAGACAACCCAAAAACAAAATAGATCAAAATCAAACCAGAAAACACAAGGGCTAACAGTGAGGAGTTAGTGAAGAAAGACGGAGATTTTATTTTTTTCATTGATTTTCTACAAATAATTTTCACATATTTAGTATTTTATAAATCGTACAGCCGGCCGGCTGTACTCCATTTTTTTGTCTTTAAAAAATATTATAGCCGCTTGGCTATACTTATGTTGACACATGCCACCTATTCGAAAGACCGGTCCTTTTGTTATCCCCATAGACAGTATAGCCGCACGGCTATACCTTTGACACGGGACACCTAACACTAGGGAGTTTTTTGGGTTGTTAATAGTATAGCCGCATAGATATACTGATTTTGACACGTGGCATCTAATCACTAGGGGCATTTTTTTTAATTATATAAATCGTATAGTCGCGCTGCTATACGCGGGTTTTCTAGAAGTTCAGCCTCGCGTCTTTACCGTTTTGACACGTGGCGCCTAGGAGCTAAGAGGTTCCTTTTTTAATATATTTAAATAGTATATATTTTTAAAAATAGTATAGCCGGCCGGCTATACCTTTTTGAAAAATATTCAAGGGGCTATACTCCGGGGGTGATGAACCAATGGGCTGTCCGTTCGAATGAGGTAACAGATCAACCTGACGCAACTTCTTTCTGCAGCTATTGTGAAGAGCCATGTAGTGGGTCTTTTCTTGGTATGGTGCTGCTTGTGGTGTCAAAGACTGGTACATGTGGATTGCCACAGTAGCATGTCCAATGAAACAGGTGATATTTGTGATTTAGGTCCATTCAGAAGGTTGATTCTATCCCCTCCTCATGTAAAGGAATTGAGCCAGACTTCCGCTGGTGGATTTTTGAGCTCCATTACTCCAGGGGCCAATGAGATAGCATCTTCAGTACGTGCAACTATTAGGAGTCAGAGCAACAAGTCCAATCATGGAAATGAATGACACGGGAAATAGTGGTAGTGCTGGGGATATGTCCGCAGAAAGCACAGCTGATACTCATCACGCTGTTAATGGTTCTCATAAAATTGAGGAAAACCGTAATGGTACTGTAAATGTGGATTTGCAGTACCAAGATGGTGATGTAGATAGGAAATTGGATCAAAATTAAGATTTGCTAGTTTAGCCCCTTAGTGAAACAGGAAGTCCTAACAGTACATTCTAATTGCTGACGAACCTATTCTCTATTTATATTTGTGATATATAATATATTGTTGCTTAATTGTTGCATCTTTTGTGTTTCATGTAGGTTTTTGCCTGGACTCAAAACTTAAATGGTCTGTGTTGGAGTTTCTTCACCCGCGCCATTTCACTGTGTGAAAGCATTGCGAAGAGGCTTTTCACACCCGAATCAGAACCATCGATGGAGCTTGGTGTTTGAGAAGCAAAAGTTGTGGCATCATCAAACCGCAGTTAACACTGACTGGCGGAGGAGCTATGAGGTTGAGAGGTATTTGGAGGAGGTGAAAGTAGCAGCAGCAAGAGGAGGAGGAGGCGGCATTTGCATAATAAAGCTGAATGCTTTGGTTCCAAGAGAGATCATAAACTATGCTTGCTATGCGGATTTCAGGGAAGCGGCTGAGCTTCAGTGGAAGGCAATGGTGGAGGACATAAAGCACCAGCAAAAACAGAGGAAGGGTTTGGGCAACTTTAAAAACTGCTTGGCAATGTGTCTCCTCACAGATATGCTTGGCAATCACAGAATATCGGCTCTGAGTTTAGGACTTGTGATGTCTGAAATCAGTGAAGAGCCATGGAAAGGAATGGTGATCACTTTCGGTGATTCACCCTATGAGCTGCTGCTGCTGCTGCATTCAATACAAGGCAGAGGCGGTCCATGGGGTGTGCGAGGTGTGAAACCGCACAGGGCCCCCAAAATTTAGGGGCCTCCAAATTTTTCCAAGTCAACCCATTAAATTAACTAAAACATGAAAATAAAAATAAAATATTAAATATCACCCCACAACACCACATGCAAGGCACCAAAACCAAAACCAAAATTGAATTGAATATTAATTATCAACAAATTCTACGACTTAGAGAGTAGATGCCCTAATTTAATTCATTTTCCTCTTCCCAACTCACACTGCAACTCTTCTTTTTATTTATTTATTATGGTTTGAAACCTGTGTTTTCCTCTTACCAACTCTCAAGCTGCAAAACCATTCTAATATTTTTTTCTCTTTCAGTAAGTATTTCTCACTCTCCTCCATCAAAATAAAGTCATTTCTCTTCAGTACCAGTGTGCCACCCTCTTCCATCAAATTTTGGATTGTAAAAACCCAAGCTTTAGCCCTTTTCCCCCAAAATCACAGTTCTTTTCTCCCTCCCTTATTCACATGAGAATTCACCAAGCATTGAAATTGGAAAATCAATTTACCAGCTCTGTGATTTGGAAGGGTGACTAAAGAAATTTTTCTGGAAAACTCTTTCCGAATGTGTTCTTCCTGTGTCAGAAATTTTTGTTTCTATATGGATTTTTTTTTCCTACTTGTATATATAGGGCCTCGACATCCATATTTGCACAGGGCCTCCAAAATCAATGGACCGGCTCTGGCAATGATCTCAAGTCCAATCGCAAGTTTATGATGCAAACATGGCAAAATTTCAGCTTCGCTGTTAATTTTCCAGAGGCCTGTGATATGATTCTGGAAGTGGCTGCGAATGAGAACTTAAAGGGAGAGAAGATGATCAAGAAGGTGTTTGTGTTCACCGACTTTGCATCCGGCTGCCACTGGAAGACCAAGTATGAGGAAGTACGCAAGAAGTTTATGGAGCAAGGGTATGAGGATGATGCAATCCCACAAGTTTTGATTTGGGGTCTTTTTTACTTGAACATTCCTAGTATAGAGGAACTTCATCCGGGGCTGACTGTGTTGAGTGGCTTCTCCGATGAGTTGAGCAAGTTATTCTTGGACAATGGTGGAGAAATTGGCCCACACCAACTCATGGAAGCAGCCGTTGCTGACAAAGAGTATCAAGCTCTCCGTGAGGTGGACTGAAACTTCATACTTTGAGGTATTGATGATCTAATCTGATGATATGATTTCATCAATTAAGTAGAATATTAATTAATTAGTTTACTAACTTTTATGTAGCACTGATATATAGCCTACCCTGCGCTTAGAGATTCTTTAGCAACATTTCAAATCATCATCCTGCATGCATCATCCGTTTTAGTTTAATTGAATTGAATGTTAGACTTGCGGTATTTTCAAGGTTAGCTAGCTACAATATTTTCTGTTCTGAAGGTGAAAACTATTGGTATACGTAATGACTGGGGATGGATTATATTTTATATTAGAAAATAATCGAGTATCGCCGTGCGGCTCTACTATTTCTTTTTTTAAAAAAATTAGGAAAAAACCGGAGTATGGCCGCTCGGCTATACTTTTTCTTTTAAAAAAGGAAAAAAGAACCTGCAACCCAGAGGCGCCACGTGTCAAAAACCGTATAGCCGGCGGGCTATACTATTTTTAAAAACCAAATTTAAAACCAGGGTATAGCCGCGCGGCGATACCAGTTCTTTTTAAAAATTAAAAACCACATATAGCCACGCGGCTATACTATTTTTTGAAAATCTGAAAGCATAGCCACCTTTCTACATTATTTCTTTAAAAAATTAAAAAAACTGAATATAGCCGCACGGCTGAACGATTTCTTTTTTAGGCAAAACCTAGTATAACCGCGCGGCTATACGATTTATTTAAAATAAAAAAAAGGATTATTCCGCAGAAAGCACAGCTGATACTCATCGAGCTGTTAATGGTTCTCATAAAATTGATGAAAACCGTAATGGTACTGTAAATGTGGATTTGCAGCACCAAGATGAAGATGGTGATGTAGATAGGAAATTGGATTCTAAGCCCTTGTTAGTTTTTATCAACAAGAGGAGTTTGGCTCAGCACCAAGGGAATTCACTGAGGCAACGATTGAATATTCTTCTCAATCCTGTTCAGGTTTGATTTCTCTACCATCTTGATTGTTGCATCTTTTTGTCTATCTACTGAACCAATGTCTATTTTGGTTGTTTGATGAGTCAGTTTTGCATGGGGATTATTATTACTTCTATGCCTCTTTATTTATGCCCTACGTCACATTGACTGGGCTCTCATTTGTCTTCGCATTCATAACCAACTCTGGCATGCTTCATTTGTAGGAATTGGGTGTAATTTGTCAAAAAATTTCCGAATAAAACATGTATTTTTTACCATATAGTATTTTAGAAATAGTACAGCCGCACGGCTCTATTCCATTTTTGTCTTTTTCAAAAAATAGTATAGCCGGCCGGCTATACTGTTCTGACACCTGGCGCCTATGCAAAAGGCTGGTCTTTTTTAATCATATAAATCGTATAGCCGCCCGGCTATACTCGGTTTTTCTTTTTCTTTTTCTTTTTTAAAAAATTGTATAGCCTATGGCTATAATTATTTTGACACGAGGCACTAAGTCACTATGTGGTTTTTTTTTTTGTAAATAGTATAGCCGTGTGGCTATACGTATTCTGAAACGTATATTCGCAAGGCATTTTTTATATACAAATTTATAAATAAACCCAATCCTAGACATGTATTTATAAAAAAACCCAAGCACTATTTAAACATAGAAACACACCCAAAATCAACCCCAAAGTCAACTTTTTGGGTGTGTTTATAAATGGGTTTTGAGTGTGTAATGATGGGTTTTGGGTGTGTTTATATGTTTAAATAGTGCTTGGGTTTTTTTTTAATTTCAACCCCCATTTTGGGTGTTTTAGTGAAACTCCCTTTTTTATATTATATTAATAGTATAGCCGCCCGGCTATACTGTAATGTTCCTAAAAATAGTATAGCCGTCTGGCTATACGTATTATAGGGTTTAGCCACGTGGCCACTAACCGCTAGGTGGGTCCTATTCCTTTTTTCTTTGGTTGAAAATAGTATAGCCGATCGGCTATACATATTTTGCACTTCGCGCCTGGCGGTTCTTTTTTAGTATAGCTGCGTGGCTATACATGGTTTCATTAATGTTTCCAAAAAAAATAGTATAACCACAAATCTCGTAAAAAACATGAGTCAATCTCACTCCAAAAAGGTAATTACTAACCAAAATTATCAAAGTTTGAGTACCCAGCGGCCCATATTTTTTTGGGAGACTTTGGAAAAAGCAAAAGGAGAGAGAAATTTTAAAAGAAGCCAAAATGGACAAAATTGCCCTTATTTATTTCTTGATTTCCTAAGGAATCCTTTACATTTGCATGTCTTTGATTTAAAAGTTGAGAGGTTTTTTTGTCTTTTTTGAAACAGCTTTGGCTTTTTCCAAAAGTGAAAGTTTTTTTATGGCTAAAACCTAAATTTACCTATTTTTTTTCAAAGTTTTCAAAATGCATTTGTGCTAACTTGAATTCCAAGTTTCTTCCGTTTTGGTGGAGAAATTATATAATGGTACTGTACTACCATATCAGCTAATAATACTTCCATTCAAAATAACTCGGAATTTAGCTCAAAATCGGGAATTTAAGAGGGGAAATTGACAATTCTCTTGTTTAGTAACTTAAGCACGAAATTTATTAAATAACACGCGGAAAAAATCATGGAAATTAGGGCATCATAATTCCAAGTTTAATTTCCACCCAAATAGGTGTCATTTCACAATTTTCATAGTGCCATTTAAAAAATTCAACATACATAATCCAAAAACCAAAATCTTCAATTGTCAGAAATTGAAATGATAGAAATTTAAATTCTATCATTTTAGAATTTTATGTAATTTTCAACTCTTTCATCCAAACGGAAGGTTAAATTCAATCATCTTTCAATTGACCTATCAAAGTGAACAGAAGAATATCCGTACCATGGCTGCTGCTCTCATGATGTGATCAGACAGGTTGTATCTGGATTCCCCTTCCGAATGTTTCCCTGCAAACAGAAACATGACAGTCCAGTTGAAACAAAATCACCACCTAAGAAAAGTGCAAAAAGTTGAAACTCTAATTGGGGATTTTATTTGGTAAATCCAAGATGGGCCCAAGTCTTGCTAGTGTAGTAGCGTTTGTTTCATTCTCAGCTTATCTTTTCTGACCAAAAACAAAAAAATGATGTGACCAAATCACCCTTTTGACCCGATTTGTTAAGTATGTCCAACACCACGGACCTTTAATAAACGGGTTATCGGGTACCCGCAGCCACCGTCCTCTCAGTTTCGTCCCTTTTTGTTTGCCTCAGCCTCAGTTTCGTTAGAGCCGTCCATTCTCTGATTCCGAGTCTTTGAGCAGCTCAACGCAGCCCACCGCGGATTGACGAAGAGTGGGTTGTGCGCATCTGATTTTGCTGCTTCTTATCAATTCACTGGTTCCTTCTTCTTCTGGTAAGTATATATTTCGAAGTCTGATTAGGGTTTTTCAGTCTCCTGTTAGATTTGCAGTTTGGTCGCTCCTGATTGTTAATTTTGTTGATTATAGCCAACCCCTTTGTTGAATTATGCACAGAGTATTTTTTGGAGGGAAATTCATGCTATTCAAAATCAAAATTTTATAGGCATGAAACAGAATCAGCTTGTTAGATGAAAATCAAAGACACCATGAATTCTATTTGTTTTTTTCTTTCTCTGTTATGGGTTTTGTAGCTCATGCTTTGAATTGTTAGGCATATTTGCTGATTGCAAATTATTTTTTTTGTTTTCTGACAGGATCTTTTAGTTTGTAGCTTTAGATATGGATGACATTGATCATTATAAGATTCTCGGTTTGCCTTCCGGTGAAGAAGGTGCTAAGCTTACAGAAAAGGAGATTTCAAAGGCATACAGAGCAAAGGCTCTTGAGTTGCACCCCGATAAGAGGCTGGATGATCCCGATGCCCATGCCAACTTCCAAATTCTCAAGTCATCCTATGAGATACTTAAGGATGAGAAGGCCAGGAAGCTGTTTGATGATTTACTGAGAGTTAAGAGAGAGCATCAGCGGCGCCATTTGGAGCGCGATTCCAAGCGACAGAAGATGGTCTCTGATCTTGAAGCGAGAGAACGAGCTGGCTTTGCTCCAGATGCAGCTGCCAAAGATAGAGATGAAGAGGAGAGAATTGCTAGGAAGCTTAAGGAAGAGATTGCGAGAATACGTGCCATGCATGCGAATAAAGGGGCGGCAACTGCTTCAGTTCCAAAAAGAGAAAGTAGGGGAGTTAGGAAGGAGAGCGTGGGTGGTGCTAAGCCGGGATTGGATAAGGAGAAGGTGCTTAAAGTTTCTTGGGAAAAGGTTGGTGAAGGTTATACAGCCCAGAGGTTGAGAGACTTGTTCTCCAAGTTTGGTGAGGTTGAAGATGTTGTTATCAAAGATGCTAAGAAGAGAGGTTCGGCCCTAGTTGTAATGACAACTAAAGATGCGGCTGTAAGTATGCCATGACTGTTATGTTTATAATTTATACTTTGAACTTTTATTTTCTTAATGATGTAGTGACATACCATTGGCGTTATTATTTGTAGGTTGCAGCAACACAAATTGTGATGGGCGACCTTTCTAATCCATTGCTAGTTTTACCTCTTCAACCAGTTGCAGTGACTGATGCTCCACCAGTTCAGAAGTCTGATGAACCTGATCGACTTAACAATTTGATTGGGGCGAGCTATCAAACTTTTGAGGATTCTGTTTTGCAGAAACTCCAAAAGGTTTGACTAGGATTAACTATTCTTCATACCTTATCTAAAGATTGCAATGATCATGCAGAGACTTCAATTTAAGTCACTTGACATAAAGAAAAGTTGCCTCTCTTATTTTTTATTGTGCTCTTGCTGTTGTATTTTTGCAGTTAGATGTCTGTGTTATACAATTTTTGCATCCTTTCATTTTAAAGCAGATATATATATATATATGTTAAACTGTTAATCAACCGGATCATACACAGACTATTATGCTTGCATGTAGTTATATCGTTAAAACTATGATATATTCTTGTGCTTCAAAAGGGCAATAAGTTGTATGTGCCCACGTATCTGACAGTTGATTTTTAATTTTCAAATTTTGATACTGCCCCGTAGTGAATCGGGAAATAAATTCTATTTTTATGCTCTGCTTTTTAGTACATCAGTTTTGAGTCTTTGTCTGGATTTTCTACTATAGGCTGCGCAGAAGCAAAAATAATATTCTAGAAGCATGAAAGGATGATGATCCCAAAAGCACTACAAGATTCACGAACTGAATTCCCATGTACAGGTAAGAATGGCCGTTACTTTCATTATTTCATTTTTGCCACTCCCAATTCATGCCAGCCTTTGTCTGGGTCACTTCATTTTCTGAACATAAGAATGATATCCAAATACCTTTTCAAAGTGCATGACAAGCACATTTCAATTGTACATAGGAGCATATGCTTTTGCCAAGCCAACGGTAACACGGACCACGTGGCAAGAGAAGTTTATAAATACCGATGTGATTGGAGCAAAGGTTGCTCAAGGCCTTTGAAAGAGTTGCTGGACTTGCATTTCTCTAACCAAAATCATCTATGCTTTTGTGAAAAAGTACAAATAGCCAATTTTTGCATGACTGGCTGATATACTCTAATTCTTTGACATGCAGGGAACTGGTGAGAAGTCTCTCAAGTATCAAGATTGTGCATGAGAAGTGCTTTTAACCAGAGATGTTATAAACATGAATTAGTTACTGAGAGATCAAGACTGGCATTGATGTATGCTAACAGTTTACCATTCTCAAGGTTAGGACAGAATTATTTCTGTTGGCCATTTTGAATTTGGTGTATTGGTTATATCCACGGTTGCACCCTGTGCTATTTCACAAATCATTGTACACTCCATATTGTATCAAGTTAATGATTCACTTGGGTTTTCATTTATTTCACTGTTTCATCGTTTTATATCGTCGATGAAATTTGGATTCATCACCCCCACTTAACACTGTTTCCTCATCCGTCACGTAGAATGATGGCCGGATGACTTGTGAGATTGAAAAGGTGATCGATGTTAAGTGTTTTGGCATGGCATTACTCTGATACTTTGAGCGTGAGGTTCACGGCCTCTTAGAGCTCCATCGGAGAAGATGTAGCAGAAAAGAAAAAATAAATTATTTATAATAAATATAAATAAATAAAAACTCAACTCCTTATGTACTGCCAATTGTGGATGGGTGCATGAGTGTTATTGGTGCTTTGCTTTGCTTTGGTATATGGAGTCGAGTCAACTCTCTCGGTTTCACTATTTTACAAAAATATTGGAATTTTATTATTACTCTGTCATTTAAAAAAAAATATTAAAAAAATAAATGTTATCACTTCGACAATTTCATTAAGAATTTTATATGATAATTTTGGTTTACCAATCGCGATTCTATGGGAAGGCTAACTGGTTTTGGCACTCATCTCTCATAACTCCAAGAGATTTCTTTCAAGCATTTTAGCAAGGAAATCGAATGTTAATGTTTGTTACAATTCATCTACCACATTTGAAACGAATATGTTTGATGGCTCGAGAATTGGGATCATATCTTACCTTCGTAAGTAATTCTATGTGTCACAGTCAAATGAATAAAACAAGGTTTGATTGTAAGGTGTATTTGGTGGCGGAGCTATGCTTATACATATCATAAATGTGCCAAATTTTTCTGAATTACTACATAATAGATGTTCAATGATAAAGAAACTAAGGGGGAAGGGCATGACAACCTCGGATATGCACTTAGCTTAGCTCCCAACCATGCTTGTATGCATATAACCTATCGTACTAATGTCCAAACAAAGATGTTTGATTGCTCAATAATTGGATGATATATTTCTTTCGCAAATTATTCTCAACGTTTAAAGGAATGGAATGAGGTTTGGTTGTACGCATATATGAGATCACTATCAACTTTTCAGATGAAGATGTTTGATGACTTCATAATTGGATGACGTACCTTTTATTATGGGATAGTTTTCAAGTGTCAAAAGAATGAAATGAGGCTCGGTTATATGCAGATTATCTACGGATATTAAGGTATTACGGATAAATAATTTTAAGTGTCAAATGAATGCAGAAGGTGGGGCATTCTTGTTATAATTTAAGTTTTTTTTCAAGACAAAATATTATAACAAAATTAACATTTAAAAAGTGAAAAAGAAAAAAAATCAAGAAAAATGATTATAATTTTCTGTCTACTAATATTAATCTACATTATTATATAATAAATTATGATAATTTTGTATAATATTTAAACATAGATCGTCCTCTTTGCCTCGTCTCCGCCCCACCAAAACCCCTCATAGCTGTCCTAAAATCCCCTTTTGCTCTCTGCTCAAAACCCCAAGCGTTCAATTCAAAATTCCGTTGCAGAATCAGAAACTCTGTCTCCATTTCAATGGCGGCGAGTGCCTCGTGGCAGCCAAAGGAAGAAGGGTTCGCGGAGATCTGCGGGTTGCTGGAGCAGCAGATTTCCCATTCGTCTTCTTCCGCTGACAAGTCTCAGATTTGGCAGCAACTTCAACACTACTCTCAGTTCCCTGATTTCAATAACTACCTCGCTTTCATTCTCGCACGTGCCGAGGTAATCGTCTCACTCCACTTCCCCCAATTCTGTCTTCATCTCCAATTTCAATCAGTAGGGTTTCTGTTTTGTCTTTTTGATTATGTGATTTGGTTGGATAATGGGTCTGATTGGATTGCATACTTAGTTAGAAATTGATAATCGTCTTTTGAGTTGACGGGGGCTTATGGGTTTGGGTTCGATGGAGGTTATGGGTGCCGATGAAGTTGGGATTAGAATCGCTTCACATGGCTGATTGTTCTGATTGTATTTGTTTTTTATTCTATTGACTTTGAGAGCGGTTTCAAGCTGGTGGCACCAGAAAGCCTTAATTACTTAGAATGTTTGTCCACAAATCCTTGTTTATGTCAAATCTATTTGCTGTGGTGGAAAGGTTGGATACTTAAATTTGTAATTGGTAAACTTTGTCTTGCTTTTGATATACTGGAGTTGATCCTGTGGCATGGTAACGTGTATTGTGAAGAAAATGATTTATTGTTTTTGGCTGTTGGTTAACATAGCATAACCAGTTTTCAGCTTCTGGGTGCTGATGGAACTTCGAATTTGGGTAACTTTTGGACAGGGTAAATCAGTGGAGATACGACAAGCTGCGGGATTGCTTTTGAAGAATAACCTTAGAAATGTATATAAGCCCATGGCTCCAGCATACCAGCAATATATAAAATCCGAATTGTTGCCTTGCTTAGGAGCAGCAGACAGACACATCAGGTCTACAGTTGGCACCATTATAAGTGTTGTTGTTCAACTAGGGGGAATTTTGGGGTGGCCTGAACTATTGCAAGCTCTTGTAAATTGTTTAGACAGTAATGACCTAAATCACATGGAAGGTGCTATGGACGCATTATCCAAGGTAAACACAATGTCCTAGAGTTTACTGATTACATTTCCTGATTAAATTTTTGCATATTCCTGAAAGCTCTTTTGCTCTTGTAGCTCTTAAAACTAATGGCACAAATCAGAAACTTATTAATTTTTGTGACACCAATGTTGTGATGAAACACAGATTTGTGAGGATATACCTCAACTGCTTGATTCAGATGTACCCGGTTTGCCTGAACGTCCCATCAACATATTCCTTCCAAGGTTACTGAAGGTAATAATGAAATAGCTGTATTGTTTTATAAGTGATCTTGAAGTTTACGTTTTATGTTTAAACAGTTATTCTGCCCTACCCTTATAAGCATAGCTGAACTCTGAAATTTTACTGATGGCCCTTTTTTTCTTTTTGGCCTGGTTTTCTCAACGTGGCTTCACTTTGTACAGTTTTTCGAGTCACCACATTCATCGCTAAGAAAGCTTTCCCTGGGTTCTGTAAATCAATACATTATGTTGATGCCAGGTGTAAGTATATGTGGAAACCTGTTGTTTTGGTACCTTTTGGACCTTATTCTGATGATTGGGGGTTGTAGCAATTATGTGTTCTATTTGATTGCAGGCTCTATATGCATCCATGGATCAATATCTTCAAGGTTTATTTGTCCTTGCTAATGACCCTTCTTCTGAAGTGAGGAAATTAGTGAGTACTCCATCATTACTTTATCTTATCTGGGTTTAATTCTGAAGATAATAGTATTGCGTGGAAATTGAATTGGATATTCCATTTCAGGTCAAAAGATTTCCCCTCAAAATTAACTTCCATTAACAGTTTAAATTTGTTTTCTATTTGGCTGTAAAATCTTCAATATTCACAAATAAGTTATTATTATTATTTATAAATAATAATAAAAAAAGCCGAATTCATTGTTATGGAAGATTTGTTTCTGAATGCTTGAGTTGCCTAGGATAACCATGACCTGTGTAGTTGTTTTTAAATGGATTATATTGGTTTTTTTTTCTGTGTTCTTTGCATTGGTCTAAACAGATAATATTATAATCATGACTGGATAATGATCAGTGGGATATTTGAATTGAATTCTTTGTTGCTTTAAAAAAAGTAAATAAAAAGAATCATGTACTTTGAAAGAGAAGTTGTAAGGAAGGTGGGCAAAGATATCCATCACATTCAGTCTTAGAATCAACAAATAAAGGTCATATTTGATGGACATTGAATGTTATTAGATTTAATAATTTTGGCTTTGTTCTCATCTTTCCCTCCCCCCCCTCCCTTTTCATTGTCAAACAGGTTAGTGCAGCATTTGTTCAGCTAATTGAAGTCCGTCCATCATTCTTGGAGGTAACATCTTGTTGTGTTATTCTAGCCTTGTTCTATTCCGTGCCTTTTTTCATTTGTCTATGTGCTACATGAATTTTGCTGTGTCAACAACAGGGTATAGGACAAAATTGAATTAATCCTGCTTGCACATTCCATCATGCATCTTACTGTATATATCTATCTGCATATACACATGATTGCACATACATACACTTGCATACAATCTTACTCTATGTTTCATATATTTCTATGATCATTGTTTTCTTTATTGTCATCCCTTATCCTTATTGCACTTTTAAGTAACTCTTACCTGGTACTGCAGCCACATTTGAGGAATGTGATTGAATACATGTTGCGAGTCAACAAGGACACCGATGAAGAAGTGGCTCTTGAAGCCTGCGAATTCTGGTATCCTCCAACAAATGGCATATACTAATTGAATGTTTTCACCATTAGCTTATGATTCATTAAATAGTTTTCAGATATTGAGTGAATGAATTTGGTTTAGTTATTGGGTTCTTCTCTATATCTTTCTATTTAGTTATATTAAAGCCTTTTGGTGTCTCTAATAATTGCGTTACCGAGAGAGGAGAGTATAATGTGCTTTTTACTTAGAAGATTTCTCCTTGTGGTTGGCATGTTTGTAACTTAACCGCAGTCTTGTATATTAATTTAATTTGACAATCAGTATTTTTACACAGGTCTGCATATTGTGATGCTCAGTTACCGCCTGAGAATTTAAGAGAATTTTTGCCACGTCTAATTCCGGTATACCCAATTGTTGATCGTTTTCTTGGTGTGATAACCATACTTACAATGGAATCTATGGAATTCTTTTTAATACAACACACCTGTTTCAACTTCTGTAGGTTTTGTTGTCAAACATGGTTTATGCTGATGATGATGAGTCCCTCATTGATGCTGAGGTTATCTTTACTGGGTCAATTTGTGTTTTTGGGTGATTCTGAATTGCCATTTGTTGTAGTTCGTTATTCATTTGGGATCAATTCATTGTTGCAGGAGGATGGGTCGGTTCCAGACCGTGATCAGGTTCAGACCAATTTTGTTTTTCGTTGTTGGTATTCTCCGTATTTTTGGAATCTTAAGTTGTATTCTAAATCTGTTAAGCTGATATTTTGTACCACAGGATATCAAACCTCGGTTTCATTCATCACGAGCTCATGGATCTGAGAGTGTGGAAGATGATGTAATTTGCCATATTATTATTTTTCTGTTTATTATTTAAATAGTCTGGTTGATTATTCTGACTCTATTAAATACTACTAAAAAATTTCTGCTTTATGTAGGGTTTAAGTATGAGGGAAATGAGTAGAATATCTTTTAAATGACATGATTTGGGATAATGACAGGATGATGATATTGTCAATGTATGGAATTTACGCAAATGCAGTGCAGCAGCTCTCGATATCCTGTCAAATGTGTTTGGGGATGAGATTCTCCCAACGCTGATGCTCTTTGTTCAGGTTATATAGACTTATTTGGCAATAAAGTGAAAGCATTGGTTGTTAAGATTTTTTACTTTTATTCTTATAATTTTTTTTTCTTTTTCATCCTCCCATTTTCTCTGAAAGAATTGAATGATTTAGAAGATTATATGGACAGTTCTATCCATTAGAGGATTATGTAGATCTTCAAAGTTGAAGTAACACAGTTTCCCTTAGAACATTTCATGTTGGATTACATAGCTCTTTAAAGTAGGAAGTTGCATCGTTCTCCTTGGAAAATTATGTGTCGCATGCTGATTTCAATGTTTTGGGTTTTCTTAGGTTACACATATACTATGCATGTTCATGTAGTTTGTTTACTTGGCTATCTCTTCAAGATGTAGTTTGAAAAGCTTGCTCCAAGTTATGTGACATGCAACAGGAAAAATATCATGTGTGCTCTGTATTTGTGAATGTTCTTTTGAGGATTAGGTCAGCTGAAGGAGATACTCTAATTGTGTTGTGAGTATCCAACATTGAAAGATGGAAGCCATTGGTGCTTAAAAGATCTTTGGGCCTCTCTACCCATTCCAAATTGGTTTTGGGTTGGATAGTATCAAGCTGGTTATCCATGTGGTAGGCCTAATGGTCCCACGTCACCCAATAAGAATTGTCTACGTGTTTGGTGCAAAAGATTCCACATAGAAGGGGGTTCATTGATAGTATCCTACATCGAAGGATATAAGCCTAGCATAAGTGCTTTAAAGATCTTGGGCCTCTTCAACCCATTGCCAATTGATTTTGGATTAGATGCTCACATTCTGATAAATAAAATTGCACTGCTGCTCCAGTAACCTGATGGGTTGACCTTGCCAAGTAGTAATAATGTTCCAGAATGGACTTGTAGAAAATAGGGCTATGTGGCCCTGTTTCTCTTTGAGTGGGAAATGAAGGAAACAGAATTAGTTAGTTATTAGAATTGTATGATTTGATACAAGTCAATACTATTAGTAAGATTCTTTCCCTTGTAAGTTACTGAAGAAGCCTTAGCTAAAGGTCTATTCTGTTGAAGAATTTTTGCTCTGCTAATCGGTACTCCTGTTTCAAATAAAAGTTTTAACATCTCAAATATCTGCAGACCAAGTTGGCCACCAGTGAGGATGAAACCTGGAAAGAAAGGGAAGCTGCTGTTTTGGCACTTGGTGCCATAGCTGAAGGTTGCATTACTGGTCTTTATCCTCATTTGACTGAGGTAATCCCTTGTGACCTGTTTTTAATTTTTGTTTTGTTTTTGGGATGAGAACAAAACTTTTATTGTCATAAACTTCAATTGGTACAAGAATTCCTTTTCTGTAGTACACTCAATTACAAACAAGATTAAAAAAGAAACAGCCTCAGAACAAAACAAAAGAGAAGCAGGCTAACTAATAGCTGCCTTCCAGTTCAACAATACAGCAGACACGCTTACCCCTAAAATCAGTAGAAAACTCCTGAAGAGATGACAAAACAACAGGCCTATCCCCCACTCTTAAACTTAACCCCTCTGTGATCTGCAAAAGTTTGTCTGTCCTCCTCCATCCATAGAACCCAAATGACAGCCAGTATTCTGCATTAATGGTCTCTATTTATTATATATCTTGCATGCTAGGTCGCCACACTATAAATTTGGACCACACTTTCAAATATGAATCTACGCAATCAATGGTCCATATTGACAATTCAAAAACTGTCTAGCTGGAGAAAACATTTCCTATGCAGCCTATATATTTGTGCAAATAACCAGCAAACAGAAAGTTTTTTGCTATTAGATTGCTGTGTGTACACTATCTAAATTCTGTGCTGAATTATTCAAGTAAAAATTAATTATTCACATTGCAGATTGTTGCATTTCTAATCCCTCTTTTAGACGATAAGTTTCCACTTATACGGAGTATTTCTTGTTGGACTCTCTCTCGTTTCAGCAAGTTCATTGTTCAGGTATTTACACATTCCTATGTCTTTACTTTCTTGTTCAGGTATATCAATTTTGCTATTTCTATGGAACTGTCATTCTTTTTTTCCCTTACTCATGGTTGACCAAGAAGTGAAAAAATGAAATTTGGAGAGCGCATGTTTTCTAAAAAGTGATTTCGCATTTTCATGCATTGAAGTTTATTCCATATTTCATTGTTGAATATAATATGTTTCAATTTGATTGAATATATCACTTTATCTTTATATAACTTTGTGAAGCCTTTTTCATTTTTTGCATAATTTTAAATTTTGTATTTTTATGTGACTATCTAGGTTAGTGCTATATTTTGATCCCCCATAGAGTATCATTCATCGGTTCTGTAGAGTTTTATGCTTGCCTGTTCTTCTTCAGGGTGTCGAACATCAAGTAGGTTATGAGCAATTTGACAAGGTTCTTGTGGGTCTATTAAGAAGAATATTAGATAATAACAAGCGGGTACAAGAGGCTGCTTGCTCTGCTTTTGCGACACTTGAAGAGGTTCTTATATAAATGCAGTCCAATTCTTTCAATCGATGTTATTTGACTATTACATATCTGGTTTTAAATACTGATCGTTTAAAAGCTGCAGGAGGCAGCAGAAGAGTTGGCACCACGCTTGGAAATGATTTTACAACACCTTATGTGTGCTTTTGGGAAATATCAGGTTTCTGCCAAGCCTTTACCATAGAGTTCCTCCAGTGTGAACATGAAGAGATGAAACACTGATTATTCCCATTCTTTAGTTTATTATGATTAATAGTTCTGTATTGTTATTCAGAGGCGGAATCTCAGGATTGTATATGATGCTATAGGAACTCTAGCAGATGCTGTTGGTGGGGAGTTGAATAAGGTATTTTCCTTTCCTGTCATCTCTGTTTTCTTCACTCAAAACAAAATAAATAGTTTTTAAGTCATGAGTATAGAGTTAATCAGATGCAGCGATTATGATAAAACAATTTGTGCCAATTGACTGTAGTTTGCTTTTCAGCCCACTTATCTTGAAATTCTGATGCAATGGCTTTGGTTTGCAGCCTGCATATCTTGAAATTCTGATGCCACCATTAATTGCAAAGTGGCAACAACTTTCGAATTCAGATAAAGATCTCTTTCCATTGCTAGAGTGCTTTACTTCTATATCACAGGTACATATTGCTGTTTTCTTTCAGTCGTCTTCTTATTTGTTTTTGTTTTATTTTGTATGTGTGCAATATAAACCACTACCTGCGTATATGGTAGTAGTAAGGCACAATGGAAAGGCGAATGTATCACTCATTATTAGCATTTAGTAGTTGAAATTTTGATACATAATATGGTTAGGAACGGCATGGTTAGAATGTCAGTGCCAGGAATAAGACTCTTTCGCCCTTCAGAAGAAAAAGAGAGTAAGCTCTCTTGGTTTTGGGAGCATTGTCTGCCAGAAGAGTAACTGAAATACATTTTATTGCTGTTCTTGTTATAGTTCCTTCTTTGCACCCATAACATATAATATGGCAAGACTTAATTTCCATGTCTGTTCTTGAATCATGTTAGACTGCTGCCACCACATTCATTTCTATTCCTGTGACATATATTTGTTCTTTGATATCTTTGTTTTTTTGGCATGAGGACTTCATGAGTTGACAGCCTGAAATAACACAAATGTGAAAAATAATGTTAAGTGCTACATGCAGTGGGTATAAAAATTTAAATTTGTTTGCTTATTTTCAGGCTTTGGGTGCCGGATTCTCTCAATTTGCTGAGCCTGTATTTCAGAGGTGCATAAGCATCATCCAGTCCCAACTACTCGCGAAGGTTCAATCCTGGTCTTTTGATTGTTCATGAATTATGTGACAAGATTGAACCCTTTTATTATTTATTACATCCCCCTCTTCCCTGTATAAGGTTTCAAAGATAGGAGTAATAGCTTTCTTGCTTTCAAGTCATAGCTTAGTTTGCATATCTTGGAATTAGAGACATTTGTATTATTGATCTCTGTATCAATGTATCAGTAAAATGCTTACTTTAACAAATGTAACTTATATTCCTGAAGTTTATCTTTTATACCCTGCATAGATAGTGCCCATTGGGATTACTTCAATATGTCCGCTTCTGGAAACTATAAAAGCCCAAAATGTTCTCAAGTGTCATTTTATTCTATGTAACAACCTTTGGAATTTTGAATATCTGTATTGCTAGTGATTTTTTTCCCTTTTCCTTTGGGTGGGGGCAGGAAACATATATTTCTATAAAAGAGATAACGAATATTAAGCTACACCAACTTAAATCACATATTACACTAAAAGGTAATATCCCTAAAAATGTGCCTTCAATTACCTGTATCATAAAAAAAATTCACACCCGTCGTACAAGTTTTCAAAGTTTGTATGCAGTCCATGTCCATCTGGGTGCCTCTAATATAAGAAATATCTCTGGACTTCTTTTGCAGGCTGATCCTGTTTCTTCCGGGGTGCCATATGATAAAGAATTTATCGTATGCTCTCTTGATCTGCTCTCTGGACTTGCTGAAGGTCTTGGCAGCGGGATAGAGAGCTTGGTATTTTCCTTCTCCAATTCTTTATAGAGAAAAGATATGAGATAACATGTATTTATATCATTATTGAATGCTCTTTGTCTTAAATATTTCTTTTCCAGAATAGGTTTTTTTCCCCCCTAGAAAGCAAGGGTTTGTGCGTTGGCCTCTCTGACAGTTCATAAAAAACCAATGCAACATCTTCTTTGAAAATTACGTGGAATCCACTCATTACATAGCCCATACTGCCCCCTTTAATGCTTTAGCCTCTTCCACTGTCAAATTACTATATAGCTTGCATATTGAAATGTGTTTTCATGTTTCTTATTTGCTATCCAGGTTTCACAGAGCAATTTGAGGGACCTGCTTTTGCAATGTTGCACAGATGATGCTCCGGATGTCCGACAGAGTGGCTTTGCATTACTTGGGGATCTTGCAAGAGTAAGTTGAGAATTTATCTGTCAAATGATGTGCAATCTGGGTTCCTGTCCCATCCTTGATATTCATGCAAAATTTGAGAGCTTATTAAATTCTCCAAAAGAAATAGATAACACCATGCCACAAGGCGAGTGTAGTGGAAGCTACTAAGAGCTGTTAATTTATCAGTGAATTTAGTTTTTCATGCCTAACCGTTGTCTTGGCCTTTATTTTGAGTAGGTATGCGCAGTTCATTTGCGACCTCGTTTGCCAGAATTTATTGATGTGGCAGCCAAGCAACTGGTATGTAAAATTTTCAGTTTTGCTTTTTTGGGGTTGAATTCAGTATTGCTTTTAGCAGTCATGATTTATGTGATATCTTGTTGTACAGAATACTCCTAAGCTGAAGGAAACTGTTTCAGTTGCAAATAATGCATGTTGGGCCATTGGAGAGTTAGCAGTGAAGGTAAACTTTCAATGAAGTTGGCTAGATATAAAATTTAAATTGTAAAGCTTCAGCAGGGGCTTTTTCATTTTTATGACTTGAAATTGTGTGGTTGCTTGCGCTCTTTTTAGATGATCACCATGATCAGTTCTTGTTGTCATTTTGTAAAGGGACAAGATAGAGCAATATAAAATCTTGGTGGGCTCAACTTATTTATCAGGGTTTCCATCATTTAATTGATTTAAGAGCAGTCCTTTATTTTTCTAGGTGCCCTTCCAGATGTTGTGAAATTTATTAATTGTCTGTTCTTTTTTAAATAAACACAAGCCAATTTGGTGTTGTGAGCAAACTTTTGTTATCAACACATACATATACACCTGCGAGTGTCTCTATTTGTGTCCTGTATTGGTTTGTGCATCTTTTTTGGTTTCTTGTGTTTCTCTATTCCTTGTTACTTAGTGACTTAAATATTCTACTTTAATTGCTTGATGATGGTATCATGAAAGTAACTTTGAATTTCAGGTTCGTCAAGAAATCTCTCCAATTGTTTTGACGGTTATCTCTTGCTTAGTCCCTATCCTTCAACACGCAGGTGATTTTTTTTTTTTTTTTTTTTTTTTTTTTTTTTTTTTTTTCCATATTGTAACATGTACCTTGGAGGAGGTGTCATCTTTTAATTGCATCTCTTGATGCTGAGCAGGAGCTCAACAACAAGTCACTAATTGAAAACAGTGCTATCACACTTGGGAGGCTTGCGTGGGTCTGTCCAGAGCTTGTGGCTCCGCATATGGAGCATTTTATGCAATCTTGGTGCATTGCTTTGTCAATGTAAGTTTTATACATCTACATTTGAAGTAGCAATATATGCTTCCTCATAATGCTTATTACGTTTTCACCGCTATACTTTGTTTCTGACATGAAATTCATCTCACAGGATACGTGATGATTTTGAAAAGGAGGATGCCTTCCGAGGTCTCTGTGCTTTGGTATGCCTCTGCGTTCTTTTCCTTTCTTTTTTTTCATCGTACGTTCCACTTGTATACCTATTTACACTTTCGCTTGGATTTTCTCAAATATTTCAGGTTAGAGCCAATCCATCTGGAGCATTGAGTTCGCTCATTTTTCTGTGCAACGCTATTGCAAGTTGGCATGTAAGAATCATGCTATACTCATCTGTGGATTTTACGAAGTGTTCGTGTTTTTTTGTACAAGCTCAAAGTTGTGATTTGCCATGTTTTATAGGAAATAAGGAGTGAAGAGCTTCATAATGAAGTTTGCCAGGTGTTGCATGGTTATAAGCAGGTTAGCATTGCGTTTATTATGTAACATCCTTGAGAGTTATAATAATTTTCTGTGTGTATAAACCTTGAGATTATGAAAATGTTTTGATAACTCTTTTGGAAATAAAACACTCAAACAATATGAAACTCTGCTGAAAATGAGTAGGTTATTGGGGTGGGGGTGAAGTTTTTCATTTCAAGATAACTGGTGCAAAATAAGACAAGATAATTTGATTTACTCGTTTGAAATGTGCAACCCTGCAGATGCTTGTGAATGGAGCATGGGACCAGTGTATGTCTGCTTTGGAGCCACCAGTGAAGGACAAGCTGTCAAAATACAGAGTGTAATATTGTACCCATAGCTGATTTATTGTACCTGCTGGTTCTCTCTCCTCTATGTGCTCATACATATTTGCGTCTACACTATTTCCATTGCATTGTGGTCATGAGTTTTACGAGCAAAGTCCAAATTTTTGGTCCCTAATTTTTAAGTGGAAGCTTTGTTGTCGACTCAAATGAAGCTTGAAGTTAGCTTTCAATTGGTCCATAAAGTGCATAACCTGACAAATGAAGCAGCGTAGGCTTGGGACAAGAGTGGTGTACAGGGGTGCAGCTTCCCAAGCTTTGAGGGTGTGTTCGTTCTTGTTGTCTTGTATTTAGAGAAAGGCAAGAAGCATCTCGTTCAAGTCTTGGATCAATTGATTTTTCATGTTAGATTTAGAGTTTTGCATTATTCAACAATTCCAGTGATTAGTGTTTGTACCTGTGATTTTCACAGATTTTGTACAAGGGAGGTTTTGGCATTTAGTTATAAGAATTTTCCATTGTTTCGTATATGGTTCAAAATCTGTAAACCTTTTATTTGGGGACGGAGCAAAGTTACTCTTGCTGTTCTAAGCAGCTGTGGTATTTGAAACCTTGTGTCTCACGAATTGATTGAAATTGATTTTATGTTTGGAAAAATAACAAGCAATCTTTACCTGTTTAAACTTGGATATAACCTTATCTACATGCAAAGAATAATTTGAAAACTAGCCGCTTGTTATTTGGTAGTTGGTTCTTAAACAAAAATATTTTTTGGTGAAAAAAACTCTAGGGTGAGGGAGGGCTATCCCATCCCAAGGTTAGGGCATGCCAAATCCTCTTCAAGGACTTACAGAGGGGATCTTAGCTCTGTTTTTGGTTTTTTCATATTATTCACAAAGAGGGATTGTTATCAACGAGACTCGAACCTAGGCCTTGGATGGCGAAAAGAACAATCCTTACTAATTGAATCAACCCTCATTGGTGTTCTTAGATAATTTCAACCCAACTCAACCAATTAGAAAGTGACAAGTGGCTAATTTTGAGTTTTTTCTTCTCCAAATAGGCTCTATAGGGGTTTTGTATATTATGTCATGTTAGGATTGGCCTATTTGTGAAAAGCCCTAATTTGAAACAATTACATGATGGTTCATTCAAGCTAAAAAATCTTTCAATTGAATGTATTTAAAGGGAGTTTCACTAAAACACCCAAAATGAGGGCTGAAATTATAAAAAAAAACCCAACACTTTATAAACACACCCAAAACCCATCATTACACACACTCAAAACTCATTTATAAACACACCCAAAAAATATACAATTGTTGATTTTGGGGTTAATTTTGGGTGTATTTCTATGTTTAAATAGTGCTTGGGTTTTTTTATAAATACATGTCTAAGATTGGGTTTATTTGTAAATTTTTATATTTTAAACAAACAATTTAATCTTGTGACATCATTTAAAACCCTAAATTTGGAATCACAACATTTAAAGTCATAAGTGTAACCTTATATCCGTCATCTGATCAGCTTTGGTTATTGGGATTGCAAATTTTTTATATGGTTGGGATTGTTTGGCTGGGTGGTTACCAAAATAAATTAGCTTCTAATGGTTTAATTAGCCATCACATGCATATAGAAAGGACTGTCTTAACGAACCACGGGGAGCACGATATAGCACAAGATTAAGCTGAAAAGCTACTCTTCATCATTTGGTATTATGCTGCAGTTTGGGCAAGAAGTACACAAAATAGTGAGGGTTATGCATTCAAATGGAGGCAGATATTTCTAACCATGCCTGTAATCACTAGCAGGGCCTTGAATCTAACAGCAGAGCTCCATTGTACTTCTGGTATTAATCTTTGATTACGGGGTTCGCCTGAGAATCAAAGCCAACAGATAGCTGAGGGCAGAGTCAGTTGATGAAAGTGCCACAATGAGTAGCGCCACAAGAACAAGAGTCAGACTAGCAGTCTTCAGCTGCACGAAACAATAAAACAACCTCAGATTGTAATCGCATTTGTACCCCATGAAAATTGACCAAATAAGCATCCACAGGTTGACTTAAAATTCTGCAAATTCACAACACAGGCTTCATAATTTTACATCTTTATAGTGTACTATACGTTTTTGCACATACCGTGCTACGGAAACCTGGCCATTCAATGTACTTCAGCTGACTAGGCTGCTCAACCAGAAAAATGAATAACGATCTCAAACCCCTAAAAATGGAGAAAAACAATAAAACATCACTCTCTTAATCACATATAACTGTTATTCTTATGCAAGTCCACCAACTGGGGATCCGAATTATTAAAGGCCTATTGACAATTTTATGATCTGAGAGGGACAATTACCACACTGCTTCTTTGACAAGACTCAAAAAGTAGGGATCCTGAGGTAAATCATCATCAAAGCTCAATTGACGATGATCCCTCCCCACAGATGCAGCACATATGGTGCCAACATGACGTGCAGGCAAATATTGAATCCCTCCTTTAACAGCCTGCAATAACAAAACCCTAATCCTGAATAAGCGAGCATCTAATAGATAATTGGACACAAAATATGAATTCTAAAACAAAAGATAAAATTACCCTTCTAGATGCCATTGAAATGGAATTGTAATTATCAATTTTGGCCCCATTATATTTCCCGATTCCAAATGGCAGTTTAGCATGACCGGAATTATGAATCAAACCTGCCATGGAGTTGGGAAAAAGTTGAGTAAAAATTGAGCATCACAACATGGAAAATGTAAATGGAGTAAAAATTCCAATAAAGTAATATCCACGAGAAGAGTGAGGGGATAGTAACCTGAACAGTTTGCCACTGACTGCGAAACAGCCCCCATCCTAGGTCAAAATAAATGAACAGCATGAGAAATTATACACACACATATATAAAATACCAATAGTGCAAGCTGTTTCAAACAATGAAGCAATTGTCAAAGAAAGAAGCCATGAACAACATATTATTATATAGACAATCCCAACCCAAAATAAATCAAGTAAAGAAGCCAATTATGGTTCAGCTTAAGTGGGAACAAAATCATTTCAGTTCCTCATCCTTCAACTCAAAAAACCCACCTAAAATTTTCAATTGGGTCTTATTTTCATTAGCAAATTCTTAGCCAGCCCCAACCCACCTAAAATCTTCTGTAAATAAATCTACGAAGCTGTCATCCCATGAAATGTAATAACTTTCAGTCATTTTTCAAGCAAAAATTCATTCTTTTTTACTTTTTTTTTTTCTTGGGATTTATATACATACAAAAAATTCATGAAGCACAAAAGAAAGGCTAGAGCTTTGTGAGTTACCCACAACTTCAAAAACGCACCGTCGCGTCCTATACAAAGTGAGAAAGAAGTGGTGGTGCTCACCTGCTCGGCCTGGTCGCTTTGGTTCGCGCGCGCGCACAGTCGTACAGAGAGAGAAGGACGAAGGGAGAAAACCAACGACAGCAGCACTGCCACCGTTTTGTTTGGCCTCGAGTCAAAGCGCAGCGTATTGAATATTGATTACTGAGGGAAAAACAAAATCTTTTGTGAAATAGTTCATTTGAATCAGGTGGATTATTACTTAAACACCTGACATCAATGTATAGTTTTATGTCAATGATTATTTGGTCTAGTGATCTCTAATCCTCATTTTATTGGAAGAGATTCCGCGTTCAAATGTCATTAACTACCGTTGAATTAAAAAAAAAAAAAAAAAAAAAAAAAAAATTAATTGTCCAAATATTAGCATTATCTTTTGCTGATGATAAGTGACAGTGGAAAAGAGAAAGGTTAGAGTTAATATAATGTGTTCCATCCTTACATTGTCATAACTCGTAAGTATTTGTTAATTTTCTTGTTACCCTTCCTTTGTTGAATTCATAAGAAAATATTTAGACTAAAAAACAAAAGAGAATCGAAGTATTGTTTTAGGCACATTTCTTAAAGTTTGAGCAAGGTGCAACATGACTTCTGTACGCCCAAGAATTAGGTGACATTCAAAATCAAGAGATGAATGGTCAATTTTTAGGCCTTCTTTTGGTTTGCTATAGAAACGAGAGATTCGAATTTCGGACATCCAAAATGTGAAAAAAAAACTGTTAGACTAACAATTACCATAAATAAAATCCTAAAGTGACAGGACAGACAATTGATTTGTTTTTTTATTTTTGTTTTCCTCCTTTAGGGATTCTTGAATTTCAACTTCAATTTTTCAAAGTGGCCGGCCTGCCTTGTTCCAACTTCATTTCATTGTAATCCTCACTACAAGAAAAAGGATCCTTGTCCACTTTCACTAACACTTGATTTAAAAAGAGTTAGGTAACTAACAACTATAATCTCACCTGTCTTTGTCATACAATTTTTCCGTACCTTCTAAGCCACCATATTGAAATCATGTAAATAAGTGAAATGTACACCTATTTAGTTAAGAGAGTAATATTCTCTAATCAAAATTAGATCCTACATGTTAACATGATCTCACTTGATCAACGATTATAAGGTACTTTCAAGGCCGTAGCCATAGGCCTGAAATGGTTGTGACTCGCAAGTTTCAGAAACGTCTTTGAAGTCCACATGAAACTTACAAAACTATGTATAATTCTTTGTAAGCTTTTAAGATGTTGCCCCACAAGATACCAAGTCTAGCTACGCCACTGGGTGCTTTGGTCACACAATTAGGCAAGAACAAACTACCCTTAGTTGATAAACAATGTTTAATATGTTACAAATGTACTTGCATATGTGTGTGTGTGTGTGTGTATCTTGGTCTGGCTGGCATTTTGTGCTGGGTTGGTTGGTTTCATATGGAAGGGAACAGTTGTATCTTTTTTCTTACCAAATGCCCCATTAAGCTTATAATTAATAGGAAGACTAGTTATAGTCATGCCTTGTATAATGGAAATTTGAAACCAAAATCAAAAGCCAGCAGAGACTTTTGTATACATTTCAGTTTTAAATTCAATGCGAAACACATAAGAAATGTGGTGGTTGGAGGAATTGATGCTGATTGTGATGCTGGGCTGCTGCCATTTCTATTCTGTCCCATTTCTCCTTCCTCTTGATTTCTGCTTGGTGAGCTTTGGATTCTCTGAGCTCAATTTCTTCAAGGCACTTGGAGTGCAAAACTGGATCCATTTCTTCTAGCATCACCTTCACGTTTTCTGTCAATTGTCGGACGCTTTTGCTCCAGTGCCACTTTAAGTTCTTCTCCATGCCTTCAACCACAACCGGAAACACTTCCTCCATTGCCACCGATATCATCTTTACGAACTGCTCGTTGTTCCAAACGTAGAGAGCTCGCTCCGCTACCTATATCCAACACAAAACAAAATATAGCACTTGTTAAGACCATGATGGTAACAATGTGACATGTACTTTCAGAATTCTCTATGGAATTTTGAAGATTGCAGAAGATTATAGTACTTACCAATAAATGCAGGACCCTAAAGCTAAAACTAAAGCTATGTAAAACTTGAATATGAATTCAAAGCATAACAGGATTTCAAAAGGCTTTTACAGGGAAAAATTTCATTCTTGGCAGCCATCAGCATACAGTTTAATTGTACCAGTTAAAGCATGGAAAAATGATAGGTATTCAATTGAAGGATTTGTTAATGAAGTTCTGTTTGTTTGCTATGAAAGCATAGGAAAAAGAAGACAGATTTGGATTCTTGATATCTGATTGGAAAGTTGGCAAGCCAGAAGAAAAAACCATGTACCTGTGAGTTCCAACTGTTCAAGCATCTTGTTATCTGGAGACATAAAGGCAGGGCTAACTTCCTATATTGATCAGGGTCAATATTCTCCACCAGTTCCTCCAATTCCCCAATCAGCAAAACTTCCTTCTGGCAATTAGTCACAGGCCAATACCTCAAAATCCCTCTAACAACAATCCCACCAAGCACAGGCTCCTTCTGCACAAACTGAGACACACAATAAGCCAGCTGCCTATGGTAAGCTTGCATCCCCTTGGTCTTGTGAAAAGGAATAAGCACCCTCATCAAGAACAGCTTGTGCTCTTCTTTTAGTGGAACTGTAAAGCCATTGATGATGCTTCCCCATATCTCAAGCAACTCTCTAATCCCACAATGCCTCTCTGTCTCAAACACATAGTGCAAAAACACATCGTTCATCGATTTCCTCATGAACGAACGGTAGAATGTGAATCTGGAATATATTCTGTGATACACATTCTTCAAACTATCACGTTCCCTCGGGTCTTCTGATTGGAACAAGGCAAGAAGATTGACAACAAATTGGTTATCAATGTAACCTCTAAGTAACTTAGGATCTGTGTTGATCACGAGCCGGATGAGGATGTCATAAACTAACTGCAGGTGTGACCATAATGGGGAAAAGGTAGATGTGTGGTCTTCATCATCCGGGAATTCTGCAGCACTGGAGGGATTGGAAGGAGGAGGGAGAGGCCTAAAGAGGTTCAAAGATATCATAGAAATGAGAGATGACATAGCTTGATCATGCAGAGGCTTCTTTGAGGATTTTACCACAGACAGAAGGTGCAAAAGCTTGTTCCTTTTGAGTTCTTGTTGTGTGGCACATTCACTTGGATCAGTGAAGGTGAAGACAGAGGTGCAAAAGGAAATAGAAGAAAGAATTTCCTCATTTTCCAGGTTGGAAGAAGAAGAACACCCAATATTGGTGGTGCCAATCTTCTTTCCATTAGTACCAGTTGCAGTCTTTGAATCAAGATCAAAGAGGTGTTGAAGGGTAGTTGATTTTCTCCTTGGTGAAGCTCTTGGTGTGTTGTTTTGAACACCCATTTTTCTTCTCTCTCCCTCTCTTTTTCTTCTAAGCTTTTTCTCCCTCTATCAGCCTATGCACTTTATGAGCCTCATATTGTTTATGAAAGTGTGTAATTGGTCATAATTTTTCCACTAGCTGCTGAAACAGAGAACACTTAGCTATTTCCTATAGATCTGTTTTTTACTTGTTTAGGCTCTTAATTCTACCATAAAGGCCAAAAAGCCAGCGGTGTTATATAGACAAGAAAGTGTTGTAATATCCGTTCAATAACAAAGACTGCAATTTTAACAGAAACCCAATTAGCTGGTGAAGTAAGGTTGAAAGCAAATACATCTTTCTTTGTTCTTGCTCCTCATCTGTGTGAGTGCCACGTGGATTTTGCCTGGTTTTTGTAAGTTGTAGACATAACAGCTTTTGGCAACTCATAAGAGAGGATGTTAGAAACATGACAACAATGTCATAAATATTAGTCAGGTTCAGCTTGCATGTGCCTCACCAACCTATCGGCCACCGCATTTTGAGTGGGGGGCCCCAAATTGTAAAATGCAAGCCTCACTTAGTAGGCACCTTCCAAGGGACTGTTTGGCAAGCATATCACATCACAAAAACCATCCAAATTGTTCATTGGGTTGGCATTTCATTAGAGAAAATAGGCAGAACCTGAGTTATTAAGCAATGGGATAATGGCTTTTTTTATGAGGACGATAATTGTCAAATCGTTTGCCAACGGGTTCAGTGGTCTCAAGTTTGAATCCCAATAACACTTCCCTTTTCCCTTCCAAACTTTGACCCCAAAATAATGTCACAAGTTTGTTTGTTTTGATGCAAGATTGAGAATTTTGTTTAGGGACCCATTATTTGCACGGCAAAATAGTTTTTTATATATTTTAATTGAAGAATTGAGCAGGCGTAAGAAGCACCATCAGATATAAAAGCTGCCAATTAATGTGTGAGCTAAAGCTCTGGTCCAAAGAAATGGAATATGTGTCGAGCATGAACTAAAAAAACAAGACAAAAATCCAGAACCAAGAATAAACTATCTTAAAATCCTAGAGAGCTTATCGCCTCTCTTGGCCATAAAGACTGAAAGAGATGTTCAAGTGGTGACGGCAATGGTGATCAAATTTTGGCTCATTGGTTTTCTCACCCTTATCAATGTTCAAATCACAGCAAAACCACATATTTTTATATGCATAATGTATGCATGAGATAGATTTCAAGAACTAAGTAAACGGACAAAAAAAAACTAGGATTCACAGTTCAGAGACAACTAATAATGTCAAAATACCAAGATGGCTACTAGAATTCATGAAATCCAAGGTTCGTTACACTGATCATCTGGAGCATGGATATCTGGAAGGTCAGAATTCATGGAGAAATTAAACCATCTCTTTCTTTTTGTGTACTCAACACAAGGCTGCAGAACAAGCCCAATGATCACAGCAGAGATGCTTAAAGCCATCACCTTTGGAGAAGCAAGAGCTAAAACTACAAAAATTAACAGGGTCGGAGGAATGCAGATCAAAATCGCTCCGGCAGTACCAACAGGTATCTTAAACGGCCGCGATGCAGCTGGGTGTTTCATCCTCAACTTCACAAATGCAATGAATTCCATAATCATTCCGAAGCAATACAAGTAGTTCTCCGCGGCTACGATCTCTTGGAAGCTCAACCACGAGAGCAAAATAACGCCTGATGCAGAGAATAAAATTCCAACAAGAGGAGTACCATGACGAGATCGTTTGGCAAAGATTGAAGGAAGCATCCCACGTTCTGCCATACCCAGAAGTTGAAAGGAGTCGCTGCTCATTTCAGCCACAAACATACCCATGTTTGACAATGCAGATGCTGCTAGGACCCAGAATCGTAACCATACACCTCCAAGCATTTTAGCAATGTCTGCGAAATAACCATCAGACCACAGATCACGATCGACTGGAACAGCTCCAGTACCGATCAGAAGGGGGAAAATGTATCCAAACACAACCAAGATAAGAGCATAAAAGAGAGCTTTCGGAAGAGTTGTACCGGGGTTTTCCACCTCCCCTGATAGAGTACTAATGGAATCCCAGTAATTAAGATTCCAGAACAGAGTGTTCAAATACAAAGTCCAATTTACGCTGTCCAGATTTACCAAAAACCACCTGGAAGGATTTAGCTTGGGGATTGCTATAAATCCCATGAATATGAAAGGAAGAAGTGAAAACACCCCCAGCAAGATAGCAGCCCAACCCACTATTGTTAAACCCCTGTAGTTCATGTAAGTGAGAATCGCAGTCAAAACCAACACTGAAATTGTCCTTGGGAGACCACTTTCCAAAGCTGGAATTGCTGATTTCAGATAGTCCAGAAACAGAACAGGGTATAGAGCATTATCAATTACCCCACTAAGCCATTTCATCCAACCTTGCTGAAAGCCCCAATATGGACCCAAAGCTGATGAGACCCAAACAACATACCCTCCATTCTCAGGGAACATAGTGCCCATTTCTGCAGTTATCAAGGCCTCTGGAACACTCCATATGATTGCAAAAACCAGAAAACCAAGAAGGGCTAAAAGGGGACCGGCTGCCTGGACACTGTCTTCGATGCCAAATGGCCCTCCCGAGACCTCATAGAAGATCAAGAATACAAGAGGTATAACTGAAACCTTCTGGTACTTCTGCAAGTTGTGAGAGGACCCTTCCCCCAAACCAACATACTCAGGAATATTGTTGTCCAACATTTTAGCATTACTTTGCTTAGCAAGTGAGTTTCTATGTTTCTGCATTCAACAATAGAAAAGAACGGTTTTCAAGATTTGGAAAGTTCAAATTGGAAAAGGAACAGAAAATTACAGTATAAGGGTACCTATTAAAGAGAAAACCAATTCAATTCACTAATCACTATGATAAGAAGCTTACTTTGTTCCTAGTAATCAGCAAGCTATTAAATTGCGTAGCATAAATTTTCAATTCAAAACCAACAACTTTCCCAATCAAACCCTGACCAATCCGTGCACACCTAACCAGGAGTATTTCATTGAACTTCTCTTAACAAAACTCTACAGAAAGCATACTCCTTTACCATTTCAGAACCGTATTTATTGGGCAGAAGATCAAATGTTTGTTCAGTCTTTGTCATGCAACCAAAGTAAGATTCTTTACGCAAATCACAAAGGAATCATCTCAAAACAAGAAATGAATTTATAGCCACACAAAAATACAGGCAAATCGGCACAAGAAACACAAACACAAAATACCCACTAAAACTAGCAACACAAATTGATCAGATAAACCAAATAGCGATGTGGGTTCTCTCAAAACAGCCATAAAAACCAAATCTACCTTCCCAATTGAGCCAATTCCAAATCAACAAAGGGTTCAAGGAATCAATCAAAAGAAACCCAAAAAAGTACCTCTTTTTTGGCTCAACGATCCGTGACCGATTTCAAGAAAATTCAGTAAAGGAACCAAAAAGAAGCCAAAAGGGTTTGTTGTACATAAGAAAGGTAAAACAAATGTAAAAAGCAAACGAGTAATGAAGAAGAAGAAGCTAACCATGAAAAGGAAGAGATAAACTGACAGACTACTGTGGATTTGCGGTGCTACCGATGCGTCATAATGTTAGCGAAGTGACTCTCTTTGTGTCCACCACCACGCGTCTATCTCAGCGTCCACCCACGAGTCTGCTTCAGCCTCTGGGTGAGGAGAGTTTTGCATTGCCGACGCACTTGGAGAAAAATAAAAACAAAGATTTGATTTGAGTGTGCATGAGAGTTGTTTTAGCGATGCCAAAGGTTGTTTTAGATGTAAATTGTAATAGATAATCAAAAACAATTTTGTAGTGTTGGGTTGAAATTATGGATTGTTGGTTGGATTGGTCGAGATTTTTGGTGTGTCTACAAGTACTCGTGCGGGTTAGTTTCCTCCTCTATTTCTTAACTTCGGCAACAAAAATATTTTTAGATTGTAGTATTTCTAGTTTAGGAATGTTAGTTAATGTTTAGAATTAATGGTTTCCACATATGTAAAGAGTGCACAAAAGTTTGTAATTGTGTGAGAACATATAGAAAGTTATATATATTTGGATTTCAAGTAATCCATTTTGATCCTTTAAAAAGAATTTGTATCGATATCTTGATTATCAGAATACTCTTTAAAAAGATCACGTATGAATCGTTCACAATTTTTTTAAACAAAATTTGAATTGATGCAATTTTTCTGTGGGTAACAAATTGTAACACAGCCCATACTTCAAATGGTAATGGTCAAAAGAGAATGGCCCAATACAATGGGGATTGGTATGCTATTGCCCTAAATTCCAGACCTCAATCTTTGGACTTCAAATTCCAGAGACTTGAGATAATTTACATTTTTTTTTATTCCATTAAGATAGTAAATCAAACAATGGAATTAATTTAACCATAAGGTGTGGTGCAGTTGGCAAACTGCCACCTTCAGTTGGCGAGCTACCTAGTACTTCAATGACAGGGGTTCGAAACTCGTTGGCAGCACTTTGTGGCCAGGGGCTAGTCGAACCTCGAGCGGGAATTAATCTCACCCTTAAAATGTGAGGACACCTCGTGATATTTACCCAAAAAAAAACAATGGAATAAATTTCCATATTTTGATTCTCATTTTCAACCAACAAAACTGATTCTACCCGCATTCCCATTCTTATTCTTATTCTCCTATTATGTTCTATTTGCCAACCAAAAGCACCATCTTAGTAGCCATATTGTTTTGGTTATACTCTATCCACACCACGAAATAAAACATGCTCATTTAAAATCAACAGTTTTTCTATCAATTAATTCTTGATTTAGTGATACTTCTCTTTCCAAAGTTATAATACGATTAATCTTCCCTTGTTGATAATAAAAACACAAATCCTTTCTTATTTGTCCACTTCTCACTAGGGTCAGTCACACTTTGAGCTATCCAAGTAGGCTTATCATATCATCCAGCATGGGCTTCATCTCCAAATAAGCTAATAAAATTTAGTCTCCCATATTCAAATTAATATGGTGAACCATTTAGAAGTTTGGGCTAATGGTTGTTTGAGCGCATGCTCAAGGCCGACCCTATAGGTTACCATGCAACCAAAGACTTAGACAAGTTATTTTCTTTTGCAAATATTGTATTGAACTGAATAGCATTTTATGTGTCAAAGTTATCATAATATATTGTGCATACTTGATAAAAACTTTCAACACACGAATACACCTACGATAGGGTTTTCGTTTTGTAAGAATTTCTTGGGGCTTCTTAGTTAAGTTTTCTTTACAGATCTTTTTGGATATGTGTTTCTCGGATCTTCTCAAAATTGGATAAAGAGAACTTGGATATGGAGGTTTTGAGAGGGAGAGGTGGAGTGGGACTGCGAAGTGGATAGAGGTGGGAGGGTAGGGCACCACAGAGGGAGACTGTGAACTGGATGGAGGTGGCTGTGGCACAATCTTTTTAAAATCTTTTATTTTTATTCTGAAGGGTAAAATTGAGACCTAATGTCTAGCTGGAAAAACATTTAAATTTTCCTTTTAAAAAATATACATGTCAATATTTGAGTGGAAGTATCACTGGCTGACGTGGTGATACCGTACCATTATATAATTTCTCCTCAAACTGAGCCTTAATGTGCGGAGTGACGACGGTTAGTTCTTGTCCAATGTCCTAAATGCAATGCCTCCAATTCAATTGCTGGTCACTTTCATAAACTTTGCCCAACATTCAGAAAACTGATTACACTTGGAGGAGTCTGCACTTTGTGAGCCCAACCCCTACAGCATGACGGGTTGAATTTTTTGCTTCAGTGTATATCTTGTTCCGTCGTCTTTCTTCATTTGTCTCCCTTGACTTTTCTCTGCTCTCCTCCATCGTACCTTGTGGTTCAATCTCAGCCAGTCTTTTTCGACTGTGTTACATTTCTAGAACCATGAAGCATCCAACTTGTGTGCCATTTGGTAAATTCAACTCAACCAGATATGAATATAAGATGCCATCCAACCCATCCCATTGCACATACAACTTCAAAAGGCAATATGAATTTTCTCCTTTCATTCTGCTTTTGCCTCTGCGTTTCTCGTTTGCCCTCCTTCGCAACTCCAGCTGTGTTATTTCAGGTAATTAAGCCATTCTCTCTCTCTCTCTCTCTCTCTCTCTCTCTCTCATATCCCCGTGTTTTTATGCGTACATGATTATGCATGGATCTAAGTGTTGATTCAAGAACTTGATGATATCATATGAATATAGTAGGGGTTCAATTGGGATTCAAGTAAAAAAGGAGGATGGTACAACTCCCTCAAGACCACCATTCCCGAACTCGCTAGCTCTGGAATTACCCATGTCTGGCTTCCTCCTCCTTCTCACTCTCATGGAACTGAGGGTACTTGCTTCTACTAATCTATTTACTTAGTTAACGGAAAATGCTATTCCAACTTTTGTGCGAAATTAATGTGACACTATACGATCAGGATATGACCCGGGAAGGCTATACGATCTCGACGCATCAAGCTATGGAAATAAGGACGAATTGAAGTCCCTGATCGCTACTATGCATGATAAGGGAATCAAAGCCATCGCTGACATTGTGTTAAACCACAGATCAGCTGTCGAACAAGACGAGAATGGAATATGGAGCATCTTTGAAGGTGGAACACAAGACGGACGTCTTAACTTCAATGCCTCCTTGATCTGCAGAGATGACAATGACCATCCTTTTGGAACTGGAAATCCAGACACAGGGGAGAACTTTCCTTACACTGCTGATGTGGACCACACCAATCCAAGGCTACAAACCGAGCTCTCTGATTGGTTGAATTGGTTGAAAACTGATATAGGGTTTGATGGATGGAGGTTGGATTTTGTGATTGGATATGGCTCCAGCATCACCAAGCTCTACATGGAAAAGACTTCACCAGAATTTGCAGTTGCTGAGTATTGGCGTGGGAACATTTCAAAAGGGGAGGATGGCAAACTTGACAAGAACCAAGATGCACATAGGAATGAAATAGTGAATTGGATCGAGGCTGCTGGTGGCGCTGTCACGGCGTTCGATTTGACAACCAAGTACATCTTGAATGTTGCTGTGGAGGGTGAGCTATGGAGGCTCAAGGATTCTAATGGAAAACCACCAGGGTTGATTGGGATCAAACCAGAAAGTGCTGTAACATTTATTGACAATCATGACACTTGGTCTCAGGGACAATTGCCCTTCCCAGTGTCTAAACTTCTGCTTGGATATGCTTACATTCTCACCCATCCTGGGACCCCAAGCATAGTAAGTAATACATATCAATCATATGATCTTACTGAATAGGGAAATGTTCTCTCGTCAAATCTTCTAACAACATACGTAGGTTATATATGTTGTCAGATTATGAATTTAGATCAAAGGTTTCATAAATGCATGTAAATCTTGAATGTGGTTGATATTTCATTTCTAAACCATTTGTTTGGATGCAGTTCTATGATCACTTCTTTGACTGGGGGTGGCCAAAGGAGCCTATACGCAATTTGACGGCAATTAGGGCAAGGAATGGAATAAATTCCAGGAGCAGTGTGACTATTTTAGCTGCAGAGGCTGATCTATATATGGCCAATATTGATGACAAGATTATCATGAAGATTGGGCCAAGATTGGACCTTGGAGACCTTGATCCCACAAAGTCAAACTTCCATGTTGCCACCAGTGGAGGAGACTTCGCTGTGTGGGAGAGAAATTGAACTAGAAAGAAAGCCTATTCATTAAGGCTTGTTCACTATATTGTAAAACAATATATATGTGCTGAATAAGATTTGTAGTAGTGGGCCAATCTAAATCTAGATGCAATGTCTCAGAGATAAAATTTGCACTTTGGGCTTAGCCTAGTTTGCTTTGGTACCTTCAAATGAATTTCTGAAATAATAGGAAACTTGATGGGGAATTTTAGCTTTCCATTAAGAGCACTTCCACTTATTTGCTATGGCAAAGAGTAAGGACAAGGTAAAGGCTTACTATTCATGTGAATAGTGCCAGCCATTGCAAAAGGTGGTGTTTTCACCCATTGTCATGGCAACCACTATTCACATGAGATATTATGAGAGGAATTTGTATAGAATTTTGGTGTGGGAAGTGAAGAATATGACTAAGTATTTATTAAAAAAAATTCTGAAATTTTTAGTTTTTTTCAAAATTGGTTGCTGGCGTCAGCAAAACTCATGCTAGAGGTCAGGGTGTTTTGGCCTGCGGGCTAGCCTAATCTCGTGGGACCCACGGCTTGCCAAGGCTCCTTTGGCCCGCTGGAACCTGCTGCCTGGGCTCAGGCCCTGTCCTGCCAGGACTGGAGTTTATTGCTGGAAATGCTCTAAGAGAAACTAGAAATCAATTAAGCTTGTACTCTTCGATATATGAGTCGTATGACCATTTCATCATTTCATACTTAATGCAATAAGCTGCCAATTACAAGGTTTCTTCCTTCAATCAGATCTGTTTCTGAGGATATTTTTGTTATATATATTTGGAAACCATTTTGATCCTTTAAAAAGAATTTATATCGATGTCTTGAATATCAGAATACTCTTTACAAAGATCATGTATGAATCGTTCACAACTTTTTGTGACGAAATTTGAATTGATGCAATTTTTCTATAGGTAATAAATTGTAACATAGCCTATGCTTCAAATGTTAATGGTCTATATTGAATGGTCCAACACGTTGGGGATTGGTATGCTATTGCCCTAAATTCCATACCTCAATCTTTGGACTTCAGATTCCAGAAGCATGAGATAGTTACATTTGATTCCATTATGATAGTTAATCAAACAATGAAATTAATTTCCATATTGATTCTCATCTTCAACCAACAAAACTGATTTTATCCTCATTCCAATTCTTATTCTTATTCCCATTATGTTCTATTTGCCAACCAAAAGCACCATCTTAATAGCCATATTTGTTTTGGTTATACTCTATCCACACCACGAAATAAAGCATATTCATTTGAAATCAACCATACGTAATATTTCTATCAACTAATTCTTGATTTAGTGATACTTCTCTTTTCAAAATTAGAAGAGATTTAGACTTCGATTCATCTTCCCTTGTTGCTAATAAAAACACAAATCATTTCTTATTTGTCCTCCACTTCTGACTAGGGTGAGTCACTTTGAGCTATCAAAGTAGGCTTATCATATCATCCGCCATGGGCTTTATTTCCAAATAAGCTAATCAAATTTAGTGGACCAAATATTCAAATGAAAACGGTGAGCCATTTAGAATTTTAGGCTCATGGTTGTTTGAGCGCATAGCTAGTTAGCACATGCTATAGGTGACCATGCAACCAAAGACTTAGACAAGTTATTTTCTTTTGCAAATATTTGTATTGAACTGAATAACATTTTATGTGTCAAAGTTATCATAATATATTGTGCATACTTGATAAAAACTTTCAACACACGAATACATCTACGATAGGGTTTTCGTTTTGTATCTTATACGAACAAGTACAACTATATTCGCAAATTTAAATCCTACTATAAAAATGTAATCCCACCAATTCACCGCTAAAAACGTCTTTATATTGAATACGAATTCATACTACTATCAAATTCAAATTTAAATCTTAATATGAAAAAATAAACCCATGACATTGCCAATTTATAAATTATATTCTAACTATAAAATTTTATGTTAAGGCATAATTTTCGGGTGTATTAGAAAATAAAAATCGTGGCAACCAATAAATATCTAAAAATTAAGAAGAAGAATATCCACTTGTGTTCATACTAGTGATTAGTCATCTATATCATAATCAATAACCAAGCTTAATCAATAACCCCCCGCCAAAAAACAAAACAAACTGATTCAGTGCAATGCTAGTTAAACACGTGGTGCTCCCACATGGATTCAGCACTCTCATATGGCCCACGAAAACAATCTGTGGACCCCCCACGCGCTAATTAAGCGCGTGCACAATCCCCCCAGTGCCTAAAAACCACTCCTCTTCTCCCGCTTCGCAAACTCTCTCTGAGAAAAATCAGTCTTTCACTCTAATCACTTCTCCTAATCAAAATCAACGACGGAGATCCCCAATCCCATATGGAGATCTCCGCGATTAAAAATCCTCACCCTAACCCCAATTCCAATCACCATTCCCATTCTCCGAGCTTTCTTCTGCCCAACGGCTTCGGTGAAATCGAGATCTCCGATATCGAGATGATAACGATACAGACCGTCACCTACACCAGCCTCAGGGACCTGTTGCCGGCGTCGCCTCCGACGATCATGTCGCCGACCCAGAATTCCAGCTGGCACGAGATTCCGATCAAGAACCCGCTCGTAAAGCACGCGGCTTTGGCTTACCTGCAGCCGATGTCCACGCCGCCCGAGGTAGGGGACAAGGGGCTGTTGCGCATGCTCAGGGAGAAGTGCCTCTGTGGAGGCGAGAACGGGCTCGGGTGCTTCGCGTGGCTCGGCGACGTCGTTTTGAGTGGAGTTAGGGATGTGTTTGGGGGCGTTTGTAGGAATGGGTGCGAGAATGGGGATGAGGAGGATGAGGATGATGAAGAGGACGACGACGAGTACGTGAAGGTTGACTGAACAGAGGGGCAGGGGCATTTTAGGAAAGTTGAGTGTTGACTTTGACTGGTAGATAGTACAGAGAGTGAGTGAGTGAGACTTTTGTGTATAGAATTTTTTTTACATTTTTTTATTTTTTTATTTGGGTGGTGGGTGAGTTGTGAATAGGTATACATTGTGTTCGATTTATTAATCGCCGAACACATGATTGATTCGTGGAAGAGAATTTGAATTTTATTTATTTTTGTTAATAAAAAATTATTTGAGAGAAATATTCTTGTGGAATTGTATAGTTTGAAGGTCTTTTTCGGAATGAGTTTTGTGCTTTTCTTTTTTTATTTTTAATTATCAAAGTTTAGTGTTTAACCCTCAAGATTTGGGCGATGAATAGTCTAATCGATTTAAAGGATGAGTTCAACTCTTATTGGTCTGAATTCTCAACTCGATGTCAAACTTGAATTATCAATCTAAATTCATAATTCATATCTAAATGACACCCTTGTTCTTCCTTAAACTACATGTAGTTTGTTAATAATTTATAACAATATATTTAACTTAGGGGTGTACGTCGGTTCGAAACCAATATATTTTACCCTTGTTTTTAACCTCATTCTCATTTGCCGAGCTTTTGTGGATTGTCAAAGAAAGAAGAGCCAATTTGGATGTTATGAGTTTTCTTGTTCTTCTTCACCACCCTTGTCCCCTTAAGTTGTAATTTGCTTAGATATTAATAAATCTTGTTTCTCATCAGAAAAAATTAAATAAAAAACAGGTTTCATGTGTATAATGAATACACAAATAGAATATCGTTAATCATAAAAGATAAGGTAGATGTAAGATGGGCCTAGTGAAATGAAAATTGGGCTTTACCTTAGATTGGCTAAGCCCTAATTCAAACTTCACTAGGCTTGTCTTTCACCTAGTTGGTGTGGGAAGACCCACACTTATAATCACTAAAGAACTTATATAGTTTTCCAATGTGGGACTCAATATTCTCTATATAGAATATTCATATATTTTAAAGACATCACATCACGTGTTGTGCAAAGCTCACTTTTACTCAAATTTTTTTCAAATTTAATTTAAGTACAAGTGAAGTTTTCTCAAGACGACATAATATTCAATTTATCAGGTGAATTTTTAGTCCATTACTACGTATACATGCATGCGCAACATTCTACTAAGATTTGGGGTCAAGCAACCTTGAAAATGTTGTGGTAGCACATTTTGAAGACCAAAAATATGCATTGACGTACTGTTAATGCATGAAATAAGGTAAACTTTTGGTCCAATAATAATTATGCAATGCATGTGCATCCTACTAAGATTTGGGGGCCAACAAACCTTCAAAATGTCGTGGTAGAAATTTTCAACATCAATTATGCTCAGAGACTGGTGGGTATATATTTTCACATGTTTCGAATAAATTATTCCAAATGCCAACTCCTTCATGGGACCATGACTACGACGTTTTGGGAGCACAGTCATTAGTATTATGATTAGGATTTTATCATTGATAGGAGACTAGCCCCTTGGCACATGTGTGAGGATGTGCCAATTGGTTTTTTTTTCTTTTTTGTTTTTTTTTAAAATTAAGAAAAGATAACATGGGTAGTTATATTCTATAAAAATATGTATTTATCATATTATCCTCATTTAATTAATAATTTCAATTCTTAATATTTGCATTAATAAGGGCATTTTATAGTATTTTGAATGTTTCACCACTCTATGTTTTTTGCTATATATATATATATAGATTACTTAAGTGCTAATCTTCTCATGAGGGAAGCACATACGTCATCAAAGGAGATGTTACATCAAAATAGAAGGAAAAAAACGTTTATGTTGTCCGACAATTTCACTATTATAAATTCAATTTGAAGTGGACATCTTGTTCGGTACATATATTTTATTATATATCAATTTAATAATCCGATTTTTGAAAATACCTTGCACCTTTTTAATTTTTCTTTTTGGTTACGTAGGCCGAAGCCCAAAAGAAAACAGCTAGCAGAAACAAAATTTGGGCCTAGAAAACCTTCCTAGCACCAGTGGGTGCCCTTTTTAATTTGGGTCTTCAGTTTTGATATTAGCTCTATATGGTTTTACTTGTCTACTTAACATAGAATCCGCTGTAGCACAACTTAAAAGGATTGTTGATTAATCCGGGTTCGACTCCCGGCGGCGGAATGAAATTCTTTTAACCCAACAATTACTGATGTTTACAATATAATTGTATTTTATATATACATATCTTTTATATAAATGTTTACTTGTATAATCAACATCTAATCCGCTGTAGCACAACTTAAAAAGGATTGTTAATCCGGGTTCGGCTCCGGCGGCGTTTTTTTTTTTTTTTTTTTTTTTTTTTTCCTGATGTTTCATCCAGTTTTGACAACATAGAGTATATACACCAACTTTCTATAAAACTAGTCAAAAGTTACCAATAATCACCACAAGAGCAACTCCCGTCTATGAAGTGGTGAAAGACCTTAGAATCCCTTACAACTATCCCTCTTTTGGTTTCACCACTCTCTGTCTTTTGTTTTATATATATATATATATATATATAGATTACTTAAGTGCTAATCTTCTCATGAGGGAAGCACATACGTCATCAAAGGAGATGTTACATCAAAATAGAAGGAAAAAACGTTTATGTTGTCCGACAATTTCACTATTATAAATTCAATTTGAAGTGGACATCTTATTCGGTACAGATATTTTATATTATTTTTTGGTTACAAAGAAAGAAAATAGAAAAATAGAGTATAAAAAAAAGTACTGACTTCATAGATTTATTTTGTATAGCTAATTTTATTTATTTTTATTGGATAATGGTAGATATACCACATTTATATACTATATTGTGTATCGCCTTTCTAATAGAGGTGGAGCCCACCAATACAATTGGCCTCACCTCTATTAGAAAGTTGGTACATAATGTATATATAAATGTGGTATATCTAGTATTTTCCCTCTTTATATTTTTCTTTATGTTGAGAGAAATTTTCTTATATATCAATTTAATAATCCGATTTTTGAAAATACCTTGCACCTTTTTAATTTTTCTTTTTGGTTACGTAGGCCGAAGCCCAAAAGAAAAACAAAATTTGGGCCTAGAAAACCCTCGTAACACCAGTGGGTGCCCTTTCTATGCACAGGTCTTCAGTTTTGATATTAGTTATATACGGTTTTACTTGTCTACTTAACATAGAATCCGCTGTAGCACAACTTAAAAGGATTGATTAATCCGGGTTCGACTCCCGGCGGCGGAATGAAATTTTTTTTCCCCAACAATTACTGATGTTTACAATATAATTGTATTATATATATATACATATCTTTTATATAAATGTTTACTTGTATAATCAACATCTAATCCGCTGTAGCACAACTTAAAAAGGATTGTTAATCCGGGTTCGACTCCCGGCGGACGTTTTTTTTTTTTTTTTTTTTTTTTTTCATTCAGTTTTGACAATATAGAGTATATACACCAACTTTCTATAAAACTAGTCAAAAGTTACCAATAATCACCACAAGAGCAACTCCCGTCTATGAAGTGGTGAAAGACCTTAGAATCCCCTACAACTATCTCTCTCTTGGTCATCTCTGAAATCTTCTTTGCAGCACTATGGCAATCATCACAGATCCTCGTGTTTTTCCTAACAACAACAGGGCTTCTGAGTTTTGTGGAGATCAACCCGAAACAAATTGCCAATCTTACACTGTGACTCTCTGCAGAACTTGTTCTCTTTCTCTTCAAATCCAACGGCCTGAACTTGGTGATGCTATGAACATATTTGTCCTCCCCTATCTTCCTCAAAATTATATCTAAAACAGCATATATCGTGTTAGTTTCGACGTGGGACCTGTCTTGGTTGATGAATCTGTAAAGCCTACAATTGGTCTCAACAAAGCTGCATCCAACAGTTTTCTCCAGTCCTCTTTGCCTCATAAGAGATTTTATCCATTCGACATCTTCCCACCTCCCAGCTTCTGCATACATATTCGAAAGCAAGACATAACATCCGGTGTTATCGTGTTCCAAGGTTAAAATGCGCTCAGCAGCAAGTTCAGCCAATTCTATGTTTCTGTTGTTTCTACTTGCAGTAAGTAATGATCCCCAAATTCTTGCTGTGGGCACCAATGGCATCTCCTCAATAAAAATCTTGGCCCGGTCAAGATTGCCTTTTCGACCAAGAAGATCAATCATACAACCATAATGCTCTATTCCAGGATCAATACCATAGTCCAGTTTCATCGAGTTAAAGTGTTTCCAACCCTCGTTGACCATGCCCGAGACGCTGCAAGCTGTTAACAGGGAAACAAAGGTGCTCTCATTAGGTTGAATGCCCTTGTCTCTCATTTTGGAGAACAAGTCAATGGATTGTGTCCCAAACCCGTGAATGGCATAAGCCATAATGATAGTGTTCCATGAACTGACATCCCTGGATATCATCCTATCAAAAATTTCTTGTGCAGTCTCTAGATTCCCACATTTTGCATACATGTAAGCAGTAGCGTTCAAGATGAAGGTATTTGAATTGTGCTCCAACTTTGAGATATATCCATGTATTTGCTTCCGCTCCCCTAGTGATGCTACTTCAGAATAGGCAGGTATGATGCTTGAAATTGTAATTGCTTCCGGTTCAAGATGTTTACTCAAGAGGTCCCAAAATAGTTCCAAGGCATCCTTGTTCTGTCCACTCTGTACATATGCAGAAATCATGCTATTCCATGATATCAAATTCTTTTCAGCCAGCTGACCAAATATACGCTCTGCTGATTTCATCCTGCCACAGGCACCATACAGATCAATCAGAGCAGTTTCCAAGATGATATGAGGGAGAAACTCTCGTCTAACGGCATAACCATGGACAGATTTACCCTCCAATAGGGCTCCTACTTGGGTGCATGAAGGGAGCAAATTTATCATTGTGATAGCATCAGGATTCAATTTATCAGCCTGTTGCATCTTTTTCAAACAAGAAAGTGACTCAAATGGACGAGCATTTAGAGTATATCCATGTATCATTGCATTCCAAACCACAACATTCTTGGTAGAAATCTCATCAAACAACCTCTCTGAATAGTCCACTCTACCACATTTGTGGTACATGTCAATAAGCGAGGTCTGAACCATGATATCCAATTCAGGCATACATTTAAGCACCTGGCAATGTATTTCTTTCCCAGTTCGGAGAAAACACTCAATAGCACAAGCATTAAGAGCGCCAATTGTACTGAATCTATCAGGCTTCATCCCAAGCACCTGCATTTCTTGCAAACACACCAACGAGCTCCAACCATCCCCAACAGAAACATACCCACCAATCATAGAATTCCAAGAAACTAAGTCTTTAACAGGCATTTCTTCAAACACTCTCTCTGCATACTCTATGCAACCAAGTTTTGCATACACAGTACAAAGCGCGTTCCCTACGTAAACATCCGAATCCAACCCAACTTTAAACAACATGCCATGAACCTTTTGGCCTTCAGCCAACGATGACAATCCACCACACGCCTTGATTACAAATGGGTAGGTAAAATTATCGGCTCGAACACCTTCGCTCTGCATCCTATGATAAAAATCAATCGCCTCTCGAAACAATCCATTATCAGTGAGACCTCTAATCATCACATTCCAGTAATATGTATCCAAATGGTTCATTTTCTCAAACACCCAGAGTGCATCCTCCATGCACCCAGATTCAACATGCTCACGAAGTGCCTGTTTGAGCGCATAGTTTTGGACTTCGCAGGTGTTTGAACTCTTTGACTGCTTTCTGACACTACGAACCCCTTTAGGAAATTTTGGCTGGTCGGAGTTTTGGTTGGCTTTGGGCTCAGCGGCTCGTTTTCGCGAAAGGCTTGGCGGTGCGGTGGACTTGTAGAGGTAAGAGCTATGAGCGAGAGTTGCAGGCATTTTAAAATGGCTTCAGGATTTAGGCGCTGGAAAAATAGCCGTTACAACTTCATTTCTCAGCGACTCTCTCTCTCGTTATCCTTCTCTTCTTTCTTCTCCGCGGGTGTTGAAGAGTAGCCGTTATTTCTGATTAGGTTTTAAACTGGGTATTATCAACTCTTATTTTATTAATTTTAATTTAGATGGATATATGCACGAGTAACGGTCTGGACCGGCCCAAATTTTTTTGGGCCCAGCTATTTTAAGCCCAAATGAAGTTTATATAAAAGCCGGTCATTTCCTTCTTTGTTTACAACACTTATCACGTGATTACAGAGGCGGAACCATACTTTGGCCTCCCATTTTTTCCGTCATGTGGAGATAAAAAAATTGATATAATTAAGCTTATGGCCCCTCCACTCCACCACTAATAAATGGTTGCCAATTTCTCATTCCAAAATGAACATATAGTAGTAAATTTGTATTATATTACTACAGAAAATCTCATCAATTGCCCAAAATGATTGTATAATTACATTTTGTGTTTCATGTTTTGGTTCTCTCAAGTACTGAATCATGGCGCGCCTAGGACGGATTCTACACAAAAGGATATTAACCGGTTAGAAGGAAGTTTCTCTCTGAAAAAAATGAAGAATGAAGGTAAAATTTAGGCAGATCAACTTATGCAACTAGACATAGAGGTTTTGTTTGTAAAGATTCTCTAAACAAGTGTTCTAATTCCACATATACGAATAGAAATCCTCTCTTGACAATTCTCATTTGGATGTTTTCATGAAAGGTAAGCTGGAGCTAGCATTAGCAAGCTATCATAGAACCAACAAGGAAAGTTTCATTATGTTGAAGGAGAAAACCAATATGAATTGGAAAAAATTTACAGTGATCAAAGTGAGATGTTAAACGCATTTAGTCGAACATAATCACTCGAAAAACATAGTTTCTAATCAAAGCTTAATTAAATTTCTTCAGGAATGCTTTGCAGTGCAGGGCACCATGAACCCTGGCGGCTGTGCTTGGCAGCCAAACTGGCTCTTAGAAGATGCTTCTTTCTCAGAAGACTTAGCCTCTGCTCCACACACAAAGATGATGGCCTAACGGCTGAGGCTTGATTGTTGATCCCTCCTCCATTCATGAGCTCAAGAACTTGCTTCAAATCTTGCCTTCTTACCAAAATCTTCATTCTCACAACCCCATCTTCCTGAGTCTGATGTGAAAGTACATTAGTGCCCTCCTGATGATCACCATTTACTTTTGCAATGGCCTCCATTAACGCATTGCTTGTGATCAGATTGCTCTTTTGATTCATCCGAGCTCTGCCATGCCGAAATAGCACTCTCTTGATCAAACCCATTTTCTCAATTCTGTTAATCAATGCTCTGCTTACCAATGAACATTCCATTGTCATGGAGCTTTATATAGGAATTGGCTATGAGGGTTTTTGCCATCTGGGTTGCAACTGAAAGTTTGGATTAATATTAAATAAAACGGTAGCTGCCATTTGACTTTGTTAGGAAGGTAGCTCAAACGAGTTTTAGCTGTGACAATATTCGAAGTCAACAGGGTCAAGACAACCACTAAGCTCCAAATACTCACCGTAACAAGGAATAAACCAATCGTGTATATCAAGTTTACATTATCCCGGTTACGTGGAGACCTAATCAGATTGATCGGGAGAGATAGAGAGAGGCAAATGTACAGGTGTTGCCTCATTTTATACCGTACAACAAACCAATAAAGAAGTGGAGAATGAGAATCGGACTTATCCAACACTTAGTTTAAGAAAAACGTAACTTAATATGTAATGGATCAACAATGTATATCAAACTTCATACGCCAGAATTCTTATGACATCTGAATTAATGAAACAAGGTTCTTTAAGTTGATCATAGCATAGTCTTGATAGACTAGTCGGTACTTATTCAATCATTATTTTAGTAACATTCCATTATTTAATTGTACATATAAAATGCCACACACCGACGGCTCACATGCAAAGCCTATAATAGTAGAGCTGGAGGCTGTTGCCAATGAAAGCGACGCGTACACACGTTTAACAAGGTCTCTGTCTTGTTGTTTATCTTAGATTGATGATGAGAGAGAGAGAGAGAGAGAGAGAGAGAGAGAGAGAGAGAGAGAGAGAGAGAGAACATTCGTTGAGATTAATTAAACTCACAGATGGAGTTTGGTTCAAATTAAAATGGTGTGAAAACAAGTGGCATTCGAGAATGAAGAATCTATGTATTTGGTGGTGAGCAGAAATTTTCAACCCTAATTTGATATATTGGGTTGCTTCAAAGTTTCAAATGCAAAAAGATGCAAAAAGGTACCGTCAAAGGGTATGAGCTGTGTGTATCAGTTGGTACGTATAGCGTGTCTTTCTAATCATGAGTCTTATCTCAACCTACAACTAATTATATATTTTCAAGCTTATAGAACATAAACTCCATAGTAGGAGCTCTAGTCATGGGGTTGAAGGACAGATTTAATCATGAGACTTGATAGGTTACCTATTGCTTTTAAGTCTCATACACAGTTGTTCAAATTCATACTCTTTGCCAATCACTTCGACAATGACGCTTGATGATTAAGAACCCTATTTTGAAATATGGACAATGAATCATTTGGGATGCTTTTGTTCGACTCAATAATTTTTGTCTATGAGATTTGAATTGTTGGAACCTCTTTTACTCCAACAGTCCTTTGAAGTTTTGAATGTCATGTGGGAATAGAAGAAACATTATCTGTTGAAAAATGCTTTTAAAACCCAATTCTTTTTTTCAGAGGAAGTGAGATACATGACATTGTTGAACTTATATATGAAAGCCTATATATATATATATATATATATATATATATATATATATACAGAGAGTTTCCATTGAGGGATCCCTCAAATAATTTTATTTGAGGGACACCCCTTGTAGGGCCCACTCCGGATTGTATCTCACTAATCCAAACCGTCTATTTGTAGATACACATTCAAAGATCATCTCTACAAAAAATCACTTGAATCCGATATCATTTGACCATTCAATTGAGTTATTGAAATTTTAGTACTTTCTTGAAGCACCGTGTTCATTGATTTTGTATGACACAATTGGATGTTGAAACGGTTTCTGATTTGTCTAATTTTTTGTAAGGATGATCTATGAATGAAGACCTAAAAAATAGATGATTTGGATCATTGGAAAAAAAAACTGTAGAGTACCATAAAGGGTGTCCCTCCAATAAAATTATTTGAGAGATCCTTCAATAGAAGGAGACTGTATATATATATATATATATATATATATATATATAAAAGATGGGTTCATGTGTAATTCTTTAGGTGCCTAAAATGAGAAGACATGAAATTGATTTTGGAAGTAGGAAGACGTGGCTGGCCACCACATGCATGCCCAAAAAGTAGAACAACGTTGACCCTTCAATAGAGTGCTTGAAAATGGTCAAATTGGTCATTTCAATAGAATTGAACCAAAAAATAAACCGAAGTTGGAGATGCAGGGTATCGAACCCTGTACCTCTCGCATGCAAAGCGAGCGCTCTACCATTTGAGCTACATCCCCGCAGTTGGCAAAATTATTCCCGTCTTTTTATTTAGTCAACTATAATCTGAAAAATTACATACCTCAGTGAAATCTCAGATCCCAAAGGGAAAAAATAAAAAGAAGAAGAAGAAAGAAGAAAGAAGCGGAATCTTTAATTGCACAAAATCTTGGTTGATGACGTCGCAGCAAAACTTTCATGGTAATTTCCTTGGCCAAGCCAAACGAAGCTTACGAATGCATGCAAATTTCAAGAGCCTAATTGTTATATGAATTTCCTATATTGACCGACCATGATGGAACCTGGTCGTACAAACAAACAATTGATGTAACTGACAACTAATTCATGAAGGAGCATGATTAATAACTAATTATTAGTCTAGTCGCACATTTCTTAATGTTGAAATATTTCAATGATCAAATTTCCGCATATTTCTTCTTAATGTTGAAAGATATTCAAGTTCAAATCTTTTTATTTTTATTGATGATAAGAGAACTATTCAATTCACAACAAACTATAAACTTGAGCAGATGGTGTTGATTTGAGAAATTTTTCAGTGCGATCATGTCAAAAAATATAAACTTGTGCGTAAATTAATAACACGAGGTGATCAGGTAACTTGCTGAATGCAGTTCAACTAGAATACATATGCAGAGAATTGGGACATTAATAACAAGAATATGCAAGCGGAAAGAGAAGCTTTGACAGCTAACTAAATATACATGTTTTGTGTTCAAACTTTGATGATCATAGCTTATAATATGAAAATTAAAAGGAGACAACAAGTTTCTAGAACCAAATAAGCAAACACAAGCCCCCAATGCTATTATTAACCTCATTAGTCACGGAACCTGATGGGAATTTTAATCCTCATCTTGGGGCGGTCCTTGGAGTATGTTGGGCTCATTAGGTGGAGTTTAATTCTTTTGCTGACTTTCGGGATGCATTGTCTTTTCTTTTGTTGAGAAATTCTATGATTGTATTCATAATTCAGCTAAAAAAATCACTAGTCTCAAATGGTCAATACAAACTAACCACAAAAGGCTATTATAATATCGTAGGCACCCAAAAATCTTCGGAGGCTAATGAGCTATTTATACAAGATCAATTTTGTTCGTTAAAAAGTTTGATAAGTCAATTTATCTTTAAATTAACGTGTATTTTTTTCCTCCTACTGGCCTACCTTTAGAAAAACTTACAAGCAACGTATGATAACTCTTTTTTCTTTGTCATGTCATGGGTCATTTTGTCATTGCAGCATTGGTCGGTTAAAAACACCCCACTTCCACTTCTCCCACTCAGTCAGAAATACCAACCTCCCATCTCCCTCTATCTCCATCTCTCTCTCTCTCTTTCTCTCTCTCTCTGAGTAAAAAGCCAAAGCAGAAAGGCAAACGTAAGAACAGAACAAGCAACGTCTTCTCTTTTCAAACTCCATCAAATTCAAACCTAAGAGACTAGAGAGCCACACTGCTTTTTCATTGAAGCTTACGTTTTATTGTATTTATAGAAACAAAAAAACTATAAACCTATCTTATAAACTTTTTGAGATCACTAAGTTAGAGAGAGAGGGAGAAACTTCGAGAGAGAAGAGAGAGAAGAGAGAGAGGAGAGATAGGCATGGAGGAGGGTATTGGAGGGTTGAGGCATCTGTATATGACAGTGTTTTTGTCTGGGTTTGCAAGCTTGATGGTAATTCCAGCCATAACTGATATCACCATGTTGGCACTTTGCCCTGGTCAAGATGATGCTCTCTTGCCATTTACCTCTCTGGTTTTCAACAAGCGGTATGTTTTTTTTTCCCTATTTTATTTCGCTTTCCCCTTGCCTTTTCATTTTTTATATATTAATATTAATTATTTCATACCCTTGGTTAATTTGTTCTTCCCTCTCCCCCACTTAATTCACTCTTTAATCATTTAAACACATTGCAAATATTATTTTTTCATTTCTTATGTGAGAAACTAGCATAATAAAATGAAGAGTCCTCCAAAATTCTGATCTAGTTTTACAATATAAATGTATATTATTCTATTTGAACAATTTCTCTTCCTCCAAAATGATATCTATTATGAACTTCTTCATATTGCTTTTCTGGGTATGTTGCAAATTCATTATTTTTATTTATTTATTTTGTTGGAAACCTTTTTTATTTAGAAATGGTTAAGTAAAATATATATAAAAAGAAAAAAAGAAAAAAAGAAAAAGGTTGCTGACAGAGACCATGCATTTAAAAAAGAAAAAGAAAAAAGAGTTAAGTGGATTCTAGGCGTTTTCAACTTTATACTTTTGGTAAAAAGAAAATAACTTACCCTTACTTTTACCAGTAATTTTTTTTTACCATTTTAATCAGGTTGTTTTATGCATAGTTAGATATTTATCTTTGTTAGATACGTGCATCAAACATATATACTCAAAACGTGTGTACGTGAGTTGAAGCTTGCAAACCCTGAAAATGTCTATTTGCATATCTTCCCAACTAAACTTCATACCTACCAAATTGCCCATTCGTGGCCATACGTTATTGTTACACTTGCCCATTTAATTTGAGTTGATTTATTAAAATTTAATTACACACATTTAGATATAGATAGCAAATTTGAAGCACCCATCCAAGGTCATCCTTTTTCCTAGCAACCAAACAAATCTTTGGCCCCAACCCATGTTGCCATATGCAAAGTCACAATCCTAGCTGATACCATGTTTCTAATAAGTTTATTTGTTGGTCGAGAAGGGTGGGTGGGTGGTTGGGATTCTGTCATGAAATAAAGGTTACAAATAATCTCAATGATTCAAAAGTTCAAATTCACAATCTCGAAACAGAAGTATGATGTGTCGAGTATTTTTTCGTATTGCCTAATATACTTTAAATGAAAGATTGAGATTTTAAAGTACATTTGTAGATGAATTTTCACTTCTGTTAAAGATGCAAGTACATCGTCAAGTGATTAGATAGACAGTCAAATGAAGTACTATGTGGGGAAGGATATATAATATTAATCTTTCTAATTAATTTGATGCCTGCATATATATATATAATATGTGTGTGGTTCAGATCATAGGATTGGGGACGGTGGTGATGACCCCGCTAATTGGGAACCTGTCGGACGTGTATGGGAGGAAGTCTCTGCTCACGGTCCCATTGACTCTTTCCATTATTCCACTAGGTACTTGCATAAATATCTTCTTGCCTACGCTTAATTTGCTTGTCTGTTTCTTTAGTGCTTTATTGCATGCGCCTGCGTCGGTATCCATTTTAGCTTTGGACCTTAAAGCGTGGTACCCATATTTCAGCTAAGCATATTCCATCTCTTTACTATTCTCATTACCCCACAGGAAAAAAACAAAGAGCATGCTTGGTTCGCTTGTCGACATGTAAATAATGGGCGATTCTTAACTGTTGATGCACAAGAAATCTAATATTGTATGCTCTAACTTTACAATTCAGATTATATCAATAGTCAGGAGTTGCCCTCTCACTCATAAACGTCCAGAACAACTTTCAATTTAAGTATTCATGGGATTCGGACCCACCCACTAATTCCAATGCCCATTGTATATGCAATAATATATTTGATCAAATGGCTGATTAACACCTAACTTTCACTTTAAAAAAAAATTAAATTGTGCTGTCCTTGTTCAATAGTAAGATAATAAAGAGTGCACATCTTTGGTGGGGGCATCGATTGCTATTACTTTGTCCTTTTAGTAATAATTGCTAATGTTGATGAATAAGGTGGCACTTACGTGTGCATCTTCTTTTTTGGTCAGTGATATTGGCGTATAGCAGGGAGACAAACTTCTTTTATGCTTACTTTGCGCTGAGGACGGTGACTGCCATGGTATGCGAAGGCAGCATCAACTGCCTTACTCTTGCTTATGTGGTAAGTTAATTATAAGTGCATATATATATATATATATCATGTTATTACCGTTGATCGACAGGAAATGTTATTCACAAAATTACTTTTGTGAGCGACTAACGATAGCACACTCCAATTAAGACAAATCAATAAGAAATGTTATTTGCTTTGTAATAATAAGAATAAACTTCTTCAAAGAGTTTCACATGAATTACCTTGATCATTGCATATCATTGAGAAATTACTAATACTGTATTGGGGAGGGGAATTTGAGCTCTTAATTGGAACTAGGCAACTTTCTTAATTTCAGGCAGACACTGTTTCTGAGAGAGAGAGAGTATCTGCATTTGGGATTCTAGCTGGTTTTCTTTCAGCATCATTTGTATGTGGAACCTTAGCAGCTCGTTTCCTCTCAACTGCTTCAACATTTCAGGTAAATTTTTCTTAAGCTCTAACAAATAGCAAAAACAAGGCTAGCCCTTCTTCAAGTCTCCTTATTTAACCGACAATTTGGCTATCAGATGTGGTTCTAAAAAGTCCTTGCTTGGTTTAGGTTGCTGCCTTCGCATCAATGCTGGCAACTATCTACATGAGAGTTTTTCTCAAGGAGAGCTTGCCGGCCAGGGACGGCACTTTGAGGCAGCCTATCTTGAAGGGAGGATCAGATGCCATTGAAGAAGATGGCTACTCACCGGAGACTATAGAAGTGTTTAAGAAGGTTCCTTCTGCGGGGGATTTGATTTGCTTGCTGAGGAGCAGGTAAGAGTTTGTATGGATAACCCGCTATGGCGAAAATCCTCCCAATATCTTCCAAAGCTAAAACTTGTAGAACCCTGTGTTGCATTTGCAGTAAGACCTTGTCACAAGCAGCAATTGTTTCCTTCTTCCAGAGTCTGGCAGAGGGTGGCCTGCAAGCTTCACTAATGGTGCATTAGTTTTTCACACTCTGCCAACTTTCATGTTCGTTTTGTTTTCTTAATTGATAACAGAAAGGAAAAGATGGTTAGGGTTTAACAAATGCTATTGAAATAATTCTCATATCATCGACTCGGGAATTTCCATTGCCATGCAGTATTTCCTGAAGGCTCGTTTTCACTTCAACAAAAACCAGTTTGCTGATCTGATGTTAATTGTGGGGATATCAGGAACCGTTTCACAGGCTAGCTATACCTAAACCTTATGCTGCTACATAATTTTCTTCTGTGTATTATATATTTCTTAGCTTTTTAATTTTTACTTTTTCTAAAAGCACTCTGCTATTTGTGAATTTTGCAGCTGCTTTTCATGCCTATGTTGGCACCTGTTATAGGAGAGGAAAAGTTGCTTTCAATCGGGCTCTTAGTGGGCAGTTTCAATGTATGTGCCTTGCTCCCAACTCTTCCATATTTTCCATGGTTGCCCTCCAATTACTTTTGTCACTGTCAATTCATGATGGTGAGATCGTCACACATTCATTCAAATACGTTTCTGACCATTAGATCTGGTCTTGTGCAGATGTTTCTCAACAGCATATCGTGGGCAGTTTGGGTAATCTCCTTTTGAACAACTTGCAAACTCCCTTCACTACTACATGTTTCTTCACATATTAAGTGTCTTTTGTTCTATAAAGTCCTTGAGAGACAATTTCAAACTCTGCAGGTTCCTTATGCCGCTACTCTGTTTTCTGCTTTTGGGTTTTTAGTGCAGCCAAGCGTAGGTTTTTTGCCTTAAATCTTGGTAAAACCTATTATGTTCTGTTTGTTGAACTATGACTGACGAAGAAAATATTTTGACTGTCAACAGATACGCAGCATTGCATCAAAACAAGTTGGGCCCGATGAGCAGGTACAGTTCTACTAGGGAGAATGTTGACATACATAGATACGTACGTGCGTATGTACATGTATGTTTTAATCAACCTCTTCTCTTGTTGATATAAGCGATATTGGGGAAGAGGGGGTTTTCTCCCGCACACTATCAAGGTGGCAATGAAATTCTAACTTAAGACCACTGGTCTAGAAGTCAAGGCCCTTTTCACTAGGCTAGACCCCATTGGCTACATACATACATACGTACGTACGTGCATATGTACATATATATTTCAATCAACTTATTTACAAAGTAAACCTCTTACCAGGGAAAGGCTCAAGGATGTATTTCAGGCATAAGTTCCTTTGCCAACATTGTTTCTCCTTTAATTTTTAGTTCTCTAACAGGTTTGTGGATGTCTTATTATTTGTTTTTCCTTTTGGATATAATCATAAATCTAATTCCATTTGACCAGTTTTCCTGTTGTTTATCCAGCTTTGTTCCTGTCTGAAGAAGCGCCATTTTATTTCCCTGGCTTTAGTATAATGTGCATTGGCCTTGCAATGGTGAGAATTTGGTATTTTATGAACACACAGAAGAGATTCACTTTTTTATGATGCATCAGTTGTTCTTGGTTCATGGATTTGACATATGACACTTTTTTGTCTTTTTCTTTTTTGTTTTTTGTTTTTTTTTTTTTTTTTTTTTTTTTTTGTTTGCAGATAATCGCCTTTGTTCAGAGTACAATGATAAGGGCTTCTCCTGTTCCAAGTCACAAAATCAGCAGTATCATATCTGTGGAATCTACGTAGTGAGAATCTGAATTGTATATAATTCTAACATAAAGCAATAGATCTCTCCAGAACAAAATTTGATCTTATGGAGCCCTTCAATTTATAGAAAGAAACAAACCCAAGAGCAAGAGCTAAACAGAGTTGCTATGCAGACATTCCCAAAGCTAATTGGGGCATTTAGCAGTTCAAATCAGCTAGGTCCTATGATTGGATATAAACCTCAACTATACACTGTAAATGAGACTTATGCAACCATTTTGGTTATGTGAGTTAAACTCAGTTAAACCCTCTATATATATATATATATATATATATATATATAAATTTTCTATTTCTAATTTCAATGCTACATGATGACTCTGGATTTGAAGAATTGAAAGTTCCATTTGTTTCTTTCAATCTCCATTTTCTGCATGTCCAATAGCATGCGGGCAAAAGTTTGATTAGATAATCATTTCCAAAATATGGCATTTCCTGTAGTTTGCTGTGCAAATTTAGGAAATGATCTGGGAGATGATAATAACTATGTAAACATATATCAGCCCTTTCTGTTTGTTTGTTATAACCGATCTACGGGGTTGGTTCTGAGATGAAAAGCCTAATTCTAATAGTTTATTTGGGGGAAAAACTATTGTTAACTTATCCCCCTCAACAAAGTTGAACTAATCTGATTTCTGAAAGCAAGTATATGGATTAAGAAACATAAGCAAAGAGAAAAATTAGCAGTGAGACTCTTTCGACGGTAGATAATGGACTCTCTAAAAGGAAACTCGATCGACTGTAGTTGGGACTCTGTTGGTAAGTTTTAAGTCAGGATACTGATTATTCAGTGGCGATTATGTGGAGACTGGAGAACAGTGATTCAACTCACAAATGCAGGAAAATGAAGTGGGTTTGTGTCTTGAGATCGCATGAGGGTTCGACTAGTGCAATCATTGAGTGCCATCATATTGCAAAGGTGATGATGATAGAACAAACAAAGGAGAGGAAAGGTGAAGAAAAGACTGCACAATTAAAGAGGGTGGAATATGCAAAGGAGAAGCTCTTAAGGGACTATCTGTTATATCTACTGAAAAATTCCTCAGCACCACAATCTCAACCAAGAAAGAATTTATCCTTTGGCACAAGCAGTTGTTGGAATGAATCATTCAACTGAAAGGCAAATAAACGATGCAATCAAATAGAAAGCAAACTAAATACCTTCATTTTAAGACAGCCGCCACAATGAATTGCTCATGTTTAAAAATATAGCAAAATAATTTGCTGCAAGCTAGACAATCATTCAACGGTATACTAAAGAGAATAAATCATTCAACAGCTTAAGAAGAGCCGTTGAATATGTTGAATAAAGCTTCAAAATTCAGGCATTGCATTCAGATTTGCACATTGTTAGACAACTACTATACATAAGCTCCAAATAAGAGTAATTTGTAATCTTTTTAGCCGTTCAAACATCTCTTACTAAGCTTCTAGACAACCCAATGCTGAATTTTAAAAATGTGACGACAAGGATAAACCTAGATAATGACATATACATGTGAAGACTAATCAAAGGTTCCAATACATTAGTGCAGAATATACATACTCCTTGAGTGGTCCATCCACCTCATTGGATGGGAAACATGCCATCCTCATCATCATCATCCATTTCCAGATATTTGAAGTTAACAGCATCCCATCCATTACCTTTGTAATTAAAACCTGGGCTCACATAGCACTTCATCTCATGAAACAGGTTCAAATTATCCACGAGCTTATGAAATGCATTGCATCCACAACACTGCAGAACCAGAACAAAAAAAGAATAACCATTAGGAGACTATTTCTTAGTGCAGTTCACCATAATACTCAGTTAAAAGCTCATCTCAAGACCACAATGTTATTTATCTTTTCAAAAACTCCAGAATTACTTGTCCAAAATCATCAGCCAAACAAAATACTCAGTGAAACATCATGAAGTAACGTTACTTCACAAATTTTGGTACACTCACTTCTCAATTACATTGTTATTTATATATTCATAATAGTCAGTCAATATCGAGCACCATGATTAAATCCTAAGTTATTCTACCTGCACAAAGACAGTTCCATCGGTGTATGCATGGGGGTTAATTGCCCGCGTTGTCCGCTGCCCACAAATGTTACAAGTGAAAGCTACAAGCATCCTACGGCGAGGCGATTTAGTGAAGAGAGACCAGGGAAAAGTGGAGACATTCTCTGTGCTTGAGTGGGTGTGAATCCCAGCAGGAGCAGGAGGCCCTTCCATTCCAGAACCTGTAGTCCACCCTCGTCCTGTCGCCGCACTCATAACCAGTCCCATTGCCGCATCCTAACATTATGTTTTCAATGAATAAAAATTTCATTCAACACAACAAAATATCATCACCACAAGCACTTTCTATTAACAGACACAACTTTGTAACAAAAAAAATAAAGCATACTCTATTGCTAAAAAGAAAAAAAAGCAGATCAATTTTGCAACAACGTCAAACATCTGACTCAATATTTTGCTTAAATTTCTCCTAGTTACCCAACAAAGGTCAGGTAAAAAAAAAGGAAAAAAAAAACCCAGCTTGCGAAATCTAGATAGAATACCTTGGAGAGTGGTGAGAGGGAGAGATGGCGATTTCTAAGAACTGGAAGGTTTTTTATGTCTTTGGAATCCGAACTTGGATTGGATTCGTTCTCATTTCCTGAAATCGAAATTTAAATTCCCATCAGATAAATGAGATCCATCAAATTAATAATAATTCTAAATTTCTTTGTTTGGTTGATGGGAAAATAGAAAATGAATTTGAAATCTTCCGAATGTCGATCAAAGCTTTCAAAATTCTAATGATTTATTGGCAACCAAAAGGAGCAAAAGAGAAAAAATTTACCTTTGGAGGCGAGAGGGAGCTGAACAGGTCGCAGAGGGAGAGTCTTTCTGGGAGAGAAAATGGAAAAGGTAGAAGAGGATGACGTGATCGTAGCAGAAGATGAGCTGATTAGGGCTTCCATGGCGTACAGCAACTGATTCAGAATCAGAATCAGATATGATGATGATGATGATGGTGAAAGTCGTCGTTGAAAAAATATCGCGGGAGTTACGTGGACTGGATGGATTAGCATCATTTAAGCTCCTCTGTCTGGACTTGAACTCGGTACGGGTCGGGTTGCTCCGGTTATGTTAGAAATTTAGGCCCAACTGGCCTCCCTTTTCTTTCTTGTTTGGAGGACCAACCGGCCCACCTTCTCTTTTTTTATTTATTTATTTTTCATTTGATCTCTGTAAGATTCCATATGGACACCCATAACTTAAATTCAATAGCATTTTTATCAATTGCAAAAAGCTTATTTATGTACATGCCTCATGTGCTTTCAAATTTGTCTCAGATTATCGCATGTGTTTGCAAACGTCTCAAAGTACCCTCCAACCTTTTAAAAACCGTCTCACGTTACCTGTTCCGTCAGTTTTTTAGCCGTTCTGTTATGAGCGTTGGGCCCCACTTCGTTTTAACCTTTAACCTCTTCGAATAAGGGTTTCTCAGTTCTAAGAAAGGGGGAAATTGGAGAAGAGGGCTTAAGGTTTGTGAAAATCTGAGATTGGCCTCCAAATTCTCTAAGCATCTCTGAGAGCATTGCATTCAAGCGCATTCCTTTGTTGGGTGCACTTGTTATTCTCTTTGGGTTTTGGTTTTCCAAGCCCTCACTTTCATTTCATCTCTCTGTCCATTTCTAGAGGCTTAACAAAGCTCTGTGCTTGAATTCCTTCGGCAGCCAAAGACTTTTTTACCTTTTCTGGTGAGTGCTTGGGGTTTTCTGGAATTGTATGAGCTTTGATTGTGAAGTCGGTGGTGTGAGCTGTTTTTTAGCTCTTTGTTTACTTCTTCATGAAGCTCCAGCTGCCTTCAATGGCTTCTAATGATAAATTAGCCGTGAATTGAGCTTAGGCTCTATGAATTTCATACTTGAACTTTGATTAAAATCCTAAAGCTCGTGTTTTATTATGTTAGTCAGTTTCATATGATTGTTCTTTTCCAGCTTTTTCCAAAATCGAAGCCACCCTTAGATTTTCACCAACCCTAAGCCCTCTTCTCCAATTTCCCCTTTTCTTAGAACTGAGAAACCCTTATTCAAAGAGGTTACAGGTTAAAACGAAGTGGGCCCAACGCTCGTAACGGAACGGCTAAAAAACTGACAGAACGGGTAACGTGAGACGATTTTTAAAAGGTTTGGGGGGGGTACTTTGAGACGTTTGCAAACATATGTGGTAATCTGAGACAAGTTTGAAACCACAGCGAGCATGTACATAAATAAGCCATTGCAAAATGACTAAAAAGGACAAGGGTGTCAGGCTCAGTGGGCAGGGGTGAGGATGAGGCGAGGGCGGGCGGTGCATAGGAGGTGGCTAGCTAGCTCCTCCCTCTCCTTATATTTTCACATTTACTTTTAAGTTATATATATATATATATATATAGAGTAGATAGAGAGAGAGAGAGAGAGAGAGAGAGAGATGAGAGCATTTTAAGAGTTTTTATTTTTTTTTTTTTTTTTTTTTTTTTTTTTTTTTTGGGTATATTTGTAATTGTAGTTGGGCGTCTAGAGATTTAGTGTCCATTGAATCACCTTTGATATAATTCACTTGTTAAAATTTCTAATGTTCGCTAAAGTTGGGGAGAGGAAAGCCATCTCCACTCCATAGCTCATAAAGAAAGCAAGTTGAAACTGACAATTAGGTTTTAAACCATGATTTCTTTCTCTATAGTGATCGGTACTTAAAATGCGTCTGATTTAAATTGTTCTATCATTTCCAGTCTTCTTTTCACCCTAATTTAAGCAGAAAGCGAAAATACAAGAAAAAGAAAACACGAATGTATAGAAAACAACACGAAGTATAAGTTAACAAGTAAACAGGAAAATTCTCCAAAAAGTATAACTTCATCCTAATTATGTACAATTATTCATAGGCTTCATAACTCAACAAAACAAATCATCCTGACTGGAGGTGTCTCCTCCGTCCTCTGAAGAATCATCAGAGTTGCGCTGGAATGCCATTATTAGCTCTAGAAGTTCCTGACCATCATTTGAGTTCTCGCCGTCGCGCTCTGGGCTTACCCTCTGCCTTTGCAATGAAAACAGTTGCAACATCAAGTCCTCGGGTGAGGATAGGCGGTACATCCATCCCCTAGCCCTGGGTTTCTTCTGGACACAATCGTAAAATTATAATCATTAGCATCATCATAACCATCAAGAAAACTGTCATCATTGTTATCGTCAACATCTCATTCAATCGCTGCCACCTTCACAGTCATCGCTATCATCATCATCCTCATCGTCGTCGTCGTCATCATCATAAAAAATATCATCAGAAAAATATTCATCATCATCCTCCTCATCCTCATCCTCATCCTCATCATCACTAGCATACCATAATATTCGGCCAGGTTTCAGGACCTTTACCAAACAAGTAACAGCAGAGAAATTAGTTCCTCTGCTGCCCAAATAGGTTCTAGCATCTGTATTATAGCCCTATCTGTATCTAATTGTTTATTGTTCACACCATAGTACCAACATTGGCATATATACAGGCGTTTCTAGGACTACCTAGAAGGGTGGCAACCCAGTGAAGCTGCACCAAATCTGCTTTCTACACCATCCTGCAAAGTCCCAGAACGACCTGTATCTCTATGTAATATTGGGGCTTCAGAAAGAAGGGTAGTCTCCAATGCATATTTAAACAATTGAAGCACTAGACTTACAATCTAAAATGTAAATTCTGTCTTTTGATCATATACAAAAATGAAAAGTACCATGAGCAACCAACAATTCAATGTTTGGCATAATTGAAAATGTTGTGTCCTGACAACACCCCCACTCACATCCCATTTTCTGCTTGCCCTTGAAGAGAAGAAATATAATCTTGCCATGCATCACCACCCAAAACTCGAAGGCGATGGGTGATGCAAGCACCATGTAAAAGAAGGATAAATAAAATTTACTTTTCATAGGTCATGCAAGTTGGTCCATGAAAGAAAATTTAGAACCTTTAAAGAGAGACTTCTCATCAAATAAATAGCTCAAAATAACAAAGCATACCTTCTCGATGTTCTGAGGCAGAGTAGCTCTCTCATTGGCCTTTGGAGTCCATATCTTGATGTCACTATCGATTCCGCTGCTTGCAAGAACTGTGGTGTGAGGATGAGACTCGATGCAATTTACCACATGCTTATCTGCTTCCATAACACGAATCAGCTCCCCACCCTTTTTCTTCCATATGAATATCCGCGCACAGTCAGACCCGCTCACAACATACTCACATTTAGGACCAAAGAAGTTCACGCCTTTCACAGTCTCACAGTTCCTATGACCCTTGTAAACTTGAGGAGCAGAACTTTCATCAATAGCCATGGTTGATGGAGATGCTTCACTCTGATGATCAGTACTCATTTCACTTGCATCACTGCCCATAGAAACTGGAGACGTTGGAACTGGATTAGGTCCCAATCCCATATCTCGTTCAAAAAGATAGATGTTCTCATCATTGTATGAGACAAGAAGTTCACTCTGTTCTGAGAAGGCCAATCCAGTAATTCCAACTCGCCCATCACCAATCAAGTGTGGTGGGCAAAAGAAGTTTGCAGGTTGGCCAAAATCAGATGATCCGTCCCATTTATACTTGCGGATATCAAAAAGTCGAGTATATTCGTCAGAACCTGCCACTGCAAAGAAATTTGGGTTTCTTGGGTCAATTGCAATTGCATTTAGATGGATGGCTGGCATGTGACTCCTTTTACCATCAAGAGGTTGGCATGTGACAAGTTCTGTGGCAGCCCCAGTCCTCAGATCAAACTGTAAAGTAATAACAAGTTACAATTGTTGTATAACCACAAAACAAAACAAAAAAAAAAAAAAAAAAACATCACATTTAATATTCAAAATTGCCCATTGGAATCCCAATGGCGAGAGAATCAACGAGCCTTAAGATTTTGAAAATTTTCAAGTCAATGAAATAACAAGAAAAGAATTAGCAAATAATCACAATCTGTTAAGCATCCAATCAAGTTCACTAGATGAAAGGATCTCATCCTCTGAGTACAGATTACCATTTTTAGGCTTGTCCAAGAGTACATAACTTATCTAGTTGAAAGAAACAAAAATTATTAATGTTTATGGCTAGCAAAGGAAATGATAACTCACATGTTGCACCAATCCATCTTCACCACAGGTGTAAAAAATGTGAGGGCTCCCAGGCTCAATTGCCAACTTATGAGAGCGCCCCAGATGTTTGCCCAACAATGAAGTTTTCACTTGTCCTTTATCTGAAATTTGAGCATGTCTCACCTGAAAATATCAAATGCTATTAGAAGTATTTTATTATAAATTATTTTTAAAAAAGGAATATTTCATGGCATGATGCCAATGCTTAACGTTAACAAAGTACCTGCCCATCAGCAGCACAGGTGATAATGCTTCTATCATCGGTATAAGGCATGATCTTTGCTTGGAAAATATTGTTATTATGACCTGAATGGAATGAAAGCTGAACTTTCCCAGTTTCCCAGTTCCATAGGATGACCCGCCTGTCATCAGAGCCTGAAACCAGAATATCACCAGCCGCATTGAAGCTTATAGTGTTCACACATCCTCGATGCTTCTCGAGCTTCCTGTAGAGTTCAAGTCGAAGCACAAGATCCTAAAACAAAATAACAAACAAAACAAAAACTAATTAAAGCTTTGTCCAATATGAGAAACAAACCACTTCAACTGCATGCATTAACAAACCACACCCAAATTCTCCTCTGTAGATATTTGAACAAGAATTTCATACCCATATGGGCACTACTCAAGAGGCAATCATATGATCTCCACAACCTTCAAAACACATTACACAACCCCACAATAGAATTCTATCCTGCAACTCTCAGTACAAAGCAAGAAAGAACCCAACTTTAATCTAGTATCACACAAATATGATCTGAACGACCCAAACGTGAATTTAATATAAGCCAAATTTCACAACTTCATTAACAAATAAATACATAATCCAAAACCCAATACAGGAATTAGCTTATAATTCCAGTTCCACGATCAGAAATCACTCAACCAAAATTTAATCCAGCAAAAACAATTAAATAACAATCAGGGATAAGGTTATCCAGGGAAAGACCTCAGAGCCACCAACACGGTGGGTAAAATTTCTGGCCGAGAGCTCGCCGACCTCGCGCTGCCAAACATTGACGACAGCCTTGCCGATGCTTGTTCGTGGCCTCTTGTTCATCGTCAGAACTCACAGCAGCAACGAAATTGCTCTGATCAGATTGATTGAAGATCGATTGGGACCGAGTTGGGTGTGTGATGACTCAGTGAAATCGGAGCGAATTGATGAATAAAAAAAGCGCGGGTGGGGGATTTGGGGCGGTTATAGAAGAAGGCTCGAGGTGGTCGTCAGGGACAGAGAGATCGCTAAGAATCGCATTTGGCTCAAACAGTTTGCTTTTGCTCTGAGCAATAAAAAATAAACAAAGAAAACCCCACTGGGCCTGGTTTTATGGGTCTCTCTCCTCTCTCCTCTCTCCTCTCTCTTCTCTTCTCTCTCCTTCTTCTGTAAACTCCATCGAGTATTTGAGAACGTCCACGTACCTCCAAAAGCCACGAGAAGACACTACCAAATAAAATACTATGCAACTGCATTTGGACACGACATGGTGATGATGACGACGCGCTAATTATTAGGATTTTTTTATATGAAATTAATCAGTTTTTTTTGAAAAAATAAATAAAAAGAAAAGTGCAATATTGTTTGCCTTTTTATTTATTTTAATTTGGAATTAGTATTGTAGGGCTCTAAGGTTAAGAAAATGTGATCGTGTGTTCAAGTTATTAGCTAGAATTATATGTTTGTCATTAGGTTTTAATTAGTTCTTAGTTGCAAAGAACTATATAATATGTAGTTCAACCCGCAAGTGGATGGTTGCCATAGTTCTTCCCTCTATGCAAGTTTTCTATATATGTTAGTTTGTGTCAAAGACCAATAATGAAATATGAGATCTAATTGAAACATCATCGTAAGATAATGGATGAAAAGTAAAATTTGGTCTTAGTCCAGGAACCATTGCTATAATTTTGCCTATATTTTAAACAAGAAATAGAAATAAAAGAATGTTACCCATAATTCAAATGGTATGTACAAAATGTACAAATGACTGAGGTTGCATAGCCAAATATATCATTTTCTACCTTCTCTAGATCTGCAATGTAACAATTGTTCAACATTCCTTCTCTTAGAAAACCCTGTTTGACACTATTCTAGTTGAATTCCATGATGATTTACAAGGTGACAATAGTAAAAGGACAAGACCATATCGAAGGAAGAATACCTAGGATCTTCAGAAACATACATAGCCTGTATTTCAGGAACTTTGATATATTCAATTGTTGTTCACAACAGAAATTTGTGATATTTGTGATGCATATCAATCGACAAGTGGAACTTTCATAACATCCAAACAAAAGAGTAGAATATTGAAACTCCAAAATACTCTATGATTCTCACAACAAGAAAACCGTTACAATATCAGAATCAACAAAATTGTTGGAAAATCAAAATAGAAACAACAATATTCTTGCTTTTTATTATATTATTAGTTTGAGATTAGTATTGTAGAGGGAGAATTGGTTTAAGGTTTAGAAAATGTGATCATATGTTACGCAACTAAATGATTAGTTAGAATTATATGTTTATCAAATTTATCAAATTATGTAGGTTTTAAGTAGCTCTTAATTTAGTTGTTTTTCTCTTTCAATGTTAAAATATGTCGCAAGTTCGAATTATCGTGCCTATCAGTCATACCTTCGTTATGCAGAGAATCACTAGTTTTGTCATTCTTAGTCTTATACATAAATGTATACTGCATGTATGTTAGTCACACTTATCTAGTGCTGTAGCAAACATAATACATATTTAGTTTTTCTATATGCAGTGCAACTCGCAAGTAATTTTTTAAGAAAATGTTTGTTTGCTGCAATAGTTATTTCCTCCCGGCAAGTTGTGGTGATACAATGGCGGAGAGAGATGCTGGAGGAAACCAAAAAAAGATGATGGCTAATGTATGAAACATGGAATATAAAATTAAAGAATGCTAATCAAAAACCAATTGTTGGTTATGGGACCATACATAGAGCACCACTTTGTAGGAGGAGATTCCTAATTCTAGCTGGATTCTGGATTGGTCATGTTGAAAGCTTAGTGGTTGCATAGCCACTGACATATATCATTCTCTAAAATGTAATAATCATATAATTTATCTCACTTAGACCCTAGAACACTATTTAACCAGACAATGTGTCCTGCTTTTACTCGTTTCCAAGTTGCCAAGGTTAACATGTGAGCTTCCATTGTTGGAAACCGAAAGGGCGAAAAAGAATTTCCGAAAAAGAGTAAGATGAAACTGGAAATGTTTACAACGTGATCTTCCATTGTTGGAAACCGGAAGGCAACAGTGAAGAAAGACGGTTCAATAAAGAGTAAATGTTTACAAAGGTGAAATTTTGGTGCGTACACAAGTATGAAGAATGTTCCAAAAAAAGGTTCATCATTCATTTTTTGTTTGTTTTTTTTTTTTTCATTTTTTTTTGTTTTTTTGAAAGTTGATATTTCATAAAACAAGAACCTCACCCAAGATGGGGAGAGCCCAGAATTACAACATCAGCAATCCAGTGAGGAAGCACATGTCATTATTTGGTCTTTAGTATTCATATTTTGAGGTAAATGTCATTATTTTTGTTACCGCTACCATTCACACCCTTTCATTATTCAAATAATAAAAAATTTATCATTTTTAATCTCGTGGAACCATGTCGAGTAGCTTTGATATTCAATTGTTGTTCACAACATCGACATTTGCAATCACATCAACCGACTTTTTAACGACTTTCCAATATCAACAGTTTCTTCTTAGCTTTCTCTGGAATTTTCCAATGTTCAAACAAAAGAGTAGAATCTTTAACTCCAAAATACCCTGTGATTCTGTGAACAAGAAAACCGTCGTAATAGAAAATGATAAAATTGTTAAGTATTGTCCGACCAGAAACTCCATGATTTCGGGTGTTATGAGATATAGCATCTGGTTTTTGCGGTCATTCTTAAGCTGAACTTTCCTACCTAAGTTTTGGAAGCAAGTCTCTGTCATCTTAAAATGTGCAGATATGAGTGAGCACCCAAATACCAATTGGTTCGCATGTGATCCGTCATTCTAGGTTCATAGAATCTTTCTTACACTCTCTAGCCACTTTTCCATATCATTGGAAAGAAAGAAATAACATTGCAAATTCATAGCTGACGGACCAGTAAAAACTTCATAAAATTGCTTCTATACACTCGTGGAGGCCATGCATCTCGTATTTCAATAACAGCTCTTAGTTAGGATCTCCCTTGAGTTCGCAGATCCTATTTGGAAAAGATTGAAAGGAAATGCTTTTGCTCTTGCATTGATCCCACCATAAAATGCTGCAAGTCCACTCGTGCCTTCTTGATTAACATTAGAGCCAGAGTGGTAAAAATGAGAACAATAAAGACAGGAAAATTCCACGCCTGTCATTGATATTTAATGATGACTCTACTACACTTCTTAAGCCCCAAACACTGGAAATCTGGACGTGCAATCTCACTAGAATCTGAAGAAATTAGGACCAGAAAATACAAATTGTCAATTTTCAAAGTTCTGGAACAGAGAGGTAACATATATACCATGGTTAGTTCAAAGATAAGGGCTTGACTAGAGGTTATGTTAACAACGTACCAGCCTGTTGCCTGTCGGTGTCACCCAATTTAATCTTCATCAGTTACAATGACTTGTGTACCAAATAGGCTAGTGTTAAGTGTGACAACAGCATCATGTACGGTTCATATCCACCAGATTGACACCTGACACTGTTGATGCTATTCATTGAAGCTCATGTGTCTGTAGAACCTGGTTCAGACTCAGTTAGCCCACAGCAGTCCTTCCTGTCTTGGGCATATTACCATTCTTCTAAGTGTCTAAATCACCGTATTTTTTTCCTGGATTGTGTCGTTTCCCATCTCCAGGGTAATACAAGCAAGAATATTTGATTGAATGGTTTAACAATTAACTTGGATCAGAGGAAACCAATATCAATGACAGGGATTCTGTGGTACTGAATCACCAACTTCATATAATCAGCATATAAATGTCCTTAGAAATGGGAAGAATCTACCCGACTATAAGCCGCATGCTTTCTTATATTATTCTTATCCATCATCAATCTCACCTCTGCCGCATCATCCCATAGTTCAGCGTCAGCATACATATTGTATAGCAATACATATGGAGCTGAGCTTTCGGGTTCAAGTCTCATTAATGCTTCAGCTGCAACTCGGGCCAACGCTACATTGTTATGCACTCTACAAGCACCTAACAATGCTCCCCATACAGCCTTGTCTGGCTCGAATGGCATGCTCTTAATCAAACCCATGGCCTCCTCAAGCTGCCCATGCCGACCGATGATGTCCACAAGGGAGGCATAGTGTTCAACACGTGGCTCAATTCCAAATTCACTAATCATGGATTTAAATTGACTCCGGCCTTCATCAACTAATCCTGCATGAGCACATGCATTCAACACTGCGATAAATGTTATATAAGTAGGCCGCACCTTTAACCTCTTCATCAAAGCGAAAAGTTCTAAAGCCTCTGCAGCAAAACCATGAGATGCATAGCCTCCAATCATTGCATTCCAGGAGATAACATCTTTCTGCATTTTCATCTTATCAAATATTGTATGTGCCTCTTTTATTTCACCACATCGAGAATACATAGTGATAAGGGAGTTGTTTAATGGCACATCTGCAATAACTGTCTTTGTGACCATCTGATGAACCTGCATGCCAAGATGCAGATCTACCAACCCAGTACTCACACTGAGAACTGAAGATAAAGTGTGTCTATCAGGTTTCTCTCCCTCAAGCTGCATTAGAGCAAAGAGCTTGACTGCTCCTACAAAGTCCTCATTTTTCTCATACCCTGCTATCATGGAGTTCCAAGAGACCAGGTTCTTTTGGGGCATCTTCTCGAAAAAATCATGAGCCAATTCTAAACATCCAACCTGGGAATACCCTAATATCAATGAATTCCATGACAGTGCATCAGGATTTGGCATTTTACTAAAGAGGCTGGAGGCCTCTTCCATATCTGACGCATGTACATAGCCACTGATCATGGTATTCCAAGAAAAGGTGTCTCGTTCTCTCATTTGGTCAAAAAGTTCCCTGGCGGAAACAATATTTCCTGCTTTCACGTAGCACATAATCATGGTATTCCATGATACTACATTTCTCTCAAACCTCATATTGCCCTCTTTTCCCTTCTCATGCGACAATGGGATTTGATCAAAAAGCTTCCTGGCTTCTTCAACCCTTCCTCTCTGACCATAACCAGCAATCAAAGTATTATAAGCATGCACCAAATCTTCTCTTCCATCATCCCTGTTCCCACATTCGAGAAGAATCCTTGCAGCTTCATCCAATTCACCATTCTGAATAAGCCCCGATACAAGTGCACTAAGAGAAGCCCGATCCCGTTCTGGCATTCTCTCAAAGAACTCAATTGCATGCACAACGTCACCGTTCTGCAAAAACCCAGTAATCATTGCATTCCAAGAAACAACACTCTGGTTAGGCATTCTACTAAAAAGCTGTAATGCCTCAGTCATCCTCTGATTCTTGGCATACCCACTAATCATTGTGTTCCAAGATACACAATCCCTCACTGGCATTTGATCAAACAAACTCCTCCCCTCCTCAATATACCTATCTCCACGACAAGATATATACCCCGATATCATCAAATTCCACGAAACCACATCTCTCTCAGGCATTTCATCAAACAACTTACGCGCCTTCGCCATCTCTCTGCGTTTTACATACCCAGTGATCATTGAATTCCAAGTTACAACATTTCGTTGCTCCATCCTATCAAAATCTTCCCTCGCTTGGGCTATCTGGCCAGTTCGGATCAAATGGGAGATCCTTTTGTTCAATGAAAAGAAGTCTCCGTCTAGGGCCTGAGTGGAACTTTTGTCTGTCGAAGTTGAAGTAAAACGAGAGAGCTGCACAGACGCATGTGGGCGAAGACAAAGACGACCTAGAGGCATGCTCATGAGTCTGAACACGACACCGTTTCGGTTGCCCATAATCATTCTCCGAATGACAACGTTGTAAGTCTTTGAAGGACTGTGTCAAAAAGAGAAGCTTTTAAACGTTTTGCTTGGCGGTTTGAGTAGAAGCTAGTGTATTGGAAGCTTTCGTTCCAAGTTTCTCATTCCACATTTTCAGTTGCAAGACAGATTACTAGAAAAAGTTACGAAAATTAACTAGTCTTAACACATGATTTTATTTTTTTTTCTTAGGAATATAAAATTATAACCACTAGCAATTCTATAATTTCTCCACTACTTGATCCTCTCGAATTATGAATTTTGGAAGACCGTAACACCTCAACATTGTGTAACAAATTTATCCATGTTATAATAAACGTGTGTATATCAGTATTATAATTTAAAGTACAAACTCATCATCCACTTATGTTATAACCAAAGATAAAAATATCAGTCGTGTAGATTGATACTTAAATTTACGAATATATCAATTTCGCTTTCAATATCGTTCAACATTGATTGTTATTTCTTCGGGGTTAATATAGATGAGTAGCATAATCATATACGACTATTTTGTTTAGATTGAAAACACATGTCAGGGTTAAGTATGTCATCCTTGCTTCTTCTTCCTCTTCTTTCATTCTACTATCATATAATAATTTTTCACCAGATTGGATTAGTAACACCACGTTAAAAAATGGACAACTTTTAAGACTTTGTTTCCTCTGAAAAATTAGCTAGAAAAGTGGGGGAACTCCAAGGCCATGTTAAGCCCAATCATATCATGCCCAAATGATGCTCAGCCTCAACCAAATGGGAGGCATTGGCAGCGGACAACTATCTTTCTCAATAGCATTACCATGGAACCCTCTACGACCTCTGCCTCCATTAACATCACCAATCCAATGCGCAGTGACCAAACAAGGCCAACGCTTTCTCACCAAGCTTGCAGCCAATGCCAGGGACGCCAAGGTCACAAACAAGTTGATTTCCAAATTCCTTACTTCTTCTACCAAGTCCATTGCTCTCAACACTCTCTCCTATCTTCTCTCCCCTGATACCACTCTCCCCCATCTCTCTTCCCTCGCCCTCCCTGTAAGTCCACCTCTCTCTCTCTCTCTCTGTTTTTGGTTGTCGTGAAATTGATAAGAACAAATTAAATATTTTGCTATTTCTTAATGGTTTTCAAGAAAACATAATGACCCATTTCCTTTAGGTTGTTTTTTGTTTTTCAGAATTTTCTCAACAACCAAACAAGCCATTACTTTTCATTTCAGCTAAGTTATTCACTTGGGTTTTCTTCAGTTCTACTCAAAAATCACAGAAGCGTCTTGGTTTGAATGGAATCCCAAGTTGGTAGCAGCCCTTGTTGCCCTGCTCGACAAACAAGGCCAACACAACGAAGCAGAAGTTCTAATCTCTGAAACCATTTCCAAATTAGGCTCTAGGGAACGAGAGCTTGCTCTTTTTCATTGCCAGTTGGTTGAATCACACTCTAAGCTAAGTTCAAAGCATGGATTTGATAGTTCCTACAGTTACCTCTATCAGCTTCTTCATAATTCTTCCTCTGTTTATGTCAAAAACCGAGCTTTTGAATCAATGGTTAGTGGTTTATGTGAAATGGATCGACCTCGTGAAGCAGACAATTTGATTGAGGAGATGAGAGTTGAAGGACTCAAACCATCGGTTTTCGAGTTTAGGTGTGTGGTTTATGGATATGGAAGATTGGGACTGTTTGAAGATATGCTGAAAGTTGTGGAACAAATGGAGAACCAAGGGATTGCTATTGATACAATTTGTTCCAATATGGTTCTTTCATCGTATGGAGCTCATAGTGAGCTTGCTGCAATGGTTGTGTGGCTCCGAAAAATGAGAAGTTTGAGTCTTCCTTTCTCTATTAGGACTTACAATTCGGTCTTGAATTCGTGCCCTACGATCATGGCAATGCTGCAAGAACCGAAAGATTTTCCATGTTCGATTGAAGAATTGAATCGGGTTTTGAATGGTGATGAGGCTTTGTTGGTTAAAGAGTTGGTTGAATCAACAGTTTTGGATGAGGTGATGGTGTGGGAACCTTTGGAGGCCAAGTTGGATTTGCATGGCATGCATTTAGGTTCAGCTTATTTGATGTTGTTGGAGTGGTTTGAGGCAATGCGATGCAGGTTCAACGGTGGGAAGGATGTGATCCCGGCAGAGGTTGTCGTCATCTGCGGGTCAGGAAAGCATAGCAGTGTTAAAGGGGAATCCCCACTTAAAGGACTGGTTAAACAGATGATGCTTCGGATGGAAAGTCCGATGAGAATCGATCGGAAGAATGTTGGTTGTTTTGTTGCCAAGGGGAGAGCTGTGAAGGACTGGTTATGTTGAGTTGCTGCTTGAGGAAATAGACTGCCTTCCTGTGATACAAAAGTACCAGGGTAGCTTAGTGAACAGCTTAAGGGTAGCTTTCTATAAAATCATCTCTCGTAGCTTTAGGTTATACAATTTGACTTATGGAAAAATCAAAAACAGATTGATGAGCATAACCTTCTTTTTTTCACGTTGTCAGGGATACTGGATTTTTGCTTTTGGTTTTAACAATAATCAACGTCCTATTCTCCAGTCCATCTCACCTTTGAAAAGATAAATAATCTATTTTCTCCAGGTGAAGTTATAAATTCAAGCCTATCGATAAAAATTTCAGTCATTTTTGCATGTACAAAAATTGGATAGCGAACTGGCTTCCAGCTTCATTCAATAATGGCGTTAAGGGAGGTGATAGTAATACAGGTACAAGTCTCATGTGTAAGTATATACAATGGAATATGTTGAAGGGATGAAGCATACAAAATTAACCTTAATATCTCCCGACAGACATCACATATACAGCGAATGCAATTTTTCTCTTTGAATCCTAACCCTTGGAGCATCCCATATGGTTATTAAGCGCACAAACCGCCACACCGAGGGATGATACAACCTGTTTATATACAGAGCACAACCAATATACAACCCGAGGTCTCTTGTGATGATCTCCTTAACCAGAAGGAAAATACCACTCAAGCACAAGTCTGTCGAATCTTGCGAATTTCAATCAGTCTGGGGTTGTCAAGTTACGCCCAGCCACTCAGATTCAATCTAGTACATGTCAAAACTCGTATCCCAGCACAGCTTTCTCAGTCCCCGCAGAATCAATCGAGGAGTGTCACCTAAAAGCTTCATTCCCAATAAAGAACACCTTTATAGCAAAAATAAGAAAATAGATAAAATACAAGCAATAACAAAAGTAAATTCATGACATTACTAGTGAACACTCATTGAAGGGAAAAAAATAGAACTTTGAGTAAAAAGATCAAGCTTATATTGGCGGAGAAGAGCCATAGCCTACTACACATAACAAATAATGGTATTGTTAGAACATTGTGCATAGTGCCCGTGCCACATTCTTGGCGGTTTTATTACAAGCCCCAGTCTGAGAACGACATTGTTAGAAAATTGTCTTACGTGCACCTTAGTTCTATTGGTGTAGTCACCTTAAATGCATTGCCTTCAGATTGTTATACATCACAATAATAACATCCCTTAATGAATTATTACTTTTTGGAAGTTCAAATAGCTACTAGCAAGTCACCCACACTAATTCCTCCACCTTATGTACTGTTGGTGAAGAGTTGAAATGCCTGTGTTAAATAATTCAAGATAAACTCAAATGGAAATTACCTAATCTACTGTCTTCAACATTGCATTGTCGATAACAAAAACACTAGCATAAAATAAAATTTATTAAAGACAAAGAAATAGTAGAGCATACCTGAACAAGATATACACTACAGGACTCTTTCATAGTGAATCTTTGAAGCCTATTCCTAAGATATTTTGTGAGGCTGCTTAAGAAAATCCTCGAGCCCACAAAGACCTTGTTGATTCAACTCTAGAACAGGAGAACCTTGATCAATTTAAATTCAGAACCAAGGCATCCACCAGATATACATCCTTCCAAGATTTTTGTGGGAGACTGCTTCAGCTATTAATCGACGAGCCTGACCTTCTACGGCCAGAGGCAGAGATGGTGCTGCTCCAACACCAACAACTACTCCTTGCAACCTTGCCTCAATGTTACTGATTGCTCGCTGCAATGTTCATATAGAACACAATTTAGTGATTGCTTCATAGCAAAAAACTTACCACTATCTTTATAACATGTTTAGCATTTTCAGGAAGCATACACCACAAATCATGGGTCACAATTGCTAAAGTTTCACTTCTGATCTAACATCCACATCTAGGGAATTTATGATCATATCTCAACATGAACAGAGATCAAAACTTATCAATCACGTTTAAACGTGTAATGGAACAGCATCACTACTTCTATCAAGAATTCCTTACTCCTGAATAAATGTCCATATTCATCAGGTGGATATTCTGTAAAAAGATGCATCAAATTTAAGGAAATTCAGATCATAGTTTAAAAAAGAAATCCTTGCTCCCAACACCGTATTCTATCAGGTGGCATATTGTGTATGAAAGATCAAGAAACACTACATTGGACTAGGATATCAAAGTGATAATGATAGAGAGTTATTCTGTTTTCTTGGGGCAATTTACTCTAAGAAACTTTTTCACTCAAGTTGCAACAATTTGACATGGCAGGCCTTGAGAAGAGAAAATCTCCACTCGGTTCAATTAGGAAATGATAAATCAATTTCATCACTACCTTTACATTTATAATGAACAATAGTGACAGTAAACCTGTCACAACAACAATGATAAATCAGATAACCAAAGATCTAAACCTGAGCATGTGGATTCTGAACTTCTACTCCACTTAACTTGTGAGATTTTGTCCATTCCACAAGAGGATCATGGATGAAAGTTTCAAGAACACTCATCAGAGTCTCCTATGCATCCTCAGTACTGAAAGTGTGATTTCACAGACCTTCAAAAAGATTCCCTCATAACCAGTGATGCCCAAGCCATCAATCATATTCTGCAGGTTTCATAACAGTCCCCATGAACGTAAAATCCCAGGTAATAAGAAACAATTTAAATTGGGTACGATTTTATAACCATCATTAGCAGATCATGAAGTATTAATTGTACTCACACTAGAACATTCTAGTTCATGTAAAGGCATGCATGTTTTATCATTTTGATAATCAACATACAATATAGATTTTATCCTCATTTTGATATTCTAGTTGGTCCTTCTTTTTGCACCTTAAAATAAAAGTACTTGAAAATTCTAGCAAGTAAAGAAAACTTGACACAATGGAAATCACATGCATCCATGTCACTTCTCTCACCTGAGTCAACCTGAAAGGCACCAGCTCAGGCTTCTCTAACTGCAAGCCTTTATCAAATAAGCAACTGAAATCAACATGAACACAGTCACCTGTTGTAGAATCAAAAAGAATGTTTTCACCATGTCGATCACCCAACCCCACAATATGCCCAACCATGGACCAAACTGCAGTAGTGTGTGCATAAGCAATCCGAGCCCTAAACCAAGCAGCTGGCTCAGAAAAAGTGATTAAGAACCATTTATGAAACACTGGAGGGAACATTGGAAGAATTTTGTCCTTCAACATCTCATCTTCTGGTATTTTACCATGGCATTGATCATAAATTCGTTTGATCTGAGGATTTGTCTTTTGCCTATCAAATTTTCCACAGTTTATATATATGTCTTGAAGTATATGCCGAAGTCCACGAGTGTGGGACACCCATTCTACCATGCCACAGTCCTCTGTCAAAGGAATTACTGCAAAAGTGCGAATGTAGAGTTTCCTTCGACGGCTTTCTGGGTATTTAGACAACAAACGGTTTATCATTGCAGTGAACTCCATCATGCGGGCATCTTTCCTAAGGTCATCCTTGGGTTTGCAGAGGAATGGACGTTCAATGCCGTCACTGCCCATTAGAACAATCTGAAATGCAAAAGAGAATGGGACTGAAAATTACAGAGATGATGTGCAATGTAGCATAGAAAATCTTCTCCAGGACATGCACAAGTGACGACAGCAAAAGCTAACCCCTTCAAAATCTTCTCCAAATCCACAGTTTTTGTGCTTTACTACAACTTATGGAAATCTATCCAGTCAATAATTGACTCATCGTATAAATTTAGATTTGATTAACAGGTGATGATTGGTGACTGTAGCTCTTCCTTTATTAAGTTAGGACAAAGGGTGGTGGGGGTTGTGGGGTTCACGACTTTAAACAGTCATTCCATATACATTTAAGAGGAAAACCAACATACATACATAATTTGGTAAAATATGATGCCTTCTCGGTATATAACCTGCTATGGCATACCACAGATGAACCAATTCAGTTACAAGTATGATAAGATGTAAAATCAGAAACATGTTAAATGACTACACGCATATTCTAAATCCAGAAAAAGAACTCACTTTTTTAGGTCGTTGAAGGGATGAAAGAATCTCGGCCTCATCACTGATTGCTGATATTGTAGGAAGATCAGTCGCAGAAAAGATATCAGATCTAAGTGAGTCAGTGAGCTTCCCATCGTATGTCGGTAGGCTAACAGTTAGAGATTGCTGAATGGGCATGATAATTCCCAGTGGCATCATCCTCTTTAAGGCACTAAATTCAGTTGAGATATTAATTGTTTTTGCCCTCGGCTGACCAGCATGGAAGCATAACTTAATTAAGTGATCAATCAGACTTGCAAACTGCACAAACAGATTGCTGCCAGTATTTCCTTGGCTGAACTCTTTTCGTGCAGCATGTAGGATTTCTGCAGCTGCCTCCCGCCTTGAAGGAACAGTGGATTTTGAAACTGCTGCCATAATCCACAGAGCTTGTTGTGGGTATTTCCGGAGAACTGATGTAATGATGTTTTTGACCAATCGAACAACTTCCTCATTCTGGTGGCAAATTCTGGAAACCAACTGTGGCAGTACCGTTAACCACTGGTATGTTGGCAAATCCTTCAAACATCCTCGCATTATACTCATTACCTACCAAAATAAGAAGAGAATATAGAATGGAGAAAGCAGAGTTTAAATGTAGCTAAAAGAAATTAAGTTCATCTTCAATATAACAAAAGTTACCTTCATATGGACACTTTTCAAATCTTTATCGGATGATGTGCCACTTGTTAGATACATACTGCCGAAGTCAAACCATAAGGTTAACAACCTTGGAAGTGCTTGAAAGAGATTCTTGTGGCCCCTATGAAGCCCCTTTGCATAGAATAACAGTACATCAGGCACATATGACCACCAAAGCTTCTCAGTCTTTAAATTTGAAGAACCAACAATATCACTACTTGTCGGCATTTTCCCTGGACCAAGTTCAATGTTTTCTTCCTGACGTTTCTTGGCATCAGCAAGAACTTCCTCACAATACTTAGCCATGTAGAAATATCCTTTCTCCCACTTGGGCTGCAGTTCCCTCACCCTCGAATAAAGACTCAGCACATCTTCTTTCTGCTTCTGCCCAGTGTAATGGATCCACCTAGAATAGAGAAGAAGGGTCTTTGCAATATCTCGATTCTCATTCAAAGATTGAGTATCACAAACTAAAGGCGGCAGGTTCAGCGGAACCAGTGAAAGACTAGTAATTGATGAAATTGCCGAGGAGCCTACAATCTCTACAGGCATGTTCAGGAGGGACTGTTGCAACTGTGCAATGGCACCATCAGATCGCCGGGTGCTCCACAGAAGTTTAGCCTTCTCTATGTGAACATTAGGTGCATCTGTAGCTAGGGCTTCTAGAATCGCCTGGTTTGCTGTCTCATAATGACCGGCCATGCGACAGAGCTTTGCATATTGAAGCCAGCAGTTCCCAACTTGAGCGCCAAGAGCACTGGAAGTAAAAACCAGTCTGCGGAAGGCCAAAAGTGGCTCTCTTGCCCAGATTGATGGCTGTGTAAACCTGAGACGGTTTTCCCAATTCTCCATCACTTGGGAGAATCCATGATCACCCAATTGAAATGATTTCTCCAAGAAAGAGTCATCAGCAAGAAGAGTGTGAAAGTCCTCAAGCTCTCGTAGCAGGTGAAGTTTTACAACAAATGGGTAAGCGCGTACATAAGAATCCATGCCTGCAGCAGCAAGAGGAGCAATGAGCGCTTGCTTCGAGAGGGCAATTCTTTCATCAACTGAGAACTGATCCTTCTTCATCAGTGCCTGGAGAATCTTTGCAACATCCATATCAAATGAGGCATTACTTTCAGAACTGCTACAAAGTAGACCTTCTTCATCAGCCCCACTAAGATACTCATCCATCAAATCCCACCTGCCCAGCCTCCATGCTGCCTGTACACCTTGCATGCACCATGTTTTCTTGTACTGGGGAATCCTAGAAATTAAGCCATCCACATGAGTAACCATGGCTTGAAGGTGACACATGTTTAATAAACAGTTAAGGACATCGGAGTGCCTTTGAACTGATGTTGGTTCCATCTGCAAAGCTTGTTCACAAGAAGTTAAAGCCTCTGCCCAGTTTCCAGCCTTTTTATTAATTAAGAGCTGGTCCTGTAATTGTAATCTCATAGATTTCCGTAAACATGCAAAGCCAGAAAGACCATCAGGCTCATCTAGAGAGCTGTATATTTCCATTAGATATGAAACATCTTCGTCATCAAAGATGCCACTTCTCTCAGATGCAGGGTTAAAAGAACCTGACTTTCCCCTCACGTATGACTCATAGTACATTAAAGACCTTGCATAAGCCTGACACCTGAAGGAGGCCCTGGCAAGAGACACCCTAGGAATTGCAGACAACAGTTTTGAAACATATGTGCACTGTACAAGGAGATGATCTTGATTTTTCAAAGAGTTATGAATTTTATCCTTTGTCTTGGATGCTTGTTGCTTAGATGCCATTGATTGAAAAGACTGGGAAAGAGCTAATTCTTGTTTAATATCATCCACCCATTGACCAAGATTATCAAGGAGAGTGAACACAGCTTGAATGCATACTTCATTTTTCCCACCATTAACTCCATGAACTGCATCCCCACTGTTATCAGATGCTGCAATATCAAGAACACAAAGGATTTCTTCTGTTATGCCATGGCGTGCCTCCTCTGTGCCATGACAGACAGCATTAAGAACTAAATATGGAAGCAAATATATTGCTGTTTGCATATCATGACGAACTATACCTCGACAGGCATTGAAAATGCTGCCACGAGAACCAGTGGCATGTGCAGTCAGCTTTCTTATCCAGTAGAATATCCATCTTCTGAATGACATAGATGGCCTGTAAATTGGGCCAGCAAATGAAGAATCAGCAACATTTGGAAGTTGAAATCTAGAGGTTAAGCAAGGGGCAATTATCTCTTTAACATAATTGGAGAAGCGGTCCCATAATATCTGACCCCTTCTATTCATCTTACTGCTACCATCAATACCCATAATCCCAGATGCATCAACATTCAAAGGTTCTTTGTCCTTTGGAGTCCCTGACATAGATGCAGCAGCATTCTCATCTAATGAGGCCTCACAGCCTGCAATCTTTAGCAGTTCCTGTATAGCCAATGCGGCTGAGTCTTGAATTATAGTGTCAGGTGCAGCTCTAAAAGCCCTTGCAAGGTGCTTGTGGATTAACTCATAGATAAGGTCATCATCAGAGCATTCAATTTTAAAACGTTGACATGAAAAGCCCTGCACTTTAGCAGGGTCAACGGCACCCAGGGCCCCAAGGCAATCAGCACATACCAACTTCAGCCGCTGTCCAACTGCAGTCCTTGATTCTTCTGCACATCCTCTTAGCAAGGATGTGATTAAAGAACTCAAAATATCCATATCTGTACCACTTTCAGCAGTTATCAGAGCTGTAACCTCTTCTTGTTTCAGGCTCAGCAACTTGCTCAACTCACACACAACCATATATCTTACATTTAAGCTCTCATGATTCAAACCATCAACAACATCACGCAATCGATCCTTCAATGTCATTGACCCTCGGGCTTCTTGTATAGCTTTGTTCACTTCAATTAGAGATGTAATACTGGGCAACGGAGGGAACTCGCGTACATTCTGCTTTAGAATGACCCTGTTATTCAGCACAAGTTCTTCCAAAATTTTAACCACTTTATCTAGATGTATGGGATTTTCTTCATCTCTCTCTAAAAAGGGAATAAGAGCAGCAAAAACTTGAGAAATTACATGCTTAGTGCTAGCTGGTGATACTTTCACCAGCTGCACAATGAAAAAATGCAGCACAGACAGGCCCTCACTCTGGAGGGCTTCTTTACCAATAGCATGCATGAGAAGAACCATCAGTTTAGGCACATAAGTATTAAGGTGAGAACCCATCATTTTGATTAGCATCTCAATGCGTTGTAAGGCTTGTTTCTGCAGTGAAAAGTCTTCTGCATGGAGCATCTTTCTATCAATACTGTTAAGAAGGCCAACAAAATGATTCCTCAAAAAGCTGGGAAGATCTTCACCACCGGTTAGAACTCTCGCAACCTCTTTTATCATCTCAGGAACTCTTGCTAACCTGTAAGCATATTTGACATGTTAATACCTTGGCATAATTCTTGCATCTGTTGCAGTGCAGTAAAATTGTATTAATAAATATTCCTCTACTGAAATTCATTGCGTCGCTAGTCAGTGAAAAAAGGTAAGTACCACAAAGAACTGTGCAGGCAGCATCTGAGTGAAAAGAACATTATAACCCACCGAATGCACTGACCAAAATAAAACCGAGGGGGATAGTAGACCTTCATACCTTCTGTTTATCTCATCTGAATCACCTCCATCTAGAAAGCATATGAGTTCGTCTAAAAGGGCCGGTAATGCAGCAGCGAAGATCTCTTGTTTGTCAGAACCAGTCTGCGTATGGTAAAATTGCAAAGCAACAGCTAACTCTCGCACATCTGCTCGATGGAGAACAAAAGCTAGCACTTTTGGTAGCCAATTAACTACAAGGGGCACCAAATCAGTGTTTAAGCACTTAGCCAGTTCATATAAGGTGTCAAGTGCTTGTTTATCATCCTGCTGAGACACTACAAGCTTCGGAAGAACAACAGGAATCATTTTCTTGACAAGATCTTCAGTTTCAATACCAAGAACTGACTCTGTAAACTCTTTGACCATAATTGGACGGCTAGACAGCCTCGCAGACAGATAATCAAATAGTTCATTTCGAACGTGGGCAACTTTCAAAAGGATTTGTTCAAATCCCCCTTTCAGATGAAAGTAGCAAGCTTTGTGTATCAGCCTTGATGCATTCACTCTCACTGTCATGTGTGGATTATCAAGCTGATCAACCAACAAAAAAAGAGAAAGCAAGAATAGTTGACTGTGAATGTCAACTGCAATCATTATTTCTGCTGTAGACTCCAAAAGAGTCTCAAAGGTTTGAGGATCTTTAGTTTCTGAGAAGGCATGCTTGATTATGTTAAAAAACTCTTCTTCTTTACTTTTATTTGATGTGTCCTCATCAAGAAATAAGTAACTCAAAACAGAATCATCAAGGAATGAACTAATCTGGGTGCAGAATGCATCTCTTACAGCATTCTTTCCATTAAGGAGTAAATATTCAACACATTTAATCCATTCAAATCTTGACTGAATCAGATTGTCTCTGCCCCCATGTACAAGTATTCGGTAAATATTTTTCACACAAGCAACTTGAACCTCTTCTGATTCATCATAAAGAAGTTCAAGAAATAGAGACTGCAGATGGGAAAAATTACAATCCAAACTCATTTCTCTGCTGTTCATATCAGGGGGATGTATGACTTTTGAATATACTGCAGTATTTTGTCTAACACTTCTGTCGCACTTAGAACACCAGAATCCTTGCAGTAAATAATCTGCTGTTCGACCATGTTTCTCATTTTTCATATTTAAAACTAACTTACACTGGCTTCTATTTGTGCCATCTCCATCATTACAAGATCCATAAAGGCATGACAAAAGACCAAGGGAAAAGGGAATAATATTCCTAACCTTCTCAGGTCTCTCTCCCCTCAGGAACCTGCAAGTGGGAAACAAAATGTATTTTAATGAATAGAATTTCTTATGGTTTCATGAGCATAGAGCACACAACAAGAACAATTTCTTTACTACTTTTACAATCACTTTGACAGAAAAAGGACTAGAATCTTATAGCGCAAGTATAGTGCAAGCCAAAACCACAAATGCATCCCTCCACCACTACCCAAAGTAGTTAATCAACAAAAGACCATTTCCAAATGCAGTTTATGTAACACTGTTTTCCGGCACATGGCCATCCATGATAACTGATATAATTTTTCAAGCAAGAACAGAAGTTCTTAATTTTCTTTTATTTTGTCAATGACGCCTTAGGTGACATTTCATTATAAGATCCCATTTCCAATCCAGAGCGCTATCAATACATTCATAAATTGATAATTTCGATCATATATATTACTAACATATGTGAAAACTATTACAAAACGTAAATGAACAACTTCAACTGTTCTCTTACTCAAGCCTTCTGAATATACGTGACAGCCCACCGAAACCAGACCAAATGACAATCACAGGCATCGAAATTATAGCTTCAATATTAACTTCTTCAAATTCATCATTAAGGCTCAAATCCAAGAGTTCAAGCTGAGTTTCAGTTCCTGTTCTATGACCAAGTTTGCATGCAACTTGAACAGAGGTGCATTTAGTTTTCCACGGATGATGAGGGCCAGTATTATTTACAAGAGAATGGGTCCATGGAAGCTTTACAACATGCATAAGGTCTGCATCAACATCCTTATTTTCAAACTCCATACTCCCCATCGCTAAGGGACCTGAATAAAAACATAAAATTATTTAACATTCAGTATGATGGAATCACAGCATATGCACAGAACTCTAGTACTCAACAACCAGACCTCCTGAGAATGGAGTATTAGTAAACAGGAGCAGACTCAAGAAAATCTCGTGCAAAAAAGGCAGCGTTCCCACTTTATATAAAAGAAATTAGTCATTCAATACATCTCTGACACAACTAAGATTTACCTTCAGTGGGATATTTTAATCAAGAAATGAAGTCGTGCCTCTTTTATGATTTCAACAAGGGTGCATTTATTATTAAGTATGTGTACAAAATGAGATGACTGATGCTTGGATAGTCAGCCTTTGCCAAAATACAACACCCAATATACTCTTAGAAAAAGAAAAGAAAAGAATAAAGACTTTCCTTCAACTGGGAGAAAGATAGAAGTGCCATACATGATTATCCATTATCTTGATAGAATTTAAGAACCAAAAATTAGATAACACATCAATATCGCAAAAGCAAGATCTTTCATGAAGTCCATCTCCTTACTCTGTGAAAGCAACATGCTGTGAATTCCTTCCAGGTAGATGGAAATATCAAGTGCAACTGAATTTTCTCGCTTTGCCTACATAATATAACCCTATTTAGTGGTAGGTGAAATTGAGAAAGCTAATGATAAGTCCACCAGTTTAAGCCAACATACCTGCTGACATACCCAGGGTATCCATGCATACATCTGATTAAAGATGCTTTGTGACAGATTGGTCTCTGGGTATCTACAGAAGGCAATGCAAAGCATGCTAAGAGATGTTAATGCGACCTCTGGTCTTAAAGAATCAGGATTGACACCAGGAGATTTTAAAATTTCAACAAAAGAAAGAAGTGACTGATGCATATAATCTGCATAATCTTCTCTTTCACAAGCAACTGTATGAGTACGTTTGCGCTCCACCTGAAAATTAGAATCAGAACTCACGATTTCTTTATCTACCTTTTGACGTTTAATCTTGAAAGTATCCACATCCTGAATAGGCCTTTTTTCTCCAACCCTTGAATTTTCTATTGATTTATCAGTTAATGCTGATATACTCTGACAGTTACTATTTGCAATTCTCGATCCAACAAGATCAGGACCAAGTATAGAGAGAGCTACTTGTAAGCAATCTATCAACGAGAAGCAAGGTTCTGGACAAGAAAGGACATAAATGAGAGACTCTGGCCTCCAGATATGAGGGGGACACATTTTCGCAATCCGCATATATGCATTGCACAATGCAACCTGGAAACAGAAATTATTTAAGTCCCTAGAACAAATCAATCCCTCCGATCAATTAGCAATTCACAGGGCAAGAACAAAATAAAGTTAAATTTATCTCAAGGACAACAGTTGGGACGTTAATATTAACCTTAAGCTCCTGGCTTTTGGTACTCTTCATTGAATGAGGAAATACATCAACTAAATCAGCAGCTGTTAGCTTGAGAACATCTTCAGGGCAACTACAGTGTAATGCATCAAGGCAACCACCAATGGACGAATCATAAATGATGTTTCTGCAGTGTAAGCCCAGCAATTCATTGGCATACCAAGGTCAAAATTAGGAAATAATACCAGATGTAAGGATCTCATTTATCATTCCCCAAAGACAACAAAATAAAATGCCCCATAAAGAAAATCTATTATTCCACGAAGACCACTATATGTATTAATGGCCTATAGAATTGACGACTTTTAGAACCATGTTCTCCAGACCACATTAATGCCGGTAAGTTTGCAATACCTATCTATATATGATATCTAGCCAGCACATCATGCCCATTACCAGGAATTACACATCTAAAGTAATTTCTCTTCTGTTTCATGCATGATCATGAACTTGAAGCCCTTCTGAATACTACAGCCTGCAGACTCCCTATCTATCAAAATTGTGTATAAACCCAATTCGGAGACAACTGCTTTCCAATTAGTGAAAATTATGAAGAAAAAAAGAAGCTCAGCTGAAAACTATAAGACCCTAAGAATCTACATAAGATGTTTGAGTTAGAATGCATAAAAGAAAAGGGCCTAATGAGAGAGGTCTACAACCACTAAAAAGTAGCACCATAAAATCAATAGAATGCATAAGATGTTTATCATAATTCAACCACTAAGGGGATATAAAATCAATACTAATCAATTTGACCTTCCGGGAAAGCCAAACATGCATTGATGGGTAATCAAAGATAATGAAGCATAAACTTTTTTATCTACTAAACGGTATCAATCATAAACTTTAACCCCAAAAAGTACCATCATAAATGTTACAGACAGAGAAAAGTTGCTTTGAGTTTTCATTCCACAGGGTGATTTTCACTTCTCATTCTTAAATCAAATGTTAATAGCAAACAGCTTTAAGTTTTGAGCATTCAAAGACAGACCTGAATACAGGAAGCCCTTCTTTGTCCTCCCTTAATATAGTTGATATCGACTGAATTATCTTCTGATGAGGAATGATGTCATAATTTATCGCTGATCCAACAACGCATGCAAATTCAAAACATGCCTTGTATAAAATTCAAATAGTGAGAAATCTGTAGAACAGGCTGCTTAAATATCTGAAGTCGTTGAAAGCATTATCAGCTTGTTGAATTCTTTCAAGTGGCACCAGCATCATAAAAATTAATTTTATACTAAAAACGCCAACATAAAGCAATTGCTACTCACCATATGCACATCAGCATCTCCATAGCATAGAAGGGAACACGCAGCCGTAACAAATGACACATTAATGAGTCCTTCCACATACAGAGTTCCTTCAGTTAAGCATTTACCGAGAAGCTTTATCATCCATGTTGCAAAAGGTTGCCACCTTATTTTGCCCGTAAGGTTAATCAAGATACCAATCCCATCATTCGGTTTATTACTTGCCGGGAGATCTCCAAGATGATCAGGATCATCCAAAATTGCATTGAAGGACTCACAAAAACACTTTAAAGTCAATTTAGTTGATTCCGTAATATTCGAAACGTCAGCACATACTGATGCCACATACAAAAGATCTGAACGAAGACAAAGACATATTTAGCTTTCTTGTATGCTTATGAAGGTAAATGAAACCAAAGTAGTTCAAGCAAAAATATAAATCCATATCCCGAGCTATCCGCTAATATGACCAGTAAAGGAAAACCAAATAAACTTGGTATATCTTGGAATTAACTGATCATACCGTGTTGTTGAAAAAACTTGTGTCCTTACCTTCAACAACGATCATTGAGTCAATGAAAAACTGACGGTACGCATCCCGTGCTCCGGTACGAAGTAAAGATAAAAGTGATCCAACGGTTTCAAAGATGACACCATGCCGAGAACTAAAACAATAGACATTACATCTCCATCATAAAATCACAACAAAAAAGCAATGACATGTGTTAATGCAGAATGAGTCCTATTTCAATCCCCAAATTTATTTCCACACTTTTCATTTTTTCCCGCACCGAAACAAACCGAAAAGAAATTAACTTTATGAACTAACCACTTACCGAAACGCCGGTTCTGCGAAGAAAGGCAAGATGCGGCCGAGCAGAGGAAGAATTGCGCTTGCCTTTCCATGGTAAAACACTCCGGGAAAGTTCCTAGCGGTGTGAGCGATGAGCTTCAACACAGCTGTCACTTCTCTCTCGTTGGCTGCAAACAATGGAAAAATCACACTAAAAAACGTCGTTGCATTGTACTTACTGTGCGAGAAAGCCACAGAGAGAGAGAGAGTGGGTGGTAGTGTACCAGAGGGAGATGGAACGACGTAGGCGTGAAGGAGGTTAGGGAGGACGGCGCGGAATCGGGCATCCAAAACGTCGTCATCGGCGTGGTTGGGAGGAGTGGCTGAGGTGGCAGCTATGCGTTCTCGGAGCTCGTGGAGGAGGCTCGATAGGTTGGCCATTCCCTCATGCTCTTCTTCTCTATCTCTCTTCTCTTCCCTCCCAATTTCGAAGTGAACTACATACACTCACTCACTATGAGCCTGACTATGAACAAAGCATCCACTAGAGTCTTTCACAATCACTTTCTGTCGTCCCTTCTCTATTGGGCCGGGCCCACTTATTGTTGGGCCTGCTGTTTTGGGCCCAAACCAGATGACATAACCGACTTCTTTTAATTTTAAAATACAAGCAATATTATAATGGTGCGTTTGGATGAGGGAAATAAACTTGGGATTTTGACAAAACTCAGAATTTCTAAATTGACATGAACCAATTCCAGTATTTGGATAAAAAAAACATAGAAATTTAGAAATTCTGCGTGGAAAAAAACATGGAATTTGGAGATAATAAATCTCAAGTTTAAATTCTATCTAAAAGTCGTCATTTGTAAAATCCTAAGAGAGATTGAGTTTTAAAAAAAGATAACTTTACAAATAAATGTTAAATTCCGTGTTTTAAATCAGTCACCCAAGCAAGAAACTTTACAAATTCTAGAACATTAATTTCTGTCATTTTAAATTTCGTCATTTATGAAATCCTTTGTACTTTTAAATTTCCTCATCCAAACGCACTGTAAGGCTTTGTTTGGTTCACGGAAAGAATGTGATGGGAAATTCTCATCCCATGTTTGGTAAAGTTGCGAAAGTAACCTGGAAATAAAGTTTGTTTAATTTTTCTCATGTTTGGTTTGTGTAGGAATGTAAAACAAAGTTTGTTTAATTTTCCAATTATACTAATATGAAATCAAATAATAAAAGAATGCATTTAATGCTATATTGTAATTTTAAATTATTAATGGGTACAAAATAGTTATGAAAAGTGTGTATTTAATGCTAGCCAGTTTTCCCAAACTTTCCTACGAGGAGAAAAACAAAACTCAAGGGGTAGGAGGAGGGTTACATTTTCCCTGGCCAACTAACTTGACCCACAATTGCATTTTTGTTGATTTTTCTATTCGATTACTTTTGAGGAATTATAAAACTAAATATTATCTCAATATAAACATTATTTTAATGAGGTGAGGTGAAGTTAACATTATTAGAGAGATGATTCAGAAGATAGTTTGTGAACTGAGATAGCACAACTTCAGTCGGATTTTAGGTATTCTACTGGACTGGCAAATGTAGTATAATTTGGAAATGTTCCGGATTTTGAAATATTAATATTTGTTAAACGCAAAGAACATTCAAATGGTGGAAACAAAAACAACACTGAGGGATGGAAATTTAAACAAACTAAATAGATGTATAGTTACAAATATATGCATTGACACAGAGAGATGAAGATGATACGAGAGAGTGAGAGAGAGAATAGTAACAACTCTAATTAGCCACTGCTATCTGCAAAATCAAACAAAACAAGACAAATCTCTCCATTTTGCTTTAGTTCAAAGATTGAAGGCAACTAACTTGAGATCAACCCGTCAAACCAAATCCGACGGATATCATCCTCTCCTCCATTCTTTAAAGGATCCTGCTGCATGAACTTAAATCGCTGTGGTTGTACAAATGCCCCCAAGGGGGGTGGTATAAGGATCTATATATGTTTTTTGGAAAGATTATATCAGTACACATGGACATCCTTTTTGTTTCCTCACTCAGCTTGTAGTTGCTGTGAAATTAGAAGGAAGCTGACCGCCCGTCATGGGAGGCATTGCACGGACATTTATGTCAAGAGGCAGCAGGCGGTACTGAATGTCAAGCTCCTGGAAAATCCGTACCATCTCTTCGACCACATAGGCTCTTCTTACCCACCTTTCTCCCATGTCATGGAAGTTCATTCTATGTGTCGGCCACACTGCAAACTTTATCCTATTTAGTTCTTCTACATCCTTCATTATGATCATTGGTCCAGGATACCAGTGCTCCTTCTTGCCCTCAATGAAACTGTAATTGCAACCATAGGAAACAATTTATCAATCAGAGATGAAAAAAATTAACCCACCACAATCCAAAGTAGGAAGTAGCAAAAGATATTTCCCCATACCTGACTATTCTCTGTCTCATCATAACTATCTTATCTGGTGGAGTAGATATATGGATAGAGAATTCAATAGCATCTCCCGTGTCCGGACTACGATAGAAGTTAAGGATGGGCAAAGTTGCAAGGATACTGTTCGGATACGTGATTTTCGTGTTGTCGTACCTCAGAAAAACTGTAGTTAAGATGTTCATTTCTTCAACTACCATCTGGGAGTCATTGATAAACAAATTAGGCCCCAGACATGAAAATGAACAAATTTGCATAGAATGTGATGCAGGTAAAGATGAAAATTTACCTGAACTCCATTAATCTCACAACGATCTCCGACGTCAAATGGGTGCATCACGAATAAAAATATCATTGCCTCAAATATCGTCTTGCATGTGTTACCGAAGACAAACGCCACAACCACAAGCTGAGAACTCACAAACAAAAGAAATTTGGTCGTGGCAATTCCCAGCACAATAAGCCATATAACTACTATAGCAATGGCGACTATTATGTTCACCATACGATGAAGTGTGTTCACAGCCGTTTTAGTGTCATTCAGTGTCAAAGCAAGTGCTCTCCGCTCTCTGAAGGCAGAGACCTGGAACAAATAGACAGCACATTATCAAGCTAATAATCACTAAGTTCAGGCATTGTTTGAAGGCATAGGTGTATTGAACACCACAACATGAAAGTCTTATACGCAGTTATGTTCATGTTCATACATGAAATTTTTCAATGCCTATGATTACAAGCTGTTAGGTTTCTCAACGATGGGCTGCAGAACTTTTTGTACTTGCCTTTTCTTGTCTTACTATTTTGGAATTCTAAGTTGATAAGTCAAGCAACCAAAATAACTAAGACCAAACCTAACGGGGTTTGGTTCTGAGTCCAGTAACACTAGGCACATGAAGCTTACCACCCAATTTTTCAAGGAAGATTTGCTGATTCTCCTGTTCTCAGCTGCCCCTTCAAAGAGACTCATGGTCTTCACAGCCTCGTCTTCTTCCATGAAACACATCAAATCCTCCAGGTAGATGTACCTGCCAGAAAATGGGTAAATTGAATGTGATCAAAAGATGGAGCTTAATGAGGTCAAGAAAGCTGAAGACAAAATCTGTACAAATTTTAATCAAAAGAAAAATTGCAGACTTTTTTGTTTTTAAGGGTTTTATTGATACTTCAAAACAGAAAGCGCAGAAAACATATGGTATATACTATTTTGTCACTCTTTGTATCCTAATTTTTTATCATATCTCTTATTTCCTCGTGAACTGAGTATCTCCTCTGCCATTCCAATTTATCAAAGAATCTGGTTACTTCTATTGGACTTGACATGCAGAGAAAAAGGAGTGTGGGTAAGAATTCATCCTCAACATTTATTTTCACTCTACATTATTTGCTCTCATATCATCAAAGACCCCCACCTCACCCAGACAAACATCCACCAATGTTGAGCAGCAGTACAAATATAAATGCGATCAGCATACATAGTTACATTGTATCCATAAACCAAAGTAACTTGCAAATAACCTTATCAGTAGTAACAAGACCTCTCCCAACCTCTCAAGCTACATGAGTCCCAACTGTTTGTTCACTAGGCCCTATCCATAGAAGGCTGAAACTTAAAGGAGTTGATGGAAGGGGGAAAAACAACACCATTTCTAGAGAGAGAGAGAGAGAGAAACGACCTACTCAACTTTTTAAAGCTAACACCGCACAACCAACCAAAAATAAAAAAACAAAGTAACCGACATTACGAAAATGTAACTACCAGAGTTAAATCACAAATATCTACAACTACTAGAGGCAACAGATAAATGGCGTTAGTCATGCATTGATGAGTGACATTATATGTCACGCAATACTGCTACAGATGGCATCCTTTTGGCACAAATCATGTGATCTGAGGTTGTCAATTAAGAAACTGAAGTTCACATGCAATGTCAACAACATACTAACTACAAGTATCTAGATTCTAAGGAAAACTGGGACAAAGGCTGCAAACCAATTTGAGTTTTGAACATCAATGTGCATTTAATGACCATAAGTGACAACAAACACAAGGTGTATGACATCAAAACTCTACATGTGTGTTCAGGGTGTTGACAGAGCTGATACAACTCTTTTTCTTTTCTTTTTTCAGATCAGAAATCAAGAACTCTAATTTACATAAATGGAATATTCCACTAACAACAATATAGCATAAACATGTTCTGGAAACAACAAATATTGTCGACACTAAAAATAATGAACGAATCAGCTAACAGAATGACACTACAACTTCCAAATGTGAAGAAAACAATAATTGATAGCAAAATTCAGGTTCTCAAAAAGAAACAAATAGGAACGCAAGTTTAGAAACACCATAATACAGTCGAGCCAAGTTACAGACCAGATCATAAACACAAACATGCATCATTATAATGAAGATGGGAAGTAATGTAAACTTACTTGGAACCGCGCCTAGCAACATTCTGAAATATCTTTTTAGCTGCAGCTTTGGCCTCAACTTCGCTCCTGATCTGAGTATCGGTTTCATCCTCGTTGGTGGTATCCACAATCTGCTCATCAAGTGTTGTAAGATGCCCCTTTCTAACTATATTAATTAGCCTCTTCATATTCCAAGCAGACACATTCTTGGGATTGAGCTTATGCAAGTGATCAATTGTGATCCCTGTCTCCTCTGACTTCTTGGAAAGTGGCCTAGAAAACTTGGTGCTCTTCCCAATAAGCCCTCCACTCGCAATCACCCTCCCGCTTCTCAAGGAACCACTGCCAATCACCTTCCCAATCCTCGCGGACGGGAATGCATTTGCCTTGAGGTCGGGAGGCATAGTAGCCCCAGCATTCTGAAGCTTCCTGACCTCATCAGCAAGCCTCTCTTCCTCCTCATCTTCATTTTGCATCTCAATCAACGGCCGCCCAGAAAGTGTTTCAATCACATACTGGTTGAAAAGCGCGTCCTGAATCCGATCAAAATAAGATC